GCATACACCACCCCCTTGCCCCCATTGGTCACAAAGAGTTAAATAAGTCCAAGTTAAAGTGATTTCCTGCCTAAGTGAGCACTGAGGCAATGCTCATTGTATGTTTGTAGCCCCGAGACAGTTCGTGGAAATTCCAGTCATTTGGTTGATGCGTCTATCCATAGGACAACTGACTTCCCCATAGCGGTACCAATTTTATCAATCCGCAACAAACAGGATTTGAACTCACAATCTTTTGATTGCGAGCTGCTCGCGCTAACTTTGAGGCACCGTACCGGATAGTAGCAAGAAGTGGATCCCTTACTTTACAAGGCATGTAAGCATGCATTTATCAACTAAAATAACCTCCTACGCTCATGATAATCGGGTCAACTTTGCTCATGCCACTATTGGTGGAAGAGCCTCCTCTAGAGACTCTCACGATACATGCATTGAATTGTGCGTCTGAAAATTTAGTACTATGAATGCAAATGATACTTTGTTACAATTAGGCTGATGGAGAAAACGAAATTGTACAAACGAGATAAAAAAAAACAAACACCACAAATTAGATTGTAGAAACGAAACAACAAAAAACTAATTGATTAATTCATGTATTTGCGCCTCGTCCAATCGCGACAATTCGTCAGATCACAAGGGGAGTGACTCAACACATACTTGGCTTTAAAGAGTATGGCCTACACAAAGAGGCTGAACATTCCAGGACTGCAGATTTTTTCAATTCAAATCGGGCAACACTGTCAAGCAAGAATAACAGTCAATGCACAATTCAAAGGCAACATGCAAAGGGATTAAAACAAGCTTTGGTCATTGCTCATCTTTGTTGGTGACCTAAGCCGCTGGTGGAAATTCAACATTTCCATGGCAGGAATAGTGGAAATTCATAGTTAACCAATTTAGAATGACCATTAAAGTATCCATTTAGACCCATTACCTTCTATCGCACATATATACATCATTTGCGAAGATCTTTGGGAATGGAATCAATAAAAAAGTAGATGCCAACCAACAATGCTAACAAGCAGTGTTTATCAGATTTAGACATGAATTAGTTTTTTTTCTTATAGACATTTGGATAGAGACATATAAATAAAAGGTCATTTGCAACTGGTGATTTCAAATTGAGAAAAATTCAAGCAAGAGAAGACTGATGCGTATGAGTCGGTACCACTTAAGTGTCTATACAGATAGATTCAATAATTAAATACTATACTGCCATCTCCCGGCCACCTTGCATCTCAGTACTCTGTTGTACAGGCATTTGTTACAATGGGGGTCTCACCTGGGTATAAATGAACAGTATGTATTATATAATTACGGTTAGCAAACGGCAAGTATAGTGTGGTGAGTGGGCGTGTCATCTGTTCAGCGTGGTAAGGTAGGCCAAACATTCGCAAGAAGGGCTGTCTTGATGCTCCTCTGGTGGAGGCTCTTCTGCCAGCAGTGGTGTAAGCAAGCAGTTGCAGGGCTGCACATTTACAAATGTGAAATACTGTAATTACATTTTAAATAATGCATGCGACCTTTTGTCAAAATATCAATGTTTTTTATTTACGTCAGTGCAGTAATGTATTTCGTAATGTAGGGGACATTTCAGTAAGTATAAAAACGCTACCATTTGCAGAACAATGCTTTAAAAAAAAGAACTGCTAAAAATAAAACAACCAATGCAGTAGCAGCAGTGTGTTCATTAAATTTTCACGTTACACACTGCATTTCCAATTAGTTCTTTCGCTTGAATAAATGTTTTTTCAAGTCAAAAGGGTTTGTAAAAATCAATTGGATGGATTATATATTACACTGTACTGCCTTTTAACAAATAACCTCACTGAAAAGCTGCGGCCGGTTGTATACAACGTAGTGTGTTTCTCTTGCACTGCGTTAAGTAGAATTTTAAGAAGAAAAATCCCTCAAGGCGTTTTATTACATGCAACAAACCAATCGTATACTGAGGAGTGAGGTCCCTTTTCCACTCCACGGCTGGATTAACGCTTCCCCACCGAATCGGCCACGCGGGGTTTTCCATCCATACTTCACCACGCTGGTCAGCACGGACTGGTTAAGTAGGGCTCAGGACCGGTTCAGATATCACTCACCACTTGTTATGGCCGTAGCTGGGAATCAAACTAAGGTTATTAACTATACATTGGCTATATAGTGTACAGCACTCACCACTGCACCATTGAACATGTAAAGTACTTTTGATTTAAAGCTTTCGTGACCGCAGGGATTCATATTCTTGGTTCTTTCGGTAAAGTCACGTAGAAGGGAAACAATAAATAATATATATTTTTTATTTTACTTTTTCCCTTCTACGTGACTTTACCGAAAGAACCAAGAATATGTAAAGTACTGTTTTACATGTCCTTGTTTTTTTCCAATATTCTTTTTTACACAAGATGTATTTAATGTATGCACTTATATTGTCATTGTTTTATTCGTTTAAGTGTCTTATACATTTAAAAGGTAAATGCAGTTGCTTGTTCAGGTAACTATGGCTAGTAATACGTTACGATTCATACGCCTATTTAAAAAGTGAACATTTTAATATTTAAAGACCAGTGCCCCCAAACGTTGCATATTATATACTTTATCTTTCAAGGCCATAATGTTATTGACGAACGTATCCTTTTTTATTCTAGAGTCTAGACACTATATCTTAAGTACTGTATAGATAAAACAATCATTGTACATTATAAAGAGCATTATTATTATCAATAATGTTCAGCCAAGTATTTTATGAGTCTCAGGGTCCGTCCTGCTGCTTGTGTTGGGATTTTTTTTGTGTGCCAATTCCATTCATGCCAGTTTGGCGTATCCACTGCTGCACTGCCAATAATTCTCCCATTCATGTTCACGTTACTCGTCAGACTCAATCCATGCTCAGCTAATCAATCAAATGTTTGCACTTGTTTTCCACTGCTGTACTGCCATCTTCCAGCCACCACGAAGCTCAAGTCTACAACACCTTGATAACGCCATGCATTCTCCCATTCATGTCCACGTTACTCGTCAAAGACTCAATCCCCGCTTAGCGAATCAAGATGAAAAAAAACATTGCGTTTGTTTATTGTTGAATTGCAATACTTTGGGCACTCATTCAAAATGCAAGAGACAGCTGTTCCACCCAGTATCACTGAGTAACACGGCGGACAAAGACACCTTGGGGGCAAATTACTGTTAGCGAGCACCTTACAAAGATCGGTACGGTGCAAGTGTGTGACCGTGTCGTGACCAGAGCCACGCCCGGCCGCCTTTGTCTCCCCAGTGTTCGTTTATTTGTGTACACACCGCACCAAGTACTTATTTGAGGCTGAGGCGACCTTAGGGGATTCTCAGAACCAGTTGAGATGTACGTTGAACTTCTTTCGCACCGGACGTAGACCAACCGTGCTAATCGGAGGTGCGGTTCACCGACTGTTTGATTGTTGTTGTTTTAGACATTGTTGGGAGATCCAGACTCAGGTGAGTTGATCGGGTTGATAGCGCTGTGCTCTAACCGATGCGCCACCGCTCCTCCCGCACAAAGAAAACCCGGAGTATAACCTTACACCAAGGCCGTAGCCATGGAGTCAACATTGGGGGGGATTAAATCTCCAGGGGGTCTGGGGGTCCCCCCCCCCCAGAAAAAAAATAATCTAAATTTGAAAACGAATTTCCTGCCTAAAATATAAAAAAATTCACTAACACATGGGATGGACTTTTATTTTTTACAATAATGTCTAATAGTGGTATTGTATTACATTGGTCTGTTTTTTATTTTTTTACCTTTTCTTGTTTCATTGTATGTAATGGGAGAGATTAGGGATTAATAAAGTACAACCATAACCACAATGATATAAACAAATCTATTTTATAGCAACACTGTATATTGGGGGGGGGACATTTTGAGCATATTTGAATATGGGGGGGGGGATGTGTCCCCCCCCCCAATATATATTATATTTACGGCCTTGCCTTACACATACTTTTGGGGTTAAGTTGCTGTTTGCTGTCAGCGAGTCGCACCTAATGAAGGCCGGGACTGGAAACACGAGGGGATAGGGTTGGCCAGCACCACGCCCGACCGCCTTTGTCTCCCCATTGGCGATGTTTACTACACAACCGTGCCAGGTACGCAATTGAGGCTGACCGGTTCGGATAATCGTCACTGGGTTGTTGGCCGTGAGCGGGAATCCATTTAGCTGTCAACCCATAGGGTTTACCCCGTATTCTTGTACAGGGAAATTGAGTTTCCAGGCCGTTTCAATACGGCCAACAACCAAAATAATGTCTATTTGTTTGTGTGTCTCCCTTGTGATGGGGCTTTGTAGGATGAACGTTGAGATTTATGAGAGGCACGGGGGTGACCAATAAGGTCTGAATTGGTCTGTAATAAGGTAAGGGTACTGATAAGGGATTGAAAGGTTTGTAGTGGTGAGTGTACTGGTAGTGAGTGTACTGGTGGTGAGTGTACTGGTGGTGAGTGTACTAGTGGTGAGTGTACTAGTGGTGAGTGTACTAGTGGTGAGTGTACTGGTGGTGAGTGTACTAATGTTGATTGTTTCTCCCTTATGAGACTTTGTAGGATGAACGTGCAGATTTATGAGAGGTACGGGAGTGCCCAATAATGTCTGAATTGGTCTGTAATAAGGTAAGGGTACGATAAGGGATTGAAAGGTTTGTAGTGGTGAGTGTACTAGTGGTGAGTGTACTAGTGGTGAGTGTACTAGTGGTGAGTGTACTAGTGGTGAGTGTACTAGTGGTGAGTGCTTCTCCCTTGTGACGATAAGGTAAGGGCACTGATAAGGGATTGATAGGTATGGGGGATCGAACTCAGGATCGCCGGGTTCGTAGCTCAGCGTGCCCATCAACTACAACAACGACGGCTCCCTCCACCACCACAGCCTCCACCACCTCCACAGCCTCCACCACCACCCCCCCACCACCACCCCCCCACCTCCCCAGCCACCACCACCACCACCTCCACCACACAGACAAATGATGCTTGTGCCCCGGAAAGTTAACGCCATTGGGCGACCTCGGGCAGGCTGAGGCACCCAATGGTTCTGTCTCTAGCACAGGAAATCCCCTCCCCCCTCTCTCTCTCTCTCCCCTCCTCTCTCTCCAACCACCACCACCAGCAGCACGGGCGAATTGGGGAATGTGTGTCAGGCAAGAAGGCAGGGCCCGGCTGGAGTGGAGGGGGGTGAGGGCAGACACAGTGAGTGTACTGGTGTGGCGAGCTGGGGATAGGAGCGAGCAACACTTGTTGTAAGAGTAAGCGGGGAAGGGAGTTAGGAGGAGGAGGAGTGGGGAGGATGGCTTGCCGAGCAATAGCTTGCTGATGTTGGTGGTGGTTTGCGCGTTTTTGTGGCCCTTTTTTTAAAGTCTCGGCGTAGTGAGATTGATAAATCTCGCGTGCCCGCGGTGTGTGTGTGTGGTGTCTTGTGTTGCACTGGGCGAGCTTTGTTAAAACAACACAACACACACACACAAGCGTGGCAATGCGATCCATTGTAAAGTAGCGGGGTAAGCCACTCGGCGAGGGGGCACAGCCGGTAGGTTGTCATAAATTAGGATAGCTGAGGACGAAGACGAAGAAGAAGAAAACTCCCTCGTGTTGTGTTTGCTGCTGGGGACGACGACGACGATGGTGGTGGTGGTGATTTGTGACCGGGTCGGCGGTGGTGGTGATTTTGGTGAACGCTGTTGGGATGCGATGAGGAGGATGAGACTGGAGGAGGAGGAGGAGGGAGATGGGATAGCTAAGGGATGTTAAATCTTCTCGCAGAGGGGGTTTTTCTTCTTCTTCCAATCCACTCCTTATCCCACCGTTCTTCTGCTTTTGTTTGGTGGAAGAAGAAAAAAACACACACGCACATACGTGCACACACACACGAGAGATAAGGAGGCGGTAGAAGAAGATTCGAAGGTGGAGGTTTCTGTGGAGTGAAAGAAGAAGATGATGATGATGCCGGTTTACAACGACCGTGTTTGAATTGTAAACCGTTGCCAGCATTCAGCCGGTTTTGTTTTAATTATTGAAGAAGATAAAGCAATGAAACCAGCGAAATAAATACTTACAATTCTCAACCTGACCACCGCCAAACTGGATTGAACACAACACAACACGACAACACAACAACAACACATCACGAAGATGAACAGCAACATTCATCAGCAGCAGCAGCAGATGCAGCAGCAGCAGCAGCTGACCAACTCGACCGCGATCCGAAGCGAAATCCGGAGATTCGAGAGCGTCCACCCGAACATCTACTCCATCTACGACCTCCTGGAGCACATCGAGGACCCTCTGCTGCAGAATCAAATACGCGAGCACGTCATCAGCATCGAGGGTAAGAGAGAGAGATCATACACCCGAGCTTCCATGGATCTGTGTATGAAACTTCTTTCGCACCGTACGTTGACGATGAGTTGTTGCAGCGATCCGCAGTGAGCCCTTTCAGATCATTGTTTTTTTACCACCCACCCACCACCAACCACCACCTCCAATGTTCTTGATGTAACAAGGTCTGCATCACCATCATCATCCTCACCATCATCATCTTGGGGAATGGGAAATGTGGATTCAGAATCGTGTTTCATTTGGCACCCGTTTTAAAACGTCTGACTCCTGGTCACCGTTGGGCATTAGAACATGATTGTACCATTCTACCTCTGTGTGTGTGATAATATTTGACATTTGATATTCTCCTTTAAGGCCGTTACGTTTGATGGGAAATGTGGCTTTTGGGTGTATATAATAATTTCGGCAAAAATCATTCACCTACTTTTGGCACTGTACCTGTAAATAAATGCATTGTTCCATCGCCTGCTGGTAAAACACAAGGACATGCTGTGCATATCAAGCCGCGCTGTGGTTTTGTCAATGAGACGAATGCGAATTAGTCATCCCCATGGATAGTGCTTTAACAATTTTAAATGTGGTTTCTGAGTACTGTACCACTGTACAACGTTTACAGACAAGGCTATCGATGTATTCTTTGTAGTTATTCTGATTTCGTGCCAACGATACGGTTTTGATGCTATCATTGCCATCATATTGGGAAGTGTGGCTTCTAAGGACTGCAGCTATACTCTTTAACTATTTCCTTAATCAGCATATCTTGTGAATATCGAGTAATTTTGTTTCATTATTTTCCACGAATCCAGAATAACGTTCATTGCAGGCTAACATCTTGGGAATTCTTATTTCAAAGGGCTGTTACCTATACTAAAGTGTGCTACTGTGTTGCATTTTATCTCCCACTTTGGACATGGTATGAAGTAATTCCAACCCCATTATGTGCACGTCTATGAATGGTGATGCTCTTATTTTGTCATTTCATTGCAAGTATAGGACAGTATGTGGTTTCTAAGGACTGTAACCCAGCTCTCTTTAACTATTTCCTGAAATCTCTGTGCAAATTAAATAAATGTGTTCTTATTTTCTACCAGTCCACAATAACGTTCATTGCAGGCTATAACGTCGTGGGAAAATCTGGTTTCAAAGGACTCTTGATCTGTACTTTACTATTCCTTCCCACTACATTGGGACTTAAGTAACTGTACATTACGTGCATTTCAAGCCATTTCGGTGTATATGCATCTGAAAGATAAGGTTGTGATGATTTCTATAATTCCTGTGCAGATAAAATTTTCAACTTGGGATATACGATTTCTTAGGCCTGTACCTGTAGTGCACGGATTTTTTTTTACCATCCCCTACTCATATTCTTGGTTATTTCGGTAAAGTCACGTAGAAGGGAACAATAAAATAATAAAAATGTAAACCAATAAAATTCTCACGACGTTTCGACTGCAACACAAGCAATCATCATCAGGTGTGAAAACCGAAAGAACCAAGAATATGAATCCCTGCAGCCACGAAAGCTTTAAATCAAAATTCATCCCCTACTCGTTTAGATGTAGCATGGAGTGTATTTAAAGTGATTTTGTTTTCGCGTCTATAAATGATAAGGATGTGAATGGCATTTCCTTGCAGGTTCTTGTGTAAGGAAATGTGGTCTCAACGGACTGTGTACTGTACACTTCATTGCCTTCTTTGCACCTTTTGACATAACACGTGCATTTTAAGTTAGTTTTTGTTTATGCCAACGAATGATACAGCTGTGATGTATATCATTCTCTTTTCAAGTGTCGACGTTCATCATTCGAAATGTAGTTCATTGGACCCCAGAGCGCAATGATTCGTGCAGGGTTAATCAGTCTGCATTTATGTCTATGATTGAACATATTTTGTAATTTTCTGGCAGGCCATGGTGTTGGCAAGTGTTGTTTCTAACGCCTAATGGTACTGTACGCTAGTGTTTTCTCCTATCCACCTTTGGGCATATGGTAAGAACGTGGAGCTCATGAATTGTGGTTTCTAATTACACGTTGGGAAGTGTTGTTTCTAAGGATTCTCTCCATACCTATTCAGTAGTAATTCCTTCCCTGTATCTTTGGGCATAAGGATGTGATGTGCATTTTAAGTAATTCGCCCGTTGTTTCCATGAATGATACGGTTATAATTGTCATTTGTCTGCAGGTCATAAACATTGAAATGTGGTTTAAAAAAATTAGTTTTTCCACTTCCGCCAAACATCTTCCTCCACCTTTGAATGTAACGTGATTTGCCGTTTAAATTATTTTCCATTTCGCTTGTATGAATTAGAAGGTTGTGATTTATTCATACGCTTGTAGGTCATAATCTTGGAAAATGTGGTTTACAAATTACTATTTTAGTCGTTCCATATGCGCTAAACATCTTTCTTTGCGTTAAGACGTAAGAATATTATGTGACTTTGAGGTGGGCACTTGTCTCAGAGGTCAAGAGTGCTGAGCCTGGCATCACAGAGATCCTGGCTCAAATCCAGGCAGCCGGCATGTGATTTCACTGGGTTCTCAAGTGTAGTGAGTTGATGGTCTCAACAAATTATTGGACGAAAAAAAGGTATCGTATTTAATTTGGGTCTGCATTTAATTTAGCGAATTCAAGCTCTTGAGAGTTAAAACTATTATTTTTTGCGATAATGTAAAAAAACCTTACTCTGTGGGAAAGTGGCTTTCCTTTAACGTGTGGACAAGAGGTCCGCTGAAGGGCTCTCAGTAGTAGTTCTGTGAAGTCTGCTTCTACGGGGCAGTCTCTAAAAAACGAGGGTTACACTTTCATGAGAGACTTCACAATGGATTCTTCATTATATGATGCAATGCCAGTCGGCGAAATCTCGATAAAATAGGGGACACTACAGAAAAATAGATAACGTCACGCTTTTTTTTTACAATGGAAAGATTATGAGTACGATGTACATGTCAAAACTATGTTTGGCGGTTACAGTGTCTAAAATTATGTGTTGAATCCACAGCCGAATGTAATTTTGCATTGCAAACAAAATGAAAATGACACGCAAAGGGGCGTCATCGGGTGAACAGTGCTGCGTCTCTGGGTTTCATTTCAATCACAGAGGGCCGTAGTTTCAAATTTCACATCCTATCAGGCTGAAATTTAACATGTGTGACTGCATGGTGTACACGTACAGTGTTTTAAAAAAATGACAATAGCTCGGCTAATCTTCATGTACATGATTATATCGGTAGAGTTGTCGTGTGGTTTGATAGTGTTGGCCATTTACAGTATTCCCTGGATATTTTCTCTGTAGTTTCGAGCAAAAGTTTGCGCTGCATCTTATAACCCAGGAGGTGTGTGTGTGTGTGTGAGAGAGATAGACCATATTTGTATACATCTACAGACACTGGGGAGAGTTTGAGGTGCGTCTTACTTTCCGGAGAGTTCTAATCTAGGAGATTACCGGTATCAGAAATTGTGATACGGTAATAGTTTTGTTGTCGTGAAACACAAGTTCCGGAAACATCAGTTGCATTTGATAGTGCCAGTATCATGTCCACAATTACACAGTTAATGACGGTAGTCCAAAATGTCACGTCCTTATGTGATTAAATACAAATTAAGATAATGTTTAAAGAGCAGTTACGTAGAAGGTTTTTAAAAGCCATTTTTGCGATGCAGTAAAGTAGTTCATATTTCCGATCAATGGCTTACTGATGTAGATTTCCGTTTCTGACAAAAACAACCCTGAGTACATTTCACCATATCAATGTAACACTTTTTAGAATTTCAACAGCAGGTTCCAGGCTTGAGTACAAATGATATATTTCAAAAGATGGGGGACATCAGTAGATAGACCTGGGGAAATATGCACAGAACGGAGAGCAAGAGACTGAGAGACAGATGCATGGAGAGAAAAGGAAACCGAGACAGAGCCGGACATACATGGGCAGGAGAGGAGCAGAGAAACACACATGGCAGGAGTTTGAGTGACATGGGGAGAGACATATATGGGGAGAGACATATCTGCGCAGTAGAGAAATGCACACGGGCTGTGGTTAAAGGAAGGACGTGGTGACACATAGGGCAGACACCATGCATCGGCATGGAAAGAGAGTTGGGGAGACACAGGAGGAGAGAGACAGAGTGACAGAGTGTTGGGACAGAGTGTTGGGGAAATGTAGATGTGTGGAGAGAGACACGTGGCGAAAAGAGAGATGCGGTAATATGGAAATAGAGAAGGGGAGAGAAACGTGGAGTAACGTGGAAATAAACTCATGAATAAACACACTATGTATATGTATGTTGCACTTCTTTTGCACCGTACGTAGCCAACCGTGCTAATCGGAGGTACGGAGGAGATATCCCGAATAGCCAAAGCCACGAGGCTCGTGCGCTAAGAGGGGCAGAGAGATACAGAGGCATGGAATGGAGACGCACGGTGATCGAGAGACACTGAGAGGCATATGCGCACAGGAGACGAACAGTGACGTGAAGTGTGCAGACACGAGGAGAGACACAGACGGTGACAATGAAAGAGGGGCATAGAAAGCAGGACGTGCTGATGCAGACACTCGTTCTTTTACAGTTGCTTACTGTATACACAGGCTGAGATGCACTGGAGCTTGTGGAAAGTGCGCCTTCTTGTGGCTAGTTGCTGGGTCACTGGTCTGGTATGTGTCCCATGTGCTTCGGCACGATGCACTGACCACCTCAAACCGGTGACACAAAATCTCATCACGTTCCTCGGTCAACCACATTGTCACACCAACAACAACAGCGGCTAAATGATGTTAGCTTCACGACAGCGCTTGGTGCCCTTCGTGAGTTGTCGAAATTTTGCTTGGCAGGGAGGTCACGGTGATGGACCCAGGTGTTATGGGTTAACCAACTGAGACGACTCGCAGATGTGACACCAAACGCACCCACCACCCAAACACAAAATGTGGCACATTCATTGCAGTAGTAATTGTGTAATTTATTTATCCATGAAAGCCACAAGACTCGTATTTCAGGAGGGTGCTGCTTTGGGATGTTTGGTTAATTCCATTAGTGGCTTTGTGTGGGAGGAAACTAGAGTACACTACTGTAACTGGGAGAGAGAGAGAGAGAAAACACACCCATGCATGTGAAAGTATAACCCAGAAAGGAGGGTCTGTACAGATTGGTTCACAAAACAGACCCGGGGTCAGTTACAATTAGTTCTACAGCAGTGTTGTTGGCTGAAATTACCATTATAATTACACAATGATTTGCAATTTAATTGCGAACGACACCATTACAATTGTAGTTAGTCGCTGATCTGTCGCGAACATGCTTGATATACCGTCGTATTCTTTGCCACCTTGAATCGGATGGGGTTTCAGTGTTTTACAAATCTGTGTGCGATCCACAAACCCTTGCCTTCGATGGCATATCGTGTGCATGTGTATTCAATCGCAGGTTTATACAACATGTTTGCTACTAATGTTGCCGCAATGTGGCGATACTGCGATATATGATTTGATGTAAGATCTGCAATCATTGTTACGTCCGTTCAGCAAATGACTGTATACCATGATGTCGTAAATTAACTTTTTCAAAATATTTTGTTTACCCACGAAGGACTTCTGAAAATATAGAAATGACAGTCATGAAAGTTTACAATAATAATGAAAGTTCTAAAAAAGAAAAAGCAATTGGCCATCAAGTGTGTGCCATATCATTTTTTTTCATAGATTGATTTTGATGTCCTTAATAAGTGAACAGATCGTGAAGTTGCCATGATCAGAAAACCTGCGACAGACTTGTGTTAAGCAAACTGCAGTTAAATAACTTTTAGGCAATCTGTACTTGGAAGTACATAAAAGCACAAACCAAAACGATACAAATGTGCCATAGAATTGCAAAGTTGTGGGAAATTGACATCGCGATAATCATCGTGTCGTGACATTTAATATCGTTTTGCTTCATACCGTGAAAAATGATGTCGCATCAAACCTACTGGTTACTGTATGGTGTCTCGAGTAAGCCCACGGAATCCGCCAGTTGTTGATTGTATCTGCTTAACATTTACTGTTCGAAATGCACAGCTTTTGTGGGTGGAATTTAATTCTTTTGGGGTGCTGTGTTTTCATGCAGATTCATTTGTCAACAGTCAGGAGTGGACTCTGAGCCGGTCAGTGCAAGAGATTAAAGTGGTAAGCACGGACAACCAAAGGATTTCGCAAAAACATCCAGCTCCTGCCCCCTCCTTATAATTCCTGCCTTTGTTCGCCTTGTACTGTATCTACAACGATCCTTTATCTCTCTTCATAAATGCTTGCAACCGCTACATCCTATCCTGTGGGTTCTCAAACTGGACCTATGAAAAGTCAGAGATCACCATGAAAATATAGGTTACATTTGAGTTTTTTGGGATTTTTTTCCTTCCCATTTATCACTTTTATTCCAATTTGTGCTATCGGCGTTATGTCATGTGACAAAGTGTCTCTGGCACAGCAGTGCAACCGTCAATGTTAAAGAACGGCCCATGGGAGATAAATGACAGACATTGATTCTTGAAGATGATATGGCCAAGCAGCAGTACAGTTATCCACTTCTTTGCACTGGTTCGAGAAACGCGGCCGCCCCGGTAAATACTGTAGGTGTTTTAACCGCAATCTACACACTGTCTACAGTGGACATTAAATGTCTCATGAAGAGATGTTTTCTCCCTCGACTGGTATGCAAGAGCCATAGGTTCGATCCCGACCCTGACAACGACTGTTATATATTTTGAGTCCCGTGTGTTCTCTCTCTCCCCCTGGTCACGTGGATTTTTCTCCGGGTCCTCCGGTTTTGCCCCATTCCACATTTAGAAAATGTGCGTTTAGATTATTTGGCTGCTGCTGTAAATTCCCACGTGATGATATAAGCCACTCTGACGAGCTATCATTTGTGGCCAGGTCACCATTCAAAAAGAGCTAATATATTTAGTGTGCTTTACTTGGTATATGAAATGTCGATTTTTTTTTTAGTTATTGATGTGTAGTTATTGCAAATATTACAAACAACTACACATCAACATAGCCCCTTCTGTGAAATTACTGTGATCAATAGTTATTTGTGAAGGATAGTTCCATCATGATAGCTTTGTGCTATGAGAATGTCAGAAATATCAAATATATAAAATTATCCTTATACTCACGATGCATGCGTTAAATGCATTAAATATTGGCTCCGAGGAATAATTTTCTATTTGTATATGTCTCTGCTCTCATTGGTTTACATAAACCCTCCAACCACTTGAGGCGTTAGATTCACCAGGCAAAAAATATTGCATTTTGAAATGAATTCTGACCCCAAAATCAGGAAAATTCATCAACTTCTGAGGGAGCTTAATTGTACTGTTCGCCTGTTGGTGTTCTCTGGTCTAACACTGGTGAGACAAGGCCATGAAGAAGGCTGTCTCAGATGTAGGAGAATCATATATATTTTGATTTAAAGCTTTCGTGACTGCAGGGATTCATATTCTTGGTTCTTTCGGTAAAGTCACGTAGAAGGGAAACAATAAAATAATAAAAATATAAAACAATAAAATTCTAACGACGTTTCGACTGCAACACAAGCAATCATCATCAGGTGTGAAAACCACAGCAATATTTTTTTCTTGCTGTGGTTTTCATTATATTTTTGGTTCTTTCGGTAAAGTCACGTAGAAGGGAAACAATAAAATAATAAAAACAATTAAAATATAGAACAAGATTCTCACGACGTTTCGACTGCAACACAAGCAAACATTTCTTATTTTATTGTTTCCCTTCTACGTGACTTTACCGAAAGAACCAATAATATAATACAGTACTGTGTGTGGTTAAAGTACTGTGTGTGGTTAATGCAGTTACTTGATGCCTTGCAATAGGTATGCATTTTGTGTTCGAACATCCTAACATCTGTATTTTTGCCAGGAAGGATGAAACGTATTCTTATATTTCATCATTTCATGCCTAATCACTTTGCATTTCTGCCAGGGATATGTCAAGTGAAAGTAGAAGTGGTTTTATACTCAGGCAAGCATTAGGCTGTGCTTATCTCCCACTTACTACACTGAATCATCGGTGAAAGTTCCACATTCCTAAGTGGAGGCAAGTCTATTCATAGCGGTGGCATGTCTTGACTCCAGGATCATTTCGTCGGTGAGGTCCGTCGTAGGGTTTCTAATTGCAGGTGACATGAGCAGGTGATGCATTAATTAGAGTATTCGGAAAGCAGAAGTCAATGTTTAATGCAGTGGTGAGGACCGCTGGGCTGTGACCAGACCTGTTCTCCAAGGGCGCTGCTTGGGTTTTCGTGGTTTGGGAAACCTTAGGCGTGGGGACTGCATAGGTTTTTCGCGGTTTTGTGCTCTGCAGCTGTCCGATGCGTTTTCATGATGTACCGCGTGTTGTTCAGCATCCCGTCTGATATTTCTGTCTATGTGCTAGTAGCTTTACTCTTTGGTTCTTTCGGTAAAGTCACGTAGGTATAAAATAAACTTTATTTTATTTTTTACCGACGTCACTTTACAGAAGAACCAAAGAGTATGGATCATTGCAGTCACTAAAAACTTCAAATCTAGAATGCTAGTAGCTTCTTCAGTGGCATCAAACTAAACTAAACTATATATATATTAAAAAAAAGTTTTAACTAGTTAAGGCCCACTAAGCTGTATAGCTCTTTTTCAGAAGTAACCTGGCCACGAATGATAGCTCAACGAAGCGACTGATCATGTGGACATTTATAGCAGCCAAATACTTTAAACGCATGTTGTTGATTATAAATATGGAGGGGAAAACCAGAGGAACACGGGGAAAAATCCACACGACCACGGGAAGAACATGCAAACTCCAAATGTACAATAGGCATCAGGATCGGGATCGAACCCATGCTCTCCTGCATACCAAGTGAGGGAGTTAACATTTCACCACCGCAGCATCAGGATTCAACTCCCAGAACGTGGAGCGAAACACCTCAGACATCGTGCCGATAAACACACAATACAACCCGACTACACATCAGAGTTTACCGCCTACTAGTCTTGGAGCCACAGCATGCCCCTGATTCATGGGGCACAACTTGTCAGGAGGTGGCCAGGAGGCTTAGAGGAAGGAGTGCTGAGCTGATGTTGCTGAGATCCTGAGTTAGAATCCATTGAACAATTCACAAGTTTTGTAAGTTTACAGTCTCTGCCTGTTCACTCTCAACGAATACACACACAAAAAAACCTATCACATTTAATTTGTTACACACTTTATTTGTCTAAATTCCAGCTTTTAAAACTGAAAATATCGGTTTGTCATGCAACGATCGTAGATCTGGCTGACAGGATGGCAATTGAAATTTTGCCACCTACTATGTACCAGTGGTCACTTGAAGAGATCTACTACTATTTCAGAGGTTGTTCTGTGGTATTAGCTTCCAGTGAACATTCTCAAGAGAGGTCCGATTGGATACTTTGTCTCGTGATACACGACTGATAGCATAATCAGGATAACAATGGGTGTACGGTTAATAAACTGTTGACTTGTCAAAAAGTGCTTCCTATTTGACACCCTATAGGAGTGAATGAGGCTGACTTGCCCTTTATCAGGATTTGAACTCGTGACCTCATTATAAACTGTGCTATAAACGCCAGAGCTGTAGAGATGGGGTGGGTGTTGGGGTGGGTTTTGGAGTAGCAGGTGGACCTGATCCCGACCATGGCGATGCCTGTATATTTGGAGTTTGCATGTCCCTCTCCCCGTGGTCGAGTGGATTTTTCTCTGGGTCCTCCGGTTTTTCCTTTCTACATTTAAAAACAACATACATTTAGAGTATTTGGCTGCTGTAAATTTCCACATGATGTGATGACGATTGCTTGTGTTGCGATCGAAACGTCGTAGTTTTTTTATTTTTGTTATTTTCTTTGAAACTATCTACGTGACTTTACCGAAAGACCCAAGAATATAAAAATAAAAAGTGTTTTGTTTTTAGTGTAGATGGGAACAATTTTTGATCCAGGCCTCAGACCCAAGGGGGGGGGCCCTGAAATCTAAGGGCTCTGGGGCGGGGGGGTGGAGTCTCAAATGCGGAGGTGACTTCATCTGACAAATGTCCCCGGGTCCTCTGTAAATCCTTGGGTGGCTCTGCCAACTAACCACTGCGCCGCCCAGCGGAGTGTGCGCCAACGTGTAGTAACGTGAGGCTCGCCGTGAACCTTCTGCCCGTCTCCTTTGCTTTCAGGGAATTCTAGGCAACCTGTCGAGTGGGAAGTCTGCGCTGGTGCATCGCTATCTCACGGGCACGTACATACAGGAGGAGTCTCCCGAAGGTAAAATCCACATCCGGGATGCAAGCTTGCAGCAGGGGCTGTGGTGTCTGTGCGTATTCTGTCGTTGGATGGATAGTCAAAGGTAAATTGGTAATGGGTCCATCCCACCTGTTGCTTGTTCATGCCACTGCTGGCAGAAGGGCCTCCAGTAGAGGGAGCTTCATTAGGGGACCACTCTCGATGGTATTTTCTCCTCTTCTTTCATGCTGGAAATTGTCTTGTAAGAGGCGGGAGTTTTTATGCACGTTGAACTTTTTACGCACCATACGTAGCCAACCGTGCTAATCGGAAGTGCAGGGGAAGGACAACAAACTAAACACAAAAAGCAGTTCTAAAGAAATGAGTTTTCAATGTAGATTTTAAAGTACGTAGCTCCAGTGGCTTCCTTAATATCGGAAGGAAGAGCGTTCCAGACGGCCGCAAAAGCGCATCTGAAATCACGCGATGCGGTAACCGTCTTTGTTCGATGGCTAGCCAAAAGCCGTTGCTTCAAGGATGACCAGAAGTTCGTGTGATGATGGTTTATTATCATAACGGGAATGACGAGATCAGCAAGGTATTGGTGTTTCATTTGCGGAAAGCGCTTTGTGTGTTATGAGTGCGACCTTTTAATCTACACTGCACCACACGCGACCTGCCAATGTACTAACTGCGGAGCATCATATTATCCTGCCACATGCAGAAGTGTGGGGGTTTAAGAGACTTGCGCCATTGTTTTGACTGGCGAGCCGGGAGAACGAACTGTGGCCACCTTTGTTGTCCTAACACCGTGGCGATATCTCAGCGGGATGGTTGACAGATTAGCTGAGAAATTAGACATTTACAGCAATACACTGCACTCCTCCTGACACGGTTGTCTGGCTTGACCACCTGAATGTAAAATTGTCGTTGTAGCTCTGCATCTACATCATCAGCCTTATGAAAGAAGAAGCCTCGAGATAGCTTCAGCTGACGTGTGGTGGATTTAGTTGACGCCTTCGTAGAATACTTCGGATTTCACAGCGGCTCACTGGTTGGTGGTCGGTGGCCCGGTGGCCGTTTCCACAATGGCACGTGCCGCTGCAACACAAATGCCTTTTGAGGGTTGTCCTTGAGAAAGAAAAAAAAACCTCATCCACAAAGTCTCATTGTCCGTAATGCTTTTTGGGTTAGATCGCTTAAAAAAAACTTTATTACGGATGATATTGGTCGCGAAAGCCTACGTGTTAAACTGTCAGTAAAGTATTTGGCTTTTGTTGAGAGTAAGGTGGATTTAAGTGGACGATTTATGAAGTTAATCAAACATGCATTTTAAAATCTTCCAGTGACTTGAACCTGGGTTATGTTGAAAACAAATGTACATGTGGGTTATCATTGCACTTGCAGGACACCACTCAAATATGCAGTTGTTGTGGTGGGTAAATGGTGGTAGCAGTGAGGTTGGAGGTGGTGGTTAGCAGGCATGTAACAATTAGTGTATTGATCAATGAAAATCTAGTCACATGTTCCCAATAGGTGTTGTTAAATGTATTTGTGTAAGAATCCATTACTGTAGTGACCATGCAAATTACGAGCATGTCTTTAGGCGATTGGAGCAAATGAGACAATATGCTTTACAATGAAGCTATCTTAAAATATATATTCACACACACAGTTTGTGAGTTATCAGGTTTTTATTTTGAAGGAGAACCCTCAATTGTATATTTGTGCATTTGTTTGTATGCAGCAAGTGTGCTGGCTGAGATCCGTGGGTTCGTGTTGTTGTCTGTACATCTCGTGTGTGTGTGTGTGCGTGTTGAGTATTGATCTCTGTTGGTTTGTCTTGTTCTGTGTACATGTCGTGTGTGCGTGAGCATTGGTCTCCGTGTGTCCGTGTTGTGTGTACATCTCGTGTGTGTGTGTTGAGTATTGATCTCTGTTGGTTTGTCTTGTTCTGTGTACATGTCGTGTGTGCGTGAGCATTGGTCTCCGTGTGTCCGTGTTGTGTGTACATCTCGTGTGTGTGTGTTGAGTATTGATCTCTGTTGGTTTGTCTTGTTCTGTGTACATGTCGTGTGTGCGTGAGCATTGGTCTCCGTGTGTCCGTGTTGTGTGTACATCTCGTGTGTGTGTGTTGAGTATTGATCTCTGTTGGTTTGTCTTGTTCTGTGTACATGTCGTGTGTGCGTGAGCATTGGTCTCCGTGTGTCCGTGTTGTGTGTACATCTCGTGTGTGTGTGTTGAGTATTGATCTCTGTTGGTTTGTCTTGTTCTGTGTACATGTCGTGTGTGCGTGAGCATTGGTCTCCGTGTGTCCGTGTTGTGTGTACATCTCGTGTGTGTGTGTGTTGAGTATTGATCTCTGTTGGTTTGTCTTGTTCTGTGTACATGTCGTGTGTGCGTGAGCATTGGTCTCCGTGTGTCCGTGTTGTGTGTACATCTCGTGTGTGTGTGTGTGTTGAGTATTGATCTCTGTTGGTTTGTCTTGTTCTGTGTACATGTCGTGTGTGCGTGAGCATTGGTCTCCGTGTGTCCGTGTTGTGTGTACATCTCGTGTGTGTGTGTGTGTTGAGTATTGATCTCTGTTGGTTTGTCTTGTTCTGTGTACATGTCGTGTGTGCGTGAGCATTGGTCTCCGTGTGTCCGTGTTGTGTGTACATCTCGTGTGTGTGTGTGTGTTGAGTATTGATCTCTGTTGGTTTGTCTTGTTCTGTGTACATGTCGTGTGTGTGTGAGCATTGGTCTCCGTGTGTCCGTGTTGTGTGTACATCTCGTGTGTGTGTGTTGAGTATTGATCTCTGTTGGTTTGTCTTGTTCTGTGTACATGTCGTGTGTGCGTGAGCATTGGTCTCCGTGTGTCCGTGTTGTGTGTACATCTCGTGTGTGTGTGTTGAGTATTGATCTCTGTTGGTTTGTCTTGTTCTGTGTACATGTCGTGTGTGCGTGAGCATTCGTCTCCGTGTGTCCGTGTTGTGTGTACATCTCGTGTGTGTGTGTGTGTTGAGTATTGATCTCTGTTGGTTTGTCTTGTTCTGTGTACATGTCGTGTGTGCGTGAGCATTCGTCTCCGTGTGTCCGTGTTGTGTGTACATCTCGTGTGTGTGTGTGTGTTGAGTATTGATCTCTGTCCTTTCAGGGGGCCGCTTTAAGAAAGAGATCGCCGTTGAAGGTCTCAGCTACCTCCTCTTAATCCGGGATGAAGGGGGACCTCCAGAGGCACAGGTTAGTAATGTACGGGCGCACGAGTGTTCGAAGCGTGCACACGTTTCACGCGGCTGACTAGCAAGAGCGTTGGCGTCACAGGAAACAAAAACAGGTTCTGATTATGAGGATGGTGGTAAACGATATAGAAACTCATTCAATTAATATTTATTTTACGTGCCAATATCGCCCTCGATAAAGTGGGCATCGGTGCACATTAAAACGGAACGGGAATGCTACATGGGGCACGGAGCAACAGGGATGAAAGATTAAACCGTCACAACCTCAGCAGCTAAAACCGGCTGAGCAGAGTAATGTTAACAAATACAAAGATCCCTCACTAATAGCCTTTTAACAGACTGTTGGGGCAAGTGTTGTAACCGAGCACCGACGTGGTGGTACATGAGAGGGGTGGGTTGCCGGCACCACTCTCTGCTGCCTTTGCTTGCCAACCCCCCCAATGCTGATGTTTACACACTGCACAAAGTACTTATTTAAGTCTGAGATAACTTAGGAGGGGCTCCAGGACTGGTTCAGATATTCGCCACCGATATTGGTCCTAAGCGGGAATCGTACACGGGTCGCCGGGTTCGTAGTTCAGTGCGCTAACCACTGTGCCACCGCTCCCCAACGGAGCTGTAACTATTAGTCTCCCCGTGCCGTCAAACACGTAAGGCAAAAGTCCAGGCGTTTCTACTTTGATCTGTCACAAACAAGTTGTTCCAGGTCTCGTATGTCGTTAAGTGCTTTGGTGTTTGATGTTATTGAACGATGAAGTGTCCCTCTAGGCCAACCTCCCTTGTGTGTGAACCACTTGGGTTTCTGGTAGAACTCCTCCTTTGAAATTCCTCTCATCTGCCTTGCAGAGTACGTGAGCCAAGTAGATCCCTCTCTTTGCCTGTGTGCTAGAGTAGCTGCTGGTATTCCCCCTGCTGTGAATAACAATAGAAAGTTGCCAACCTGTCACCACCCACCGTCCCCCTCGCCCCTGTCGCTCACCATAAAAAGTAAAAGTCAAAGTTATTTCCTGCCCAATTGAGCTTTAAGGCGGTGCTCATCTCCCGTTTACAGTCATGGGCCTATTGTGGAAATCCACGTTCCTATGGCGGGGACAAGTATATCCACAGCTCTCCCACTGTTTGCTCTCCACAAGGTGGTACTAATTTTAATCACCCCCAGTAGTATGATGGACCGAGTCAACACCCAACCAGGATTTTTACCTCGCAACCTTCTGATTGCGAGCCGCTCGCTCTGCCACTGAGCAACCTGGCTGGTTCATGGTCTCAACAACACAGCATGATCCATTTATGGGCCGCCCCTTCACCAACCTGTGCTGACCAGCGTGGTAAAGTATAGTTAAGTAACTCCTATAACTGACATGACATTGTGAGGCCCTATCAAGCAGTGGATTGACAAAGGGCTGCGCATTATTCACGTTAACGATGAAGATGGCAAGTGTTTTGTTTGCGACTTGTACATCACTGCTAATACGGCCCGTTCATATTTTTGTGCTCGTTAAAAATTGTTTCCCCGTGGCACATCGCAGGAAGGGGCGTAGAGTCGAGAATACAATGTGTGGAAAAAGAGAAAGGAATAGGAGAAGGAAGGGATGCTGGGATGGAAGTCCCCAAAGTAGTAGACAAAGAAGAGGCCGCGGCTCAAGATGAACAGCAGGGAGAAAGGAGGAGCGCCGGGCAGTGAGGAGGGGGAATGACCGAGTCTGAGATGTCGGGGATGGGAGGTTGATCGTGACAGGGGAGGGAAGAGAGGAAGAGGGAACGAAGGAGCAAGGGGACGTGAGCTACACGGAGCAGTGTTTTCACAGGGGGCGAGGAGAGGGGAGGGATTCAGAGTTGGGGGTGGCCACACGCATAAGTCATGTGGTTTACGGGAGGCTTTAGCCGATTCAGATTTCTAGATAGACATTGATTGAGTTGTATGCACCTGTTTACAATAACATTAATAGTTAGTTGAACCGCACTTGAACACTCTGTACAATACATATTTCACGAATCCCAAACTGTAATTTGTTTTTCCCTCGGTCAATGTTCTCGAGTGAGAGGTCACTCATTCACCTTTGCTGCCCCTGTAGTCTGGAACTCCCTTCCCTCAGCCATCAGTGCTATCGGCTCTCTGCCCCTGTTCAAGTCCAGGCTCAAGACTTGCCTTTATTCCTCTGCCAATAACTGACCGCCTTTTTCTATCAATAAATATGCCAACGGTTTCTGTGCAGCATCTTTGAGATGACGTAGCATTTAGATCAGGGGTCCCCAACCCCCGGGCCGCGGACCGGTCTCAGTCCGTGGCCTTTAAGTCACCGGGCCGCACAGCAGGAGGCGAGCGGTGAGTCCGCGCGTGGCCCGTCCCCATTATTTTATTATTTACCACTTCCGTCCGCGCCTCTTTCCCGCACTGCGCACTTGTCTCAGTCACAGTGTTGGTATAAAGCCCACAAGCTCTAACCCCTAGTAGCCACAATGAGTAAAAAACAAACGTCGCTAGAGAGCTTCTTTGAAAAGGGGGAAAGATCCAATGATGACCGCCCCCCTCCCTGGTCTGTGAAAGAATTGTCTTCCACGAAACCGGTCCCTGGTGCCAACAAGTTTGGGGACCGCTGCTTTAGATGAAGTAGCATTTAGATGATATATAAATGAGCAGTGTATTGTAAAGTTTTAACCAACAGAGGGCATCACAGTCCAATGCACAGACATTTCCCAAACACATTGCACGTATATACTGTGCAGTATTATAGAGCATGGGTATATTTATTAATTTCATAATCGACAAATATATTTTTTGTTGTCCCCAATGTTATCTCAGCTGTGCTTATCGGTGTGGTGGAGATAGAATGGACAAATATTGAGAATTTCGATTTAAAGCTTTCGTGGACTGCAAGGATTCATCTTCTTTGGTTCTTTCGGTAAAGTCACGTAGAATGAGAATAAAATAACACAATAAAATTCTCACGACGTTTCGGCCACAACACAAGAACCAAAGAAGAGAAATATTAAGAACTCTCGCAGAAGCAGTACATCGCCCGGGGGGTTCGAGAACGGTCCACAGAGGGAGCTGTCACAGAACTACTTCTGACATTTCTAGTAACCTCTTATCCACACGAGGGGGCATCACTATCCCACCTGCTCTGCTAAAAAAGAAAAATGTGTGTCGCATGACAATAACATTTTTTATTTTTACTTTTATACAGCTTAAATTTAGTTCTACTAAGTGCAAAACTAAATTGAATGATTGGGGTTTTTGTGTGTGGTCAATAGTGAATTGACTGAGGCTGTCAACTTAACACACTTGAGAATCTGGTTTGCTCATGGATCAGGTCAGCCCTTTTGAGAAAGGATAAATTATTCTACAATACAAATCAGATGTTCAAGAGAACAAAAAATCCATATATTTTTTTTAATTGAACCGTGGTCAAACTCTCGACAATTAATTTAATTGCCGGTTGGAGGAGGGGTGGGATGAATCATTCCCCTCCACAGTGAAGATAGGAAGCCCCCTTAATTATAGCAGCATGTTACAATATAGCAATTAAATTAATAAATTTATTTTCGTGTATGAAGAAAAACTACAATTATTTTACCACCGTTTATGTGTGTGTGTGCTGAGGTGAAGCAGTGGTTAGAAGCTGAGTTCGATTCCCAGCCACAGTCAACACCAGTGGAGAGTGATATCTGAACCGGTCGTTGCTGTACTGTTTTTCTACGCTCCCGCATCTATGCTGCCCGTCTTCACCTCCGATTAGCACCTCTGACGAGCACGGTTGGCTACGTGCGGTGCGAAAGAAGTTAAACATACATAATACATTTACCAACCAGCACTGACCTGCATGGTGAAGTTTGATGGGCAACCAATTTGCAACCAATCTAACCTTACAATTAAAAAATAATAACCTTCAGCCATTTGTCAATCAAATTAATCGATATGTAGCAATCATCGCCCCCCTATTGGCAAACCAGTGCCCCAGATCACTCTAGCCAATGAGATTATCCTGGTCTTTCATTTCTCCCCTGGTTAAACAAAAAATGCTAAATTGTAACTCGGCCTTTCTCGACCAATATCCAAAATAGAGTTTTTTCCGGTTAAATAAAAATGTGTCGTTAAACTCGCCACCGCATAGTCAATTAGTAAAGTTTGTCAGTAAACAAAACGTGCCAATTCGCTACTAGTTCAGCATACCGGTGTGTTCGGAGAGTAAACCCACAATATTTACATTCGAGTAACGTGACCTTTTGCCGGTAATTACAACCAGCCTCATCGGGCGACAGCCAGAGTTGTGGAGAAATCGTCCTGTTTAGGTTTTAAACGGAGGGATAAATGTGACGTCACTTGTGAGCCAGTCATAATTTAAATTGATAAAGCGCCCTTAAACAATCGATATCAGGGTGCTAATCAGGTGCGGGGCGGGGGGGTAATATATTCATATAAATTACAATGCATATCCATTGAATGCACTCCTGGATGAACGCCTCCCAATGTTGTGTTTGTAATGCGAGCTTGGTTTGACGTTGTTACGTCACTGTGCTGGTGTCACTGCGGTTTGATAAAGTGGAGGCAGGAAGGTTAGTGGTACTGGTTCAGATGTCGCTCGCCACTAATGCTAGCCATGGCTGGGAATCAAACTCGCGTCACTGGGTTTCCGGTGCATCGGAAAAAGCAAATCGCTGTCTCCAAGAGGTGTCGTGTTGTAAAAGTGCATTCAAATAGAACTTGACTGAAAGCAGCCATGCTTACCAATGGCTTCTCTATAGCCTTTCGTGCTGTCAGTCATCATTAGTGCTGGCTGATAACAAATTATGCCAAGTTGTTAAATACATAATAAATTTAGAAATCCACCAATTTCATTATTCAACACTGCCTCAAAAGAGAGCTTTGTATTGTTGTTTTTTTAACGGGTGATTGTGCGCGATTGCCCATGCAGTCCCTTAATGGATTGTTTACGAATTACATTATAATTGAATTTAGCATAAATCAACAATTTGGGGTCTCACTTCCGCCAGCTAATCACCAATGTAGAAAATTACTGAGCAAAAATTCCAAGGGTGGCCTTACTTACGGTTTAATTATAATTATTGATAATAATTTTGGGTGGAGCTTGGGCGAAGTGGTTCGTGCACTCGGTCGGCTATGGCCCTGACAAACCAGTTTAAAAAATATATATATATTTTCTTAATTTTATTTTCGGCCACGTCTAACATCAGTGGCGAATGGAATCTGAACCAGTCATGGGCTACTTCCGAGCCGCCTTTTCACCAAACCACATTGACCGGCATGGTGAAGTATGCTCAATCCCCATTACTGACACGGTATGGAGAAGTCTTCATCCAGCAGTGGATTGAAAAGTGGTTGAAAGTTATTCGTTATTCTATTGCCTGCTTATTGGCTCGCTAGTGACATTATTATTTATTTCTATTGTCAGTTCCGTCTTACCGTCTTATTTAATGCGTGTTTACATTTCTTGCTATAAAACAACACTTACAGTTGCTACTACTGACAAAACAATTACTTCAAAATCATTCGGCGTTTCCACTCATGACTGTAACACAGACTAAGGTAGCGATAAATAAATAAATAGAGCTCGTGCACAGGTGCCAGGTTGACTATTAACACCACAGGACCGCGGGAGGTGGCAACAACTTGGAGGCTTTCATCCAGCAGTGGATTAGGGATCTGAACTGAAACTATTAAAAACATATTAATAGCTCTTTTTCAGAAGCGACGACACGGCCACAAATTATAGCTCAACGAAGCGACTTGTAATTGTGGAAATTTAAAGCGGCCAAATTCTTTAAATGCATGTTGATTCTAAATGTGGAGGGAAAAATAGCCAGAGGACCCGGAGAAACATCCACGCCTCCACGGGGAGAACATGCAAACTCCAGATATACAGGTGTCAGGGTCGGGCTCGAAAATACGACCTCCTGCAAACCAGGCGAAGTACCGTATTTTCCCGCATATAACCCGCGGGGTGTACGACTTTTTACAAACAAAACGACCCTGCGGGGTATATGGAGGTGCGGGCTATCTCAAAATATTTTACACGTGTGACATGTCGTAACTCGTTAAATGTTCTCATGGTAGGACTATCCACTATGCAACACTTACCTTTGACTAAAGCACTGCTGAATAAACCACTCACACTACAATTGCACGTGTTATCACGTTTTAAATTATTCGAATTGTTTGTACAATGAAACGACGATGTTTGAAGTGGGCGCACTTTGTTTACAGGGGACGGGAGAGCTGTGGGGGGGGGAAGAGAGGTGGGGGTTGGGGGGTGGGGCAGCTGGGGGGGAAGAGAGGTGGGGGTTGGGTGGTGGGGCAGCTGGGGGGGAGAGAGGTGGGGGTTGGGGGGTGGGGCAGCTGGGGGGGAGAGAGGTGGGGGTTGGGGGGTGGGGCAGCTGGGGGGAGAGAGGTGGGGGTTGGGGGGTGTGGGTCAGCTGGGGGGAGAGAGAGGTGGGGGGTAGGGCAGCTGGGGGGAGAGAGAGGTGGGGGTTGGGGGGTGGGGCAGCTGGGGGGAGAGAGGTGGGGGTTGGGGGGTGGGGCAGCTGGGGGGGAAAGAGGTGGGGGTTGGGGGGTGGGGCAGCTGGGGGGAGATAGAGGTGGGGGGTGGGGGGTGGGGCAGCTGGGGGGGAAGAGAGGTGGGGGTTGGGGGGTGGGGCAGCTGGGGGGAGATAGAGGTGGGGGGTGGGGCAGCTGGGGGGAGAGAGAGGTGGGGGTTGGGGGGTGGGGGGTGGGGCAGCTGGGGGGAGAGAGAGGTGGAGGTTGGGGGGTGGGGGGTGGGGCAGCTGGGGGGGGGGGGGAGGTAGGGGTTGGGGGGTGTGGGGCAGCTGGGGGGAGAGAGGTGGGGGTTGGGGGGTGTGGGTCAGCTGGGGGGAGAGAGAGGTGGGGGGTGGGGCAGCTGGGGGGAGAGAGAGGTGGGGGTTGGGGGGTGGGGCAGCTGGGGGGAGAGAGAGGTGGGGGTTGGGGGGTGGGGCAGCTGGGGGGAGATAGAGGTGGGGGGTGGGGCAGCTGGGGGGAGAGAGAGGTGGGGGTTGGGGGGTGGGGCAGCTGGGGGGGAGAGAGGTGGGGGTTGGGGGGTGGGGCAGCTGGGGGGGAGAGAGGTGGGGGTTGGGGGGTGGGGCAGCTGGGGGGAGAGAGGTGGGGGTTGGGGGGTGTGGGTCAGCTGGGGGGAGAGAGAGGTGGGGGGTAGGGCAGCTGGGGGGAGAGAGAGGTGGGGGTTGGGGGGTGGGGCAGCTGGGGGGAGAGAGAGGTGGGGGTTGGGGGGTGGGGCAGCTGGGGGGGGGGAGAGGTGGGGGTTGGGGGGTGTGGGGCAGCTGGGGGGAGAGAGGTGGGGGTTGGGGGGTGTGGGTCAGCTGGGGGGAGAGAGAGGTGGGGGTTGGGGGGTGGGGCAGCTGGGGGGAGAGAGAGGTGGGGGTTGGGGGGTGGGGCAGCTGGGGGGAGAGAGGGGTGGGGGTTGGGGGGTGGGGCAACTGGGGGGAGAGAGAGGTGGGGGTTGGGGCAGCTGAGGGGAGAGAGGTGGGGGGCGAGACAACGGCGTTACCGTAGTGCCGCTATTATCTGCGCAGTGCGCAATCTACCGGTGCTAAAACTGTACTTACCGTACTTATCTACCAGTTATGTGTTACTTATTTATTGGATATTTACTTTTGTTACTTACTGTTTTGAGTTCACTCGTTTCCGGTTAGTTTGTTTTCTTTGTGCACGTTATGATTTTAATGTTAACAATTGATAGTGGAATGTATTACAAATGTAAACTTCGTATTAATATGATGGTATTAAGCTGCGGTAACGACGTTAAAGATATGAATGCATGCGGGGTATATGGAGGTGCAGGCTATCTGAAATCTGTTTTCCACGAAACAATATTCTTGCGGGGTTTATGCGTCTGCGGGTTATATGCGTATGCGGGCTATATGCGGGAAAATACGGTAGTTAACATCTCTCTACCATGGCGCCCATGTCTGATGATGCTGATCATTGATGATGATTAACATAAACAGCACTTGATCCAATAGTTAGCATGTCTAATCTTTCGCTTTGTGCGTGCGTCATCATCACGATCCATGGGCAGAGAGCCCTGTAGCTGTCCACTGCACGTTTCGTCATTCGTTCCCACTTTCATCTGTTTGGTGCCAATATGCTCAAGTAGTGCACATCTTTCTGCGTGCGTGCGTGCATGCGTGTGTGTGCGTGTATGTTTTTACGTGCGTGTATGTTTTTACGTGCGTGTAGTTTGCAGCGTGGATGGACGCAGTGGTGTTTGTGTTCAGCCTCGAGGATGAGATCAGCTTCCAGACGGTCTACAACTACTACTCGCGGCTCTCTGCGTCACGCAACATGGCCGATATGCCCATCGTGCTGGTTGGGACGCAGGGTGAGCTTGGACCTCGCGCGCAAAACGGAACGGTTAACCGATCGTAGCACTTTGCTGCAAATGACGAGAAACTCGTGGGGACGGAAAATTTACCAAGTAGTAGGCAAACGCTTGCTCGTGCCAATGCTGGCGGGAAGGCCCTCCACTCGAGGGAAGATCTGGAGAGGCCCTTTGAAGTGGGTTTTTGATCGAAATACATGAGGTGGTGGTGCTCAGATCTGCTTATAGCCCTGGACGGGTGGCAGATATTCTACATTCCTATGCCTAGAGCTAGTCATTCTATGATTACGTGGTAAAAACATAACGCGTATGCGCACATACCATTTAATAGGCATGCAAAGGTACGTTGATAAAAAAATATTTTCTCATGCACACTGTAAATGCAAGTTTGTTTAAAAAATGACCGATTCTAAGTTGCACTTTAAAAAAAATGAACTAAAGGCCCCGCCCGTCCTCTGGACTTGACCTTCCGTCCGTGCCTCCAGCCAGCTATACTTTTTAAATGGTATAGTATGAAGTTGGGGGTGTGTGTGTGACCAGAATCTAATAACTTTGTAATGCAATCTTAATCGTCATTTACGAAATTCCACATCGAATGCATCTTGTCGTCTCGTCACAATGTGGACATTCAAATACATTTCCTATAATCTTTTATATACATAAACGAATTTCTTAAAAAAAATGCCTTTCATGCTTAGTTTGTTGTCCTTCCCCCGGTGGTGCGAAAGAAGCTGAACATGCATACATGGAGAATACGGTGCTCACATTGTTGCGCATGCTCCATGCGTAGCGATGATGCGGATGTTCGAGTTGTCTGTATTATCTCACCGTCGCGTCGTCCCCGTCGTCTTGGCCATGACGACGACGACGACGACCTCCACCCCGTCGTCATTTTCGGCGGAGAAGATGCCATCTGCGCCGCGAATCCGCGCGTCATCGACGACGCGCGGGCACGCAAGCTGTCCGGCGACCTCAAGCGCTGCACCTACTATGAGACGTGCGCCACCTACGGACTCAACGTGGAGCGCGTCTTCCAGGACGGTACTCGCCGCGACGCGCCACCACTCGCCCGCAGAGCGGTTGGGTGGTTGGGCGGGGGGTGGGGCGGAGGGGGTGCTCCTTAAACTCAAGTCCTACTTCCTGGGGGAGGCGGAGAGGCGGTGGGAGGGTGATTTTGTGCGATTTGTCAACCACCGGGGGTGTGCGTCGCGTGTTGCCGCTCGATTTGCACGCGGTCAGGAAAAGGTCGCAGCGTGGTGGGTCACGAGGGCTGGAGCGTCTGGTCATTGATGGATCAGAAGGTCTTTCGTTTCTTTAAGCGAAATTCTGATTCAGTATGGCTCATCCCTTTGTTTTTTATTTGAACAAATAATGATGAATTCGTTTAATGTCCTCAAATGCTCCGCAATCACTGTGTTATTTCGATGCGAGAAGAGTATTTGAAATGAATCATTTCAATACTGCCAAGTTACCGGCTGAATCTGGTAACGATGGCAATTTTTGTGCGACCAAAAAGTTACAACTTGGGGTTGTGAGATTCTCTATTGTGTTTCCTGTTAGCATAGTTGTGCCACTTGTCCTGTCATGGTACATGCATCGTTGTGTTTTTTTTTATTTTGTCGAGCTTACAGGTAGTAAACATCACATCCATCATGGCTTTGTCTAACACGATCATGTCCCCAGAAAGCAGCAAATCTACATTTTTTTGTTATCTCCTCTCTGATAAAGCGCAATAACAGGAAGTCTCCGTGGGGGGAAAGTTATAGAAGCAATGAAGCTTAACTATTGCCTTGGCACGAAGTCATTCTACGATCAAGTTTCAAGTTTTATATAATTTAGCCAGGTAAGAACCAAAGAGACCGGGATAGTTTCAGTCACAAGAGGGGACCTGGATCACCAAATTGACAGAAGCGAAACTATTAAAATAAAGAACAACGATGAAGCAGGTCGGAATTAGGTCAAAGACAACTGTGTCACGTGAGAGATCGTCACATGCGTACGAATGACTAAAGGAAGAAGTTGTCCGTCATTACAAAATTCCGCCTTTTTGTCTGTGAGATCATGGACGAAAGCAGTCGCTGATGGTATGAGTGAGACGGGGAGCCTTTTGCATTGCTCCTGGGCTCGTGCCTACAATGAATCACGGGGGGGGGGGGGGTTATTAAAGAGAAAGAGATCTTTCTTCAACCTGCTTTCTAGAAAGGGACTCTTTTATATTTCTTTGCCCAGGGGGGAGGGGGGGTTGGGGGGTTGTCAAATGCAAACACCCAGATCCGGTTATAATCTTAAAAAAGGATCTTTATTTAATTTTAGTTTTGCCTGATGCGCGTGTGCAAAAAAAGTAATGTGTTCCTCCTCCGAGTGCGCTGAAAACATGACAACACATACATACATTGTGCTGAAGATTGTTTTTGTAAAGGCATTCGGATTACAAGTTATGGGTAGCGCAGCCTGCAAAATAATTTCCGCCTTGCAGAGCGGAATCAGTTGCGTAGCCACGACTTGAATTTTCACGGAATATATCCTGAATCGCTGGCTCGCCCGAAGGTGGCACGTGACTAGTATTCATAGTGATAACAAGATGTATAATGGATGTGGTGTGAAATTAAGCCTTGAGTGTGCAGGTGGTGCAACTGCATCATGTTACACGGATTGGGGGGGGGGGGGGCGGGCAGGTATCAGGCTATGGAAGAGGTGGGGGGGGTGGCGGTTTTCAGTTCATTCCTTGCACCACCCCCCACGCCAATTACACTAGGCTGCTGGATAAAATATTTTTTGATATTTTCATAAAACCTCCCTCCGTTGAAAACATTGCTGCCACTGTGGTGTAACGGTGAGCGCACTGGACTTGCAATCTATAAGTCGCCGGTTTGATCCAATCTCCCGGCGTGGCGGTTGAAACGAGAGTGCAAGTTTCCTAAATCCCCTGCTGTCTCTCTCCGAAATTTTTTTTTAATACAATTTTTTTTAGAACTGCTTTTAGTTTTAGTTTGTTGCCCTTTCTGCGCACCTCCCAATTAGCATGGTTGGCAACGTACGGTGATTTATTTATTTCTATTTTTTACATGTTTTATCTTCTACATTTATTCATTATTTATTTTTTCACCTACGCGACTTTACCGAAAGAACCAAAGAGTAAGTTCAACATACATAGAGCAGTGTGAATGGGTGCACCGCAGTAAGTAAACCGTGTGTGGTGGGTCGAAGTGTGGGTACCATTTTCACTTGCAAAACATCTGACCGGTGTGGAAGAGCATGCTAAAAACACCCTTTAGAGGAGCTGTCCTCGACCCCTATCTATTGGAGGCTTTCGAGCAGCATTGGCATTGAGCGATTAATTGCAGGGCTGTACCTTTACCTTTTTGCCCTCGCCTCCGTTTAACGGAAAGGATAATTATGAGTTTTGATGGTGACTGCACACCGATGTGGGCTTCGTGCATCTGTGTGGTTTTGGTGCTGAGCCTCGAAAAAACGACAACGATATTCTACAGGATGACCCTCCACGGGGAGCCTGGTAATTAAGACGAGCCTCGTTAGAGCGATTAAATCCTGTGCCTGTCACGTTCTGGCTTGTCACCGTTAGCTGGGGTGAGCTGCCAAGCGACCCTTGTGAACTGCGAATAACGCGGAGCGCCGCGGCGGTAAAAATGCCGGCAGAGATTTTTTTTCTTTCCCCAATTAAAGCGCTATCGTCCCGACGTCAAGTTCGATTTCGCAAAACATAGGTGGAAAGCTAATACCTTTCTGCACTTCAGATGTTCTTCGCTATTTTTAGAATCTGTATTTTGCGAAGGGGAAAAAGAAGAGTTATTATTATGCAACCCCAGTAATTATATCCATCGGTGAATACTGGTTTTCCTCGCTTTATGCGGGTTCTGTTTGTGCGATTTCGCATATGTGGGGCTAACCTCCCTCTGATTAGCATGATTGGCTACATACGGTTTGAATGAAGTTCAACATATATACATTTTTACCCAAAAGTCATGATATGCTGTTTGAATTCACACATGCGGCCTTACCCTGTAAAATATAATTTATGCAGTCGGTCATGGGGGTTGAACCATACTTCGCCGTGCTAGTCAGTGCAGGTTGTTGAACGGTGAGATCATAAACAGTTCAGACATCACGAACCACCTTTCCGCCAAATTTAAATACATTCAAATCTGGATTTAAGTACACCTGGAGTACAAGTACATATGTGTGTATGTGGTTGTATCAGAAGTTTACAATTGCCCTCCCCGCACCAATGTAATATTAGGATGTGTTGCTAATATCAGAACTGTGCTTGTTTAAGGCACACTTATATCCATCTTCTACTGCATCTCAAAGGTTTATTTACGCACGCATAACAATTTTATTTTGCAGGTGAGGTCATGAAGCGGTGCCGTCTGGGTTAAAGAGGTTTTAAATTAACGTCACTCGATGGGGCTGCTGCAGTTAGTGGCGTCTGGGAACCATCGCCTTTGATAATAATGCGTTTTTGATTTAAAATAAAAGTCGTACATTTTACACTCAGCGGAATGAATAATTGCGTTGGAGGATTGTGTTCCTTTGATTCGGCAGAAATAAGGAAGCCATGGCAAGGTGTGGTGGCGGTGCAGCAAAATCCATTCATGTACCCTCTGCTTCTTTGCTCCCTTGTCTATGCTGCTTCATTAACCCACCAGTGGCCAGGGTGGTATGTTGTGCTCAAATATGCCCACACGACACGCACAGCGTAGCGATGAGGCCCTCATCCAGCACTGGTTGTACAAAAGGGCTGTACGAACGCAATTATAATTTTTCGATTTAAAGCTTTCGTGACTGCAAGGATTCATCTTCTTTGGTTCTTTCGGTAAGTCACGTAGAATGAGAATAAAATAATAAATTGATAAAATAAAATAACACAATAATATTCTCACGACGTTTCGGCCACAACACAAGCGGCCTTCATCAGGTGAAGGGACGAGACTGTCTGGTAGGACAGCGCTGTCCTACCAGACAGTCTCGTTGTGGCCGAAACGTCGTGAGAATATTATTGTGTTATTTTATTTTATCAATTTATTATTTTATTCTCATTCTACGTGACTTTACCGAAAGAACCAAAGAAGAAAAAGCAATTATAATTTTTAAAAAAAAATCTCATCCACCTGCAACAGTTTTCTAGCCGTGCTATCGATGCCCGGCTTCATGTTAGCTACGCTTCAGATCTTGTAACACGTCGGTAATCCCTCTGCCAATGTTTCGCCATCGTGTGTGTTACCCGCCATGATTACGGACCTTTAGTCAGTTTGACAGCTTGTCAGGTTTGACAAGTTCTCGTGTGTACGTGTGTGTGTATGTATGTGTGTATGTAGCCACGGTGTGGGGAGCGGTAGCGTAGCTTGCGCTATGAACCTGGCGACCCGAGTTCGATTCCCGCTCTTGGCCAACACTATTGATGATTATCTGAACTGGTCCTGGGCCTCCCCTAGGCCGACTCAGCCTCAAATCAGTACCTGGTGTAAACATCGCCACTGAGGAGACAAAGGCGTCCGAGCGTGGTGCTGACCACCCACCCCCTCGTGTGCTGTTCTGGCCTTCATCGGTGCTCACTAACAGCACTTGCCCCAACAGTCTGTTAAGGCTATACGGGGGATCTTTGTCTTTGTCGCCAGAGTGTCGTGATGTTATCTTCCTCACTTGGTATGCAGGAGGTTTAGGGGTTCGATCCTGACCCTGACGCCTGTATATTTGGATCTTGCATGTTGTCCCCGTGGTCGCGTGGATTATTTATCTCTGGTTCCTTCCACATTTGGATACATTCATTTAGGGGATTTGGCTGCTGTAAATTTACGAATGATAAGCCACTTCGTTAAGCTGTCATTTGTGGCCAGGTTGCTTCCGAAAAATAAGCTAATAGCCTTTACCTGGTAAAATAAAATTGTTTAGTTTTATCTGTGTGTTTTAGTAATTTGCTTACCTTTCCTATACCTTCCACTCCCATCGTGTTTTTGTATTGTTTGTTGTTGTAACGTCCTGACCCCGTGCCCCCACTGAACATCGCAAAAACGAGCTTCACAGCTTATCGGATTCTTCCAGCATAAATAAACATTCTGCGTCTGTGTGTGTGCGTGCGTGCTCGCCACAGTCGCTCAGAAAGTGGTGGCGATGCGCAAGAAGTCCCAGCTCTCCGTCGGCCCGTGCCGCTCGCTGCCCAGCTCCCCCAGCCACATCCTGGTGCATTCCGCCTCCACCCCCTCCGCTGCCGTTGGCCAGGTGAGGAAACGCGGGGCCCCCGCACGGCGATCCCATGGAGGTCACACGTCGTCGGAGACTGCTACGCGTTGTTTTCACTTTCGTGCTGTACAGCTCTGTAATTTATGTTCTGGTTATCCTGACTGTAAACGTACGTAAACAGAAGGCAGACTGGTGACGTGCACGTACATCATCGGAACGAGAAAGGGTTAATGGTGTGTGCGTGTGTGTAAATTCTAGGTGGTTGGTGGTGGTGGTGGTGGAGGTGGAGGGAGGCAGCATTGCGAGCGAGACTCTGAGCGAAGGCTCGTCTTCCGTAGACGAAGACGTACATCATCCAAACGGGAAAGAGTGAATGTTGTGTGCGTGTGTGTGTAAACTCTAGGTGGTTGGTGGTGGTGGTGGTGGAGGAGGAGGCAGCATTGCGAGCGAGACTCTGAGCGAAGGCTCCTCTTCTGTCCCGTCGACGCCCGGCGGAGGGCCTCGTGACGCCACCAAATCCCGAGAGGGCCCGGTCCCGCCATTGTCGGCCACTCCTACCCCCGTGCACAAACCCTCGCGTTGGCGGTCAAACATCTTCGCCGTAAGTCACGTGGACGAGCAGGAGCGCGTTTGAGGCTTGTCGTAGTAGACGTTTGTGGCTTGAGCCACTGGTTTCCCTGAGATGAGGGGATAATTAATTGGTTGTAGGAGGAAACCCACTCGTGTGAGTAGGAAAACTCAAAGCTCTGCACAGGTGGAATGGTAGAATCCATTGTTGTATGCCATTTCCTGTCCACGTCGTAGCACAAGTCTACAACACCCAGCATTCCCAAGCAGGTCTCCCTTTCAAATCCTAACCAAGTTCTTAACCCTGTTGAGCTTTTGGAGATCTGGTGAAATCTGGCCAATTCAACGACAGGTGGATGGACAGTTTCTCACAGTGGCAGAGCATCGTATTGATGATAGAAACGTACGTGCGATATCGTTCACGCCATTTGTATGTGCCCGTGGTAAATTATGATGTCGAGTGAAACCCTGAAGTCAAGATGTTGAGCTTTTTTTTCCTCTTTTTCTCTCTTCTTTGCTGTTTGAAGTCGCGGAAAGGCAGCGACTCGGACAAGAAAAGCCTGGACGGGAAATCGGACAGCATCGGGAGTGGCCGAGAGATCCCCATTAAACAGGTAAAGCAGGAGCAGATAAGGGCACAATGAGGCCCGGTTCATTTGATTAATCAAAAAGGTCGTAAGAGGTTTTATTTGTCATGTAATATCACCCCACCCTCCCCCCCCCCCTTACTTAAGCTAGGTATAAAAGCATTGTACGAACAAGTTTTAAGATAACACGCACTTAAGGAGATAGCAGTGAGGAAATAGCGAGTCCCGCATTCCCTTCTAAACACACGTAGATGCGGAGTGCACCGGACAGCGGCCGAAAACGCATTCCAGGCCCGAGGAGCAAATGTTTTAATGATCGATGCACAGCTAGCAATTGTAACGGGCTGCTTTTTGCGTGCTTGATGCTGGTGAGAACTTGCGGAATACTGGAATGAGGAACACGTGGATTAGGGAAACATGCACACGTTCGATGTTTCATATTGACTTGAGAAAATGAAGTAGCCAGCCATCAAACAAAGATGGTCACTGCATCGCGCGTTTTCAGACGTGCTTCTTTCCGATATTAGGAAGCCAACGGAGCTATGCACGTTGAAATCTTAGATTGAAAACTCATCCCTTGAGAATTGCTTTTTGTGTTCAGTTGTCTTTCCCGCACACCTCCGATGAGCACAGTTGGCTACGTATGGTGCGAAATAAGTTCAGCATACATAAAAGGGATGATGTCAGGTGGTCAACAAACAGTCGAGTGGCAGCAAAATGAGGAAAGACGCCCAAGAGAGTATGTGTACCACGGAGATGGAACAATGAAATCTGCTCGTGTGTGACAGCCGCATGGATTGCTGCATCGCAATGCCGAGAGATGACAGCAGCTTGGTGAGATCATCACGATGATGATGGTTAATGAAGGAAAAAGTTATTTTTAAATGAAGAAGAGAGGTCTAGAATACTGCAGACCAGTGGCGACGTTATCAATGAAGAAACTTCACAGGAGAAATTTGGCAGCAGAGGCCGATCCAGAAACTTGCCAAGGGGGCACAGTCCTGAAATGTCAAGTTTTATACGTCGAGCCCTTATAAAGTATAATAAGACAATGTATATTTTTGTTATCGTGAATATAATAAAATACCCAAAAATGTTTTTGGGGTCTTAAAAGGCGGGCGATCACGCGTCCCCTCTCCCCCACATAGCATCTGCTTAGTCGTGTTGCAGAAAGGAAGAGGAAACCGGTTTCAACCTTCAATGTCTCGTCAGCAGTGTCAGTGGTCGTTCTCAGTGTCGGGGGCCCGCGCTTTTGTCGTGTGGCATGAATTGGATGTGGAATTGCGAAGACAAAACCTCTGCCACGCCTCTCCAAATCCCCACAGCCTCCTGCAATTTCCATCCTGCCTTACTTTGAAAGCTTTGCGTCGGGCACACGGAGCACTTGACTGATCTCCTGTTATTAATGCATTACAGTATCAGTATAATTACTACTACTATTTTTTGCTCTCGCTTTATATGTCTGACTGGCGCTCTCTCCGACGAGTGATGATCATTATTAATCACCTCGGCACTGCCTTGGGATGCTTTCCTCAGACTAATTGCCCACATTTTGTCAAGATAATGGCGGTCAACGATGGTACAAACTGAGAGGCGAAGAGATCGCGGGATTGGTCGGGGGGGGGGGGGCGTGTTGCAAGGACGCACGGATGGGTTGAGTGGCACTAGGGCGGGACATTTTATCGATGTCTGTCCGGCACAGATGGGTTCGTTGACTTTGACGGGTCGCACATTTTCCTTGTCGTTTTTTCCTGCTTAAAAGTTTTCACGTGGCATCTTGCCGTGGAGTAACGGTGAAGCGCACCGGGCTTGCGATCCGGATGCCACCGGTTCAATTTGATCCCCTGGCACGGCAGTTGAAACAATGTCCAGTCAGCGGTATCAATGGGTACAGCCACAGTCGATCGGCAGGTTGCGCGTGGTGAGATAAAGTGTGGGTACTCCCACCTCTACCAATATGTCTGGGCGGTGTAGGTGAATAGACCAAAATGCCCTTTATTGGGACTTATTTAGAGCTCCATCTAGTGGAGGCATTTCCGCCAGCAGTGGATTGAGACGGTCATTTTCAGGTTCGCACCTGCACCTCGTTTACAGTGTGCTTGGCTCAGTGAGAAGGTTTTAACTGGTAATCTTGCTACTGTGAGTCAAATGGTTTACCTACAGTGCCACTCGTTGAGATAGAATCACGCTGTCTTTTTTTCAAGAAATTCTCTGTACAATAAAATTATCTTGTCAAGTGCAATACAGTCGGGAGGTATTGAACGCATAAATGCGATCCTCAACATGTGGCACAAACAAATGTGGGAAATTCACATCAACAAGGGGGCTTGGGGAAAAGGTAGGAGTGAAATAAGTTATTTGTCAGTAAACTTTGTTTCCCTCATCTGGTCCATACACATAGGGGGCAGAACTGGTTGACCCACCCTGTCGGACGACAATGAAATAAACGGGAGGGACTATTTTTTGAAAGTTTACTTTCGAACCGGACAAAGCTATTTTAATTGCCGAATCTACGTATCCTTGCATTAACTGTTGTTTTCACTGGGAGGAGTTGATCGGTGTGAAGAATGGAGGTGCTCCATAGATATTTGACAGTCCGTCCGTCATAGACAGTGGAGGAATTTAAATGTCCTTGACCTGCACCTGTACAGGTCTGGACACTTGTGTTTTTGTTGCTTTCGTTCATTCACTCAACCTCTCTACCTTCCTGCCCTTGTAAAATCCCATATCCACCATTGCCCCACCGCCCCCCCCACCCCCCCCCCCCCCCCCCCCCGTTATCCCTTGTTCCCACAGGGTGTTCTGCTGAAGAGGAGCGGCAAGTCGCTCAATAAGGAGTGGAAAAAGAAATACGTGACTCTGTGTGATAATGGAACGCTCACCTACCACCCAAGCCTGCACGTGAGTTGTCGTCCGTTTCGAGATCTGTCGGTCATTGCGCGTGGCTACTTGCGTCCGGGCGGATAGTGGTCGAAGGGGCGGCTGCTATCGACAAACAGGTTATCTCCGATTAGCGATTAGCACGGTTGGCTACGTACAGTGCGAAAATTTCAACATACATGCTGCGCTTAGACTAACACTACCCATAGACTCAACACTGCCCATAGACTAACACTACCCAGACTCAACACTGCCCATAGACTCAACACTGCACTTCCTTTAAGCACGGTTGGCTACATACGTTGCGAAAGAGGTTCAACATACATATTGACCCATAGACTAACACTACCCATACTCAACACTGCCCATAGACTCAACACTGCACCTCCGATTAGCACGGCTGGCTATGTACGGTGCGAAAAAGTTAAACATACATACGTACGTCATGGGCGGCTGCGAGGCTGTGCGGCAGGCGGCGGAGGGGAGTACGGCAGATCCTTAGTGGCGCTGCGCTTCTATGCCACCACGTCTATATGCTCCCCCGCCTTCACCAACCCACAATGCCCAGGGCGGTGAAATACGGCCAGATAATCCCCATGTCTTGTACAGCATGGGGGAGGGGCGGGGGGGGAGGAGGAGCCCTTATTTGGCATCAATGTGGTGAGGTATGGTCAGGTTATATCCCCCACCACCTGGATGACGTGTGGAGGGCCTCATCCAGCAGTCGATCGACAAGAAGAGCTGTACATGTGCTCGGAGATATTGGCTCTGTCCATTATTCTCAAATTATTATTTATTTACCCAGGAGACCCACGCTGAGTTTGAAGGCCCCTTTTCAGGAGGGTCCTGCATTGGGACGTTTGGCCAGCATTCTAAGCGGCTGGTTCGTGTACCTGTTCTCTCGCGAATCGATTACTGCAATGCCTCACTGGTTGGTGTTTCAAATAAGGTCCTTGGTAGACGAAAAATTGTTCAGAATGCGGCAGTTGGGGTGCTCACCCGAACCCCATTGCGTGACCATATTTCTCCTGTTCTCTTATCATTACGAGTTTCAGAGCCTTCTACTCGTTTTTAAAGCCTTGCATGGGCTGGCACCACCATATATTCACGAGTTAATTCATCCGTATACCCCCCTCAAGGTCGTTAAGACCTGCAGACTCCGCCCTTTTGTGCTTACCTCGATCTGGGCTGCGTTCTTGGGGAGAGGGTGCATTTGCTGTGTCTGCGCCACGGTTGTGGAATTCCCTACCATTGGAAATTCTTTATTCCGACAATGTTGATGCTTTTAAGTCTCGTCTTAAAAACACATCTTCTTGAGTCAGTTCATACTATTCAGCTGCTCCGTCTCTCTTGGCCTTTCCTTGTCCTTATTCTAACAAAGCGCCTTGAGACATTCGTGGAAGGCGCCATACAAATAAATGTAAATTATTAATGTCTGTGTTTTTTTAGCTATGGGAGGAAACCAGAGAATCCAGAGGAAACCCATGCAGATCAGAGGGAGAGCATACAAATTTCCCACACAGAAAGGCACCTGAGATGGGAATCCAACCCAGGACCTTGTGGCTGTGAGACACAAGTGCCACCACTGTGCCACCCTGCTGCCCTACTGAAGAATCCAACTCTCCTGTCTGTCTCCCTCTGATATAGTCTCCAAAGTATATGCCCTCCCTGGTGACCTGGAATGTATGAATACCCACGTGTTTCCTCCATTCTTTTCTCTGCGCCTCCACTATAAGGTCACACTCTAAAGGATTCGTGGAACTTTTTTTCAGCAACATTTTAATTATCAAGCGTGAAATTGAACGGTTGCAATTGCGTGTGTGTGTCTGTACTCGTGTATGCGTGTGTGTGTGTCTCTGTACTCGTGTGTGTGTGTGTGTGCGCTTGATAGCAGCACTTGCCCCAACAGTCTGGTAAGGCTATGCGGGGAATTTTTGTCTTTGTGTGTTTGTGTGCTTGCGTGTGTGTTTCTGTGATGTATGTGTTATTGTGTGTCTTTGTGTGGCGAGTGAGACAGTGGTTAGTGCACTGCGCTGTCAATTGTTGTAGTCTAATTCTGTGTTCCCACGTCTACGCTCGCCACCGAAACCAACACGCACCGACCAGCGTGGGTTGAGACTGGAGAACGCTGGAATGGGCGACCACCATACATCACATGTTTTTATAGGTACAGGGCTACATTGCCAGCAGAGAGGGCAGTGTAGCAAAAAGCCATTGAACTGTAATACGCTTCGACGTCTTTGCTCTATGCCTTGACTACATCCATCCTAATGAGCATGGTGAAGTATGGGCAAACAATCCCCACCACCCACACAGCATGCGCGTTGATCCACCAGTGGATTGACAACAGGGCAGGCTCTATGTGAATCAATTAAAAACACAGTTGTGGTGTTTTTGCAATCACGATGTTCAATCCGTGCACTGCTGGATGCGCGAACCCCTGTGCTTTCTAGTGATCCCCACGCCACATAAATTGCTTTTGAAAGCGTGCCAAATCATTATTCCATCCAGAAACATATTCTGCTGCCGCTGCGTTTGGCCATAACTAGGGCCGTTGTGTGAATCTTGTAATTCAGCGCCTCGTACTTGTCTGGCTGTGTTAGAAGTTGGCATAAGCCAGCCCGGTTGACCTGATGATAACCACTCAGCTAACTCGCTCGCTCGATAACTAAACCCACTGCAGCAATTCCTCTCATCCCAAATATATCGCCTCTTCATCCCAGAATCAGAATATTTATTTTACACTGGAGGAATCTGATGAGCTGTAAAGCTATTTTTCACAGATGTCTAGTAGGGGCACAGAGCTACAACAACAAACACTACAAAAACCAGGAAGGAGTGCAAAGTGTAGGAAAGGTAAACAGATATTTTCAAATAAAATGAACAATGTTTATTGTACCAGGTAAAGCCCACCGAGCTTATTTTCCAGACGCGACCTTGCAACAAATGATAGCTCAGTGAAAGTGGCTTATCACGTGGGCATTTATAGCAGCCAAAAACTGGAGGATCTGTAGAAAAATCCATGCGACTCTGAGGAGAACATGCAGCCTCCATATATACAGGCGGCAGGGTCGGGATCGAATCCACAACCTCCTGTATGCCAGGTCGAGGTAGTTAAGATCTCTCCACCATGGCACCACCGTTGGCGCCATGGTGGACAGATGGAAGGTGGGTGGGGGGTTTAAGTAACTTGACCATTGTTTTAATTACTGCACAGGGAGATTTAAATTGTAACATCTGGATTACAAGTCCAGTGTCATAACCATGACATCGTGGCACCATCCGCCTGTTTACATATATTGCTGTATACCGTAGCAATACAATTTGTAACTGTATCGCACTGTCTGTATGCCACCGCATCTCAGGACCGTGTCCAGATAGAGTGGGTGTATTTATTTCGTCCCACTCTGGTGGACCGCTATTATTTGTTGGCATTTCATTCCCAGTTCATTTGGCTCAAAAGCCGTTGGTGAAGTCGGAAGTCCTCTCCATCCATAGATGCGTCGCCTATGCCATGTGATAGCCTAGCAGTGGAAAATATGACTACTTCGGCAATAATACTCGGTTTTGATTTAAAGCGTTCGTGACTGCAAGGATTCATAGTAAAGGTTTTTGGGTTAGATCGCGTTATTTATAAATGTGTCGTAACCCTCCACCACCCGACACGGCCAATCAGCAAAAAAAGTGTCACGTTGACAAAAGACAAATAATTCACTACTTTAGCCCACCGGTGTGTTGAAGAGTGAATCCACAATATTTACAGTTTGAGTACGACGTTTCGCTGGTAAATACATCCAGCATCATCGGGCAATTCGCCAGAATGGTAAAGCCCTCGCTTGCTCCCGGTTTTATATAGAGCAGCAGGGTGACGTCATCATTTAACTCTTATCAGGTGCAGTGATTAGAAGCGGATGGGGGGGGGGGTATTGTAATTCTATAATCGATTAGTAATCAGTCAATGGTTATGATTAGTAATGAGTTGTAGATTAGTAATTAGTTGTAATGTGTGTTAGTGATTATATGCTATGTTAGTAATCCGTTAATTAGTATGTGTTTCCCCTCTAAGGAATTGTAATGTGCATTCATATTCTTAGCTCCCTCGGCAAAGCCACGCCGAAGGGAAACAACAAAACAACAAACATATATATTATATTATTTTATTGCTTCCCCCCAACGCGACTCCACCGAAAGAGCCAAGAACATGAATTACTGCAGTCACGAAAGCTTTAAAAACAAAATGTAATGTGTATTATTTAATAATACGCTTCCAGGCCGCACTAAGCCTGTAGCTGTCAGAGCGATTAAACTTATTCTTATTCCTCTCAATTTCAATGGATTCTCTAATTAGTTTTTGCCAGTAATTAGTTTTACACAACACTGCAACATTGTCAAAATCAATTGAGTGTCCTTGTTGACAAGCATGTTCTGCCACTTACTCCTGATGATATTCTGGTAAGTTTTGATGTGATTTCTCTATTCACTAAGGTTCCAGTGAACGAATCGCTTAAATTACTTGATACACTGGTAAAGAATGCCGGTTTACCAAAAGATATTCCGAAACTTGCTGGCCATTGTTTAAATAACACTTCTTATGGAGAGGGGATTTCTTTAAACAAAAGGAAGGAGCTCTCCTTTATCCCCTGCTATAGGAAATTTGTACATGGAAAACTTTGAAATAAGAGCACTTGCCTCGAGCACATTAAAACCATCCATGACTGCAGTAATTCATGTTCTTGGCTCTTTCGGTGGAGTCGCGTTGGGGGGAAGCAATAAAATAATATAATATATATGTTTGTTGTTTTGTTGTTTCCCTTCGGCGTGGCTTTGCCGAGGAAGCTAAGAATATGAATGCACATTACAATTCCTTATAGGGGAAACATACTAATTAACGGATTACTAACATAGCATATAATCACTAACACACATTACAACTAATTACTAATCTACAACTCATTACTAATCATAACCATTGACTGATTACTAATCGATTATAGAATTATAATACCCCCCCCCATCCGCTTCTAATCACTGCACCTGATATGAGTTAAATGATGACGTCACCCTGCTGCTCTATATAAAACCGGGAGCAAGCGAGGGCTTTACCATTCTGGCGAATTGCCCGATGATGCTGGATGTAATTACCAGCGAAACGTCGTACTCAAACTGTATATGTTGTGGATTCACTCTTCAACACACCGGTGGGCTAAAGTAGTGAATTATTTGTCTTTTGTCAACGTGACACTTTTTTTGCTGATTGGCCGTGTCGGGTGGTGGAGGGTTACGACACATTTATAAATAACGCGATCTAACCCAAAAACCTTTATTATGAATAATATTGGTCGCGAAAGCCTACGTGTTAAACTGCAAGGATTCATCTACTTGGTTCTTTCGGTAAAGTCACGTAGAATGAGAATGAAACAATAAAACAAAATGAGACAATAAAATTCTCACGACGTTTCGGCCACAACACAAGTAGCCTTCTTCAGGTGAAGGAACGGAACTGTCGGGACGACAGCGCTTCAATGAACGCTACTAAGATTCGCGAATCTTATTATTCCACGTGACTTTACCGAAAGAACCAAGAAGATAAATACTAGGTTAAGCAGCACTTGGCATTCGAGATGTCGCCATTTCCACGGAAGCTCGCTGTTCACGAATAACAGTAATTTATATTTTTATATTATTACATAAATTGCCTCGTGTAAATTATCTTCAAAACGGTGTCGAATTTGTGACGGGCACAGTTTTTTCCCTGCAGGTTGGTACAGCAAGCGACAGACGAGCAGCAAGGGCGGTCAGAACAGGCGTTAACAATTTCCCCAAGCTCTGTGGGCCTATATTGGGATGTTTGGCCAAACTCTTAAGAACAGACTTTGGTGAACATTCCATTAAAAAAACCATTGTCAAACATATATGGGGGTTGCCTTTGACTACAATCACAAGTGGTTAAAGTTGACCTCTGACTACATTTATGACTTACGGCGAGGTTGAAATTGAAAAGTGTCTCCGCTCTAATCGTACATCAGACGGTCCTCATCGTTTTGTTGTTTTAGTTTTGGTTAAAGAGATGAAGAGGCAAAGGGAGGAAAGCGTTAAAGTGACTTGTGTCTTTATTTGTGTTCATTGACCGAGCTGTCTTGTGATTGCCTCATTTCTGCCGCCCTTAATCAAGGGATTCTGCTCCTGATTACAGCGGTGGCTTGAGCTACATTCAATTAGCCTTTGCAAACATGCTAATTACGGCGTAACGAGTGCTAATTACACCCGGGACAAAGCTAAAGTAGAGCACCCATCCAAACAGATGTGCATTTTTAACCAAATTGTTATTAATTAATTTATGTACTTGCCCTGCCTTTTTTTCCTGCTAGAATAGTAATTCCGTAGATGGCGTGGGCGAGCGAGTATGTGAGTGAATGTTATGCGCAGTGTCAGAGCGGCGAGCAACCTGCACGATGAGCACAAATCCACAAAATTGGTGGCGAGTGATATCTGAATCGGTCCTGGGTATCGGTCCTGTGTGTCCCCCCCATCAACCCCCCCCATCCCCCCCCCCCTTCACCAAACCTGCGCTGACAGGCATGGTGAAGTATTCATATAAGGGCGGTGACGTGGCCATATAGGTGTCGCGCGTTCTCCGCTTGTTGGCGGAGGTTCATGGTTCGAAGCCAGCGGCCGCCCTGGTTATTTTTGTTGTATTTAGTCGGTTGTCTTTCCCCCGCACGTTTGGCTCATCATGCAGTCTGTCCCCAAGGACGATGACCTCTTGCATCGGGAGTCAGTAATCCTTCATCATCTTACGTGGTTGTAGTGTTTGATTCCTGTGAGTTCGCTTGTGAGTAGCCAGACCAGCGTTTGAACGTACTGCATGAAAGAAGTTCAACATGCATACGTACGTATTACTCTAGGTGTGCATTAACTGTTAAACTACACGCGGTCTGCTTCACTCACGGTGGACGTTAATAGAGCCCATGACGTAATTTGCAAGAGTAGGCCACCCTGTGCAGGTGTCATAGTCCAAATTTGCAACTACAACAAAAATGTAAACAATTACATCACCCCTTTACTGTGAAAACTTGACAGGACCCCTCTGGGACAGAGTCATGAGATTCTGGAACGTTTTCCTGGGTAAATAAGAATATTTTTAAATGTATATAATGGTCATGAATGCCCAAAGTTAAAAGTTCTTCGACTGCAGTTCGCTCATCTTGAGCCTGGCATTTGTGTTTCTAATCATTACAATTTATAATGCGTAGAACGTGCTGTCAGTTTCACAAGACCAATTAAATGAGTCAATGAACTATGAAAATGATGGTGTCGTATAATTTCCATGCTGTCAACCACTGAAAAAAAACACATTTAGTAAGTTGTAATTTTGTGGATTTTTTTTGGCTATTTGTTTGCGACTTTCATTGTCGAGTTTGAGTGTTTTTTTTAATTTTCATAAATATTTTGTCAGGAAAGAAAACGCATTTCTTAGATACATAAAACGAGCAACAATAATCACCATATATAACAATATTCTGCAATATGCACGATATTATTGCAGGTTCTTATATCGGGTAGGGATGATGCTGCCACAGTGGCGCAATGGTTAGCAGGCTGGACTTGCAATCTAGAGGCCACCGGTTCGATTTTATTTCCAGGTGCGGTGGTTGAAACAACGTTTGGCACGTTCATTAATCCCCACCTCTCTATGCAACAAGCAGTATTAAATGGGTGATTGGCAGGTTATGTGCGGTGGGGTAAAGTGAGAGTATTCCTTCATCGTTAAAAGACGTCTGGCGAGCAGGGAAGAGTAGGCCAAAAATACCTTCTAGAAAGCACCTTTTTTTGAGCTGCCTTTAGTGGGGGAGGCCCTTCTGCTAACAGTGGTGTGAGCACAGCAATTGCAGTGCTGTGCCTCTACCTTTAAATGATAAGCCACTTCATCACTAGACCTCCTTTGCCAGTACCAAAATATAATAATAGGGTTTTTCCCCTTTTTTCTGGCAACAAATTTTTTTACAAGGATTCATGTCTGCATTAACCACAATACCTGCAGTCAAAATGCAAACAAAAAACATACTATGATAATATATGCATTGTCCTTGAAACTGATTGGTCCACACCAATGGACGGCTTTCTTTTGAGCCTCGACCCAATTTGTGCTCGACCAGATGACGCCAAAAGGCGTACAGCTCAAAGACAATGCACTATCAAAGTAATGAGGGCTCGGGGTGAGCATCTACATCATTAGACCTCCTTTGCCAGTACCAAAATGTAATAATAGGGTTTTTCCCCTTTTTTCTGGCAGGTATTGTGGTTAATGCGGACATGAATCCTTGTAAAAAGATTTCAGTTTTGTTGCCAGAAAAAAGGGGAAAAACCCTATTATTACGATAAGCCACTTCGTTCACGTGATGAGCCAGTTCGTTGAGCTATCATTTGTAGCCAGATCGCTTCTGAAAAAGAAGCAAATAGCTGAGTGGGCTTTACCCGGTAAGGAAAAAAAATAGTGTAGTTCTTTTTCTATATTTTTGTAAGTGATTTGTTTACTTTTCCAATACTTTGCACTCCTATGGAGTACAAAGTATTAATTCCATACACCCATCCATCAAATTCACCATGGAAGTGGAGAAGGATGGTAAGCTACCATTCCTGGATGTTTTGTTTGAGAAGAAACCTGATGGCTCTTTGGGACACTGTCTACAGGAAAGCCACCCACACAGATTCCTATCTGAAACCTGATTCCCACCATCATCCAGCACAGAAGGATTCCCTCATCAAAATACTACACCATAGGGCCCACTGCATTTCTGACCAACACCACCTAGCCAGTGAACTGGAACACGTATACCAGGCCCTTAAGATGAATGGATCTTCGGACCACATTATCCACAAAGCGGTTTCTCCAACCATGGAGAAACAACCCCCTGAGACGCCGATCAAAACCATCACGTTACCATACATAGCAGGCGTTACCAAAAAGATTGCCAAAATCTTAAACAAGCACAAGATCCAGGTCCGATTCAGTACAGTACACAAAATCCGTGATCTAATCCCATCTGTGAAGGATGTCATTCCTGACATGCAATATCCGGGAGTCTACAAACTAAGTTGCTCCTGTGGTGATTGTTACATTGGGGAAACGAAACGGCATGTGTCGGACCGTGTTCGCGAGCACAAGGCAGATCTGAAACACGGCAGGACTAATACCTCTGCCATGGCTGACCATTGCTATAACGCTGTGGGCTCTCATGATATTGTTTTTTTTCCGAGACCAAGGTGCTCTGCAAACCTTCGGGCTACTATCAAAGGTTTGTTCATGAAGCCATCCAGATATATAAACATAGACATAACTTCAACCAAGAAGATGGGTACAAATTAAGCAATCATTGGAAGGATGTTATTAACCAGGTAAAACCTTAACTGCTTGATAGTCTGCCTTCTTATCCGCATCTCCAGTTTCTTCAGCCTCCTACCCCCCAGCCCCGCTCACTTCCCAGCCACGGCATTGTGTTTGTACTCGGTGTTGGAGCTTGCATTTCTCCACTCCCCCTACTCCACACCCTCTACTCCACACCCCCACCCTCTCTATCTCTCATACCTGGCTCCTCCCCCCCCCTCTTACGTATATAGGTATATACGTATATAGCCTCTTGTTACAAGAGGCTATATCAGCAATTGTTTCTCACTGTGGTTGTCCCACCTGATGACGGGCACTTGTGTTGTGCCCGAAACGTCGTGATTTAATTTATATTATTTTATACTTACGTGACTTTACCGAAAGAACCAAGGAGTATAGTTTTTGTATTGTTTGTGTTGTAGCGTTCTGACCTGCCTCTAATGGACATCTGTGAAAAAAGAGCTTTATAGCTCATCGGATTCCTCCTATAGTCTAAATAAAGATCCTGATTCTGAAATTATTATTTCGAATAATATATTTGTGGTATCACCCTGTCGCTGCAGTAGCAGCAGCAAACTTATTATTATAACCGTGTTTTTGTTGGCGGACAGGATTACATGCAGAACGTCCACGGCAAAGTGGTGGACCTGCTGGGCACGACGGTGAAGGTGCCGGGAAAGCGCCCGCCGAGGGCCACCGCCCCCGGCATGTCGGCCTCCGCGTCTGTGACGTCGGGCAGCGCGATGATCGGCGCCGCGGTCGGCTCACCGCTGGTTCCCGGAGCGAGTCCGAAGACCAATGGGCTGAGCAAGGAGCTGAGCGGACTCAACCTCACAGGTGAGTCTGCGTGGCAGTCGTAGTTGTAGTCTTGCTGGAGCCTTGTTTTGCGCCTAGCGGTTGCGATGTGTTCATAAACCCTACATTTAAACCCGAAGGGAAAGCATGGGTGGTACAGTGGATTGTGCACACTATGCTACAAATACAAAGACCTCGGTGGGCATGGCTAGCAGTATATAGATGTATAGATGACATGGTCAGCCGTGGAAGTGACATGGCTAGTGTATTTGGCTGGTGGTGAGAGCAGTTAACAAGGCTAGCAGTGGCAGTGACATGGCTAGAGTGACGTGACTGTTCGCCTTTTCGCGTTCTCTGGTCTGACACTGGTGAAACTAGGCCCTAAAGAAGGCTGTCTCTGGTGTAGACCTATCAGTTTCAAAGACAATGCATATATTATCAGAGCATGTTTTTGTTTGCATGTTCACCACAAGTATGTGTTGTTAATGCAGACACGATTCATTGCAAAAGGTTTCTATTTGGTGTTTGAACATCTTAACACCTGTTTTATTGCCAGAGAGGGTAAAACCTTAGATTTGTTTTCATGGCTAGGGTATTTGACTGGTGGCGAGAGCAGTTGAAAAGGCTAGCGGTGACGTGGCTAGCGGTGGTAAGAGCGACGAGGCCGGCGGATGCAGCCGATGGAGGGGGAGCGTGGGCGGCGTGACTTTGGCGACGTCAGCGTGACCACAACCCCCGGGGTCGCTGGCCCCTGCGCGCGCGCGCGCAAGCACGGCGCTCCAGAGGTCTCGAGATGGCGCGGCTCTGCCGCCGCCGCCGTCGTTGTTGTCGTCTCTCCAGGCCGCGCGCAGCCGCCACACACGCCGCCGCACGCCCACACCCCCGAGCCGCGGCACCAGCGCTCCTGCTCCGTCTCCGGCGGAGACTCCTGGAACGACGCCGTAATTTTCATCAACTCCAGCCTCGGATCCGGTACTGCGATTTCGTTTTTGAGTGGGCGTGTGTGTGTGTGTGTGTTTTTTTGTTCATCTTAGTGTTGTTTAGATGTTAGCTTTTGCCACCAATGTTATTCGTAATAAGGTTAGGTCACGTGAAAATAAATGTGTTTGTTAAACCCGCCAACACCCGACACAGCCAATTAGTAAGGTTTGTCACGTAAACAAAACGTGCAAAATGTTGTGGGTTTACTCTCCAACACACCAGTGTGTTGAAGTAGCAACTAATCAGCAACCATGATCAAAATAAATGAGTGGTATGCTCCTGTAATTGTGTAAATAATTATCGTTGTGTTAGAATTATACATCTAATGATTAACTAATTTCCCCCCCACCCTAGTTAACAATCCGATAAATTGTCACAATTCAGGGTTGTGATTTGATTTTAAGAATCCGTCTCTCTCTCATTTGATGTAATTTGTATTTTTTTCCATGTATGTATGTTGAACTTCTTTTGCACCGTACGTAGCCAACCTTGCTAATCGTAGGTGCGGGAAATCATTTTTAATTGCATGTGTTGTGAAAATGTCACTTCATTAGCCTACACGTAACATTACCATATATTTTGCATGCAGTTTGCATGAATTTGTACACAATTCATGAGACGTTTATCGCAAGTGTAAGGCTCGGTTTTAATTTACAGATGAATGTATCGCTGCGTGCCGATTGAACGCTGTAATGCGATTAAATTTCTACGTTGTAATGTTGTAAATTCTCCACGCCATCTTAATCGTTCGCAGCTTTCATTTCGCAAGCCAGCCGAGCAAAGCAACTATGGTTGCCACAATTATTAGCAGAAGAGAGTAAAAAAACCGATAAAACTTATTACACAAGATAAAATAATACTAAGTATGTATGTTGAACTTCTTTCGTACCGTACGTAGCCATCCGTTTGTAGCCAACCGTGCTAATCAGAGGTGCGGGGAAGCACAAACTAAACACAAACATCATGCAAGTAAACAAATGCGCAGACATGTATTGTCCGCGTATTTGTTTTCTCCTTGCATTAAACCAACTATACACTCGTTATTTACGACTCTCCCCTGAATATTTGAGCATAGGCATTGAAATCTAACGTCAAAGGGATGGGTTTTGCTGCGAGTTACTTGGGGTTTCAGACATCAGTAGCTTGTTTTAGGGTTCGGCAAAAAAAAATGGAGCCAAATTAAAATGGCTGCCGTCTCTACCATCGGCGTTGCCAAGGGACGTGTGTTGTAGTTCCTATTTTTATTACGTTTCAGATTTGTAGTAAATTACACATATTACAGTAATCAGTGGTTTATAGGTACCAACCTAAACATGACAAAAGTATTAAGCTTTATTCATCATTAATTGCTTTCGATGTCACGGAATCATTTAAACTTTGCACTAATGGGAGCCTCATTAAAACAGTTTAACACCAAGAACAATGCCGTGCTACATGGTTTAATGTTATATCGGGGAAAAAATATATTTTTGTTCTGTTACAGATTCCCGCCTACTCGAAGGGAATATCTGTATGTCTTCAGAATCGTTTCATTTATTCGCCCTTTTAAAGTTCATCTTCTGCTGCAGGGCCTAACTAAAAGATTTAAAAAACTATTTTTTTACTCTGCTCGTTGGATCGTTTTCTGAACATTTGAACCTTGCCGTATTTTTTTTCACGCAGCCCAGAACCGTCGCGAGTGAGCGTTCACAATTACAGCAATTTTTAAAGTGCGCGCAAATTAGTGACTTGGAATTTAGGCGCGTCCGCTGAAAAGTAAAAATTCGCAAATGTAAAACGAATCGCCAGAGCCCGGCCCTCTTGATCATCCATGATTGTTACTCGGCGCTACAACGTGAGATGAGAGTCCCCATTACTCGAAGATGAAAGCAACTTATCCACTGGCCCTCGAGCCTCCTTTCTGTATTATTCATTTGCAAGATAATACAAATTCTTCAGCTGTGCCCGCAGTTTCTTTACCGAGTACGGCGAGTTCGATCTTGAGGATTTTTCTACTCTTACGGGTTCTTTTTCACAGGCGAAGATGCCTTGTGTGTTGTTTCTTCTGATAAGCCCCCCACCCCCCCACCCCCCCCGAGACACTGCGACTGCATATCGTCAACAGATATCAACTTATACCAGACCACGGTGTTAAATACAGCTTGAGATGTGTGTAATTAACATTTTTATGATAATATGGACATTGTTCATTTGGTAAGGTTTCAACAGCTTTCCACTTGCAGCCTGTAGGTTGTATTTCAACACCTCCCATCATTTGTCCGTGGTGGTTAAAATGGGTACAGTAAGTCCTCGCTTAATGCGTGGTGTTTACACTATGACGCGCTTGCGCTGTAACGCGGTTCTCCCATTAGGGAACGCTTTTCGCACAACGTGGTTTCTGAGCGGTCGATGACGAACTACTTTCTTGAGCTGCGCGGCTGAGCGGTGCAGTGATACACTACGAGGAATGATACAGTGAGGCGGCGGCGGCGGCTTACCCTCAGTTATTTGTCCCGCCGTCTCACTGCGTTAAATGAGGACTTATTGTACAATATTTGGGTGCGAGTATGTAATTAATGCAATGATTCAAGTAGTTTCTTAAGCCTGTGGTTCATGCATCGAAATGTGTGCATAAGAATGGATTATATTTTTTTCTTTACTTTGTAGATGAATCTCACACAGCCTGGAGCCACTCGAGACACTCCATTTGCCACAGTAGATTAAAAAAACCCCATCAATTAATGATTGTAATCACCACCCCAAATCACCACAATTCATTATACAGGATGCTTAAAACAATGTTAACACTTACATGGGACTATAGTTTTTAATGGAAAAGGAACAATGATGCACTGTAACATGATAACAAATGTTTTTACCTTCAAAAAGTCAGTCTCCACTTGTTCGCCATCGTTGTCAACACGTGCCTGGAATATTCTCCAGGTGGTCTCCAGAGCCCGGAGGCAGCAGCACATTACTTGTGGTGTTGTTGCAAATTCTTGGAAGTGTAAACGTTTTTTTGAAGCACCCTCTATAATGACGGGACAAATCATTACATGCCTTGTTGAGCCTCGGCACTGGTTGTCTTGTCGATAGACTCACACCTACCGTAGGAATGTGGAATTCCCATCACTGGTTCAGGTTTTGCAAGCAGAAGACGAGCAACGGCACTTCACAGGCGTTCGTGTTTTTATCAGGATCCACTCTGACCGTTTGTTTTACCTTTGGTTTCCTTTTTCTCTCAGTGAATGGCGTTGGTGAGTCGCTGTGCGCAAGCCCGAGCTTCCCGAGTGTTTTGGGGGGCACCAGGGGTGCCGAGCCCCCCTCTTCTCCGCACGCCGGGCGCAAGAAGCATCGCCGAAAGAAGAGCACCAGCAACGTTCGTGCCGACAGCATTTTCACTTCGGCAGACGGTGGGTCCATCCATCCATCAGCATTTTCTCTGTCGTCGTTCCTCATCACTCTGTCTTACCCATTAAGGACTGCCAGAAATTACTCGCCTTAGGGTAAAGGTAAAGGTGAGAGGGTATTTTGGCCTACTCTTTCTCGCTGGTAACGAATCTAGGAAGAGGTCGTGGGAGTTACCCATTCATTATTCCCAACCAGAGTAGTCAATAGACGTCACTGCGGTGAACCCAATTCTACAACGATGGGGGGATTCAAGAAACTTGGTCCGTTGTTTCGAACCAGCGACCTCTGGATTTCATTTCCAGTGTACAGCATCCCGACTGCTTATTCAAATCACAAAATATACATATATCCATCCATTTGAATCACGTAATTTGAACGGTTTTTTCAATGCCGAATTTAGTTTTTCTGTTGCAGTCATTACCCTGCGCTGTGTTAATCAACCAATCAACCTTTATTCACGTGCCAATATCGCTCTCAATAAAGTAGGCATCAGTGCACATTACAAACGCATCGGGAACGGGGGGGGGGGGGGGGGCGTACAGCAATCGGAATTAAAAAAGAAACCCATCACAACCTCGGCGGCGAGCACCGACTGAGCAACACAAAGTAAAAATTGCAACAGCGCAATGTAAAGAGCAACCGATGTAACGGGTTGTTGATAGGGCGGCGGCCCTGATGGTTACTGTGATTGGATGGAACCCATCACACGCGGCTTATTCTGACTTAAAGCTCATTCGGCGTTTCGTAAATGCAGTTTTTTTCTTTGAAAAAATATAATAAGGGGGTGGGGGTGACCCCTCGCTAGTCAGTGTGCTTTTGAAGTATGGCTACATAACCCCCATGACCAGCTTGGTGTGGGGGAGAGAGTGGGGCCCCTTGTCCAGCAAAATGACAAATGGGCTGTACAGGTTTCTCCGGCTTTACGCGGTGGTCGTGGCAGTAGTAGATGCGCTCCACAAAAAACAAATGGGCACTACAAAGCGAAACCGCACAAGGAGAGACAGCTGCCTGCCGAGTAGCGCACACAGCACACGCACACAATGTTGTCCCTCGTCCGAGCGCATTTAGCCGCATATGCATGAATTCAAGCCTAATATATATAAAAAAAAAGCTAATTTTGGGTAGAAATAGGTTTACCGCGTCAACGCTAAATCGCCCAAACTGAACCCGCACAGAGTGAGGGAAACCTGTACTTGGAAAGCAAGTCCTCGTTTAACGCGGTCGTAGACGCGTTCCTGAAAAGTGCCGCGTGAAGCGAAAACTATTTCCCCCGTAAATAATGTCACGACAAAGTTCGGCCGAGATACGGCGTACGCACACGCAGCGAGATGGCGGGACAAATCACGAAGGGTAACACCCGCTCTCTTTATCGTATCATTCCACGTACTCTATTACTGTACCGCTCAGCCGCCCAGTTCAGGAAAGTAGTAGGTCATCGACCGCTCGGCATCCGCAAGCGTTCCGCGCTGTGTGAAAAGGGTTTCCTCGATCGACGAATCACGTTGTAGCGAAAATGCGTTGCAGTGCGAACACCGCGCGTTAAGCGAGGACTTGCTGTACTGTGTGGCACGCGTTGTCAGCCATCTTCGAGTCTTAATCTAATTTCTTTGCTTACCTTACTGTACCTCTTCCTCTTGTCTGTGTTCGTAAATACACGTTTGCGTAGAGGAAAACTTAATCTATTCGCACTGATGCCAGGCGGCTTAATGCTCCTGTGAAAGTTTTTCGGTTCGTCGTGTGACGTTGCTTTACATGCATTTGCACTCGGTGCAGACGCCGTCCATCAGTGGTGGAACTGGAAATAGCTCCAAAACTCCGGCCCTTGCGAGCAGCGAAAGTGTGTGCCTCGTCATCTTTACCAGTCCTCTCCATTCTAATACGAATAACAACAAAAATTGAACGCATTCGTCAATAACACAGCTCTTAAAAGGATAAATATATAATCGGTGACGTTTCATGAAAATGCCTCTTCACAGCACCAAAGGGGAGGGCCATTGCCAAAAACGTTGCCTATTTTATGTTTTTTTTCCTTTTTAAGGCAGCGCCGTTGACGATTCGCGTTTGTTGTTTCCTGTGCTCGTGCACCACTGCCGCCAACGCAGCGTCACCAAGTGATTTGTTTCATATGTATGAAGTAATTACAGCCTGCACGTGCCTGATGATTGCTGAGGACACGTAGCGTTGTGATATGTCCTAGGCCAGGGTGTCGGCAACTGGCGGCTCCGAAGCCGCATGCGGCTCTGCAAGGGACAGCTTCGTGAGACGTTATTTATTCAGGACCACCGTCTCATATTCGCATTGCATTGCGGCTCTTGAAATATTGAGCTTTTTTTTCCTAAATCGAATTTGAAAAAAATGGCTCTTCTTGTTATATTGGTTGCTAACCCCTGGACCATGGGAGCTCAGTTTACCATGGACGTCCAGTTTACCATGGACGTCCAGTTTACCATGGACGTCCAGTTTACCATGGGAGTCCAGTTTACCATGGGAGTCCAGTTTACCATGGACGTCCAGTTTACCATGGGAGTCCAGTTTGCCATGGGAGTCCAGTTTGCCATGGGAGTCCAGTTTACCATGGGAGTCCAGTTTACCATGGGAGTCCAGTTTACCATTGATGTCCAGTTTACCATGGGAGTCCAGTTTACCATGGGAGTCCAGTTTACCATGGACGTCCAGTTTACCATGGGAGTCCAGTTTACCATGGACGTCCAGTTTACCATGGGAGTCCAGTTTACCATGGACGTCAAGTTTACCATGGGAGTCCAGTTTACCATGGACGTCCAGTTTACCATGGACGTCCAGTTTACCATGGACGTCCAGTTTACCATGGGAGTCCAGTTTACCATGGGAGTCCAGTTTACCATGGGAGTCAAGTTTACCATGGGAGTCAAGTTTACCATGGACGTCCAGTTTACCATGGGAGTCCAGTTTACCATGGACGTCCAGTTTACCATGGGAGTCCAGTTTACCATGGGAGCTCAGTTTACCATGGGAGTCCAGTTTACCATGGACGTCCAGTTTACCATGGACGTCCAGTTTACCATGGGAGTCCAGTTTGCCATGGGAGTCCAGTTTACCATGGGAGTCCAGTTTACCATGGGAGTCCAGTTTACCATGGACAGGGATTGACAAGCCTCCGGCTGCGGAGCCGCATGCAGCTCTTCAAGGACCGCTTGGTGAGACGTTATTTATTGAGGACCACCATCGCCTCGTATTCACATTGCATTGCGGCTCTTAAAATAATCGAGTTTTTTAATACAGAAATCGAAAAAAATGCCTCGTTATTTTGGTTGGCGACCCCTGTCCTAGGCAATCACCATACAGAGTGCTAATCCAAGTTAAGAGCGATGCGTACGTCCTGCGTGACACGTGTACACACGAGACCTCGATGCTAATTTGAGTCTGCGCTCTCTAAACATCACATGCAACACCAAAGACAAAGATCCCCCACATAGTCTTATAACAGACTGATGGGGCAAGAGCTGCGATGTTGTGTCGCAAATGTGCGACACGCACACTCGCGTAGACACACAAGACCTCTATCTCAATTTTAATCGGCACACTGTACCACACAGGGGAACTATCAGGTGCGTGCAACATGTAATGAACGGGAAAAAAAATCTGAACTTGCAAGGGCATGCCATGGTTGGTTGAGAGAGGACTGGCATTTTGGAAACCGTGCCTTAAACACAAGGGTAACCACGACTACATTTTGTAATATTTACCGAGCATAATATTTTGTAATAAGCAAATGGTAGTGGACAAAACAGGACTTGTTCTTTCGTAAGTCCAATGTTTTAATTTATTTAAAGTTCCATCATTGTTTTGTTATGTAACATAACTGAAGTAGAGATAACAGTAATCTCTGTCACGAATTGACGTGCGAATAGATGAGACTTCCCCGTATATGTTGAAGCTCAACGGAAAGGAACGCCTGCGACACTTTAACGCTTGTTTCTCATTCTCGTCTTCCCTCTTTTTTCTGCTCTCACGGACACAGCCAAACGTAGGGCATGGAAACTGAGCCGCGTGGGTAGTTTGAGAAATTTATACAGCAGCAGCAGCGTGAACTCGGAAGGTAAAGTCCAAGCTGTTTGAGTGCTCAGCCCCCGGGGGGGTGTAGAGAGACCGAGGAATCTCTGGGGGACGTCAGGGGAAGTTGCTGCTGTTGTACCCCCCCCCCCGGCCCCTACCCCCCCGCCCCGCAAGTCCCCCCCCCTCCCTGCCCCCATCCCCCACCCCGAGCCTCTGGCACTTCCCTCCCAGATTTCTTTGTTAAATGTAATCCTAGCCAAAATGTTCATCCAATCGCGACAGACCTTCCGTGGGGTTTTAGATTCATTTTTAAGGGATGCTGCTTATTTAGTTTTGGTGCAGGGTTTATGTTAAAAGCTTCCTGTTGGGGTTTAGTTTTAGGGTTGAAGATAGGGTTTTGGAATAGGCGTTAGAGGTTATGGTTTAGGATTAAAGTTTGGGTTTATGGTTAAATTCTAGAGTTAAGGGTTATGGTCAGGTTACAGTTAGGATTAGGTTTTTGGGTTTGAGGTTAAAGTTTGTGTTAATGAGTTGGAGTTGAGGGATCGAGTTTAGGGATGGGGTTTAGGATTATGGAGTTTTGAATTAAGGCTTGTGTTTAGGGGTTAAGGTTCAGATGTTTGGGTAAGGGTTTAGGGTTAGGTATAAGTATTGGGTTAATGGTCACAGTTATGGGTTAGGATTAGGCTTCAGAGTTAGGTGTTAGGATGAGTATTTTATGGATAAGGATTTAGGGTTCGAGTTTAGGCATAGGGTTTTGGGATAGGTGTTATGGTTAGGTATAGGGTTTATGGTTGGGAATTTATGATTAAGGGTTACAGTTAGGGTTTAGAGTCAGGATAAGTGACTGTAGTCGCGAAGATTACTTTGCCACGCATCTGAAGGGACTGTCGTCTCGGCCTTCTGTGGTACCCATGGCCACCCCTCTGTGCTAATACGAGAGCTGTCGGGTTTATTTTGCTGAAGGCTCTGCATTGTCAATTAGGTGTGTCACGATTCATCCATGAAAATCAGTTCTAGCGATCAAGGCTACGTGTGTTAAATCCTGCGTGTAAGATTTGGTTATTTATATATAGGTCAGCGGTGGGGAACCTACAGCTCGCTGGCCATCTTAATCCTTTCCCGTTCTGTGATGACTGCAAGTGGCAGGGTGGGTGTCCCCTCCCCCAGTTCACCGCTGAATCTTGGAACACGTTAGCGGTCAGCGTTAATTTTACTCCGAGAGCGCCGTTTTTCAAGACATTGTACTCACCGCAGAGCACTGTAGTGACACGACCGCACTCTACGATAGCTGGCACCAAACGGTGCCACACGCCCTCCCACATGGCCTTGTGGGAGCCGTGGTTCCGATAAAGTTATTTTAGTTTTTCTTCCGGTTCCGTTGCTCGATAAAGTACGTATACGTACGTACGCGAGGTGGAGGGTGGGTTGGGGGGAGGGTGGGCGTAACGTCATCGCGCAGATGTCCACGCACTTGCCCGCGCACCAGCCAGCAAAACTTTTTTTGTATAATATAGTACGATTAGCTCTCTTTAAATGTAAATACGTAACATTGCAAGCCGACCAACGTCCGGCATGTGCCCTCTCCGTTTGTGTTGGCTGCGACCCGTCGTCAGACCAAGAGGATTCCTACGAGTTCACGATCGTCTCTCTGCGCGGCGAGACCTGGCACTTCGCCGCGGCCAGCGCCGAGGAGCGCGAGTCGTGGGTGGCGGCGGTCGAGGGGCAGATCCTCGCCTCCCTTCAAGGTTGTGAGAGCTCCAAGTACAAGGTGTGTACGTGTGGGCACGTGTGTGTGCACGCAAGTTTATGTGCTGTGTACGTGTTTTGGGGAGCGGTAGCGCAACGGGTTAGCGCGCTGCGCTAATAACACGGCGACCCGAGTTCGATTCCCGCCCAACACCAGTGACGATTATCTCAACTGGTCCTGGGCCTCCCCTAAGGAGACAAAGGCGATCGGGCGTGGCGCTGGCCACCTGCCCCCTCGTGTAACGTTCCAGCCTTCATAGGTGCTCGCTAACGGCACTTGCCCCAACAGTTTTTTTAAGGCTATGCGGGGGATCTTTGTACGTGTGTATGCGTGTGTTTCCAATATGTTACCCCAGAGATATGAAGGGGGATACTGAGGGGGTAGCCTCGTATATGAAGAAATTTCCCGGAATATGCCCGATCTCGGTAGATGTTGGAGGCTAAGGGTTGAGCGTGGATTGTGTACGAACAAGGGCGGCCTCCATGCATGGCCAGGTTGTCATAGGCATCTGTGGGGCTATGTGGTGGGCAGAAATTCGACAATTTTAATGGTGCAGACCAAGTGATGTTAATTTGTCTCAATGTGGTATTTGAAAGTGCTGTACGCAGATTATACCACGAATTATAAATGCGATTTTGTGTGTGTATCATTGATTATCTTTGTCCACATCACCATGGATAAAGAGCGATGAGATGAGGCCTTGTCCAGGAGTCGGATGGATTGTCATGACACAGAATTGCGAGGGGATGGTGATTGCAACGGGTGGGATAGAAAATGTTTTATGATTTTGATGATGGTCCCATGTTATTGGACGAGGTTATTGAAACATATTCTGAAATGTATCATATTGAGTGTTCATTGTTTCCATGGGGGTCTATTAATGCGAGTGCACAATTTTTATCTTAAAAGAGTAGTCGGGGAGGGAAAAACATCTCAAGCCATGCCACGTGGCTGGGCCTTGTTTACACTTAAAAAAAAAAAACGTCGAATGATTCTTGTGAAACTTTACAGATGCGACTCGGGAGCCAGAGTGACGCTACAGCCATCCAGTCCATCCGGAATACCAAGGGGAATGCATTCTGTGCCGACTGCGGCGCACCGAGTACGTGCAGTCTCTCCCTCTGGCCCTGTCCTCTTGACTCGTGAACAAATCTCGGGCTTGAGGGTCGTACTCATTGCACAACGATGTGCTCACCACAAATGAACCACACACAACGCCTCGCTGATCTCGTCAAGGAGCGTAAACGATGACGTGAACTTCCGGTCATCCTCGCAGCAGCGGCTTTTGACTGAACATCGAACGAAGACAGTCACCGCATCGCGCGTTTTCAGATGCGCTTCTGCAACTGTCTGGAATGCTCTTCCTTCCGATATTAGGAAGCCACTGGAGCTATGCACTTCTAAATCTAGATTTAATACTTATTTGTTTAGAACTGCTTTTTATCGTTGTGTTGTCCTTCCCGCCCCCAGCACCTCCAATTAGCATGGTTGGATACGTACGGTGCGAAAGAAAGTTTAACATACATATACATACAGAAAGGCCTCGGTGTCGGCTTCTGATAGGCATTCCCCACTGTCGCTTTCCGCACCCACACCGTCGCTATTTCCGTCACCGTGGAACTGACCGCCGGCCCGCGCTTGTTTACGGGACGTTTCGGCAGACCCCGACTGGGCGAGCTTGAACCTGGGCGCGCTGATCTGTATCGAGTGCTCGGGCATCCATCGCAACCTGGGCACGCACCTGTCACGCGTGCGCTCCCTCGACCTGGACGACTGGCCGCTGGAGCTTGTGACGCTGATGAGCGCCATGGGGAACGCGCTCGCCAACCGCGTGTGGGAGGGACTCCTGCCGCCGGGGGCGTGCAAACCCACGGCCGACTCGCCACGGTGAGCATCAGCATTGGTCCGCTGGTTCGTCGGCCGTCCTCAGGTCGGTCAACCGCCACGGCACGCGGGCGGGTCTGTCGCACCTACCCGGGCTGGTGTGCCGCCGTGGCGAGATGTTAACCACCTCGCCCGGTATGCAGGAGGTCGTGGTGTTTGATCCTGACCCTGACTCCTGTATATTTGGAGTTTGCATGTCTCTCCCCGTAGGTCGTGTGGATTTTTCTCCGGGTCCTCCAGTTTTTCCCTCCACATTTAGAATCGATGTACGCTTAGAGACTTTTGTGGTCAGGTCTCTTCTACAAAAGAGCTAGATAGCTTGGTCGGCCTTACCTGGTAAAATAAAAAAAATAGTTAATTAGATAGCTCCCTGACCTCCTGCACAGTGAGCCTTGGACACTTCACGTGGCTTCAAAGTTAAACGTATTAACCGCGCAAATCAAGAGGTGCGGGTAGCGAGTGATATGTAAACCCGGTCCTAGTCCCAATAAAATATTACAGGTGAACCAACAGGGCAGATCTTTGAGGTTGTGTGTTTACCGTGCAGCAGCAGCGGCAACGGGATTTGTCAGAGAATAGAAAGTGTTGGCCTGGTGGAATCAACGGCGTTGGATGTGATGACATCAATGATCTTAAAAATTGCATAATTACCGAATTGAGTGTGTACTTGAGACCGACAACATTTTAACCGCATATTAAAAATCATCGTGTCCTTAAGCTGCACTCGTTCTTATCCAATGTCTATGGACAAACTGATCCTTGCCATCGGAACGTAGACGTTTTATACTCCAGAATCAGGATCCAGCAAACATTCGAGATGAGCAGGGAGTGCCCCAACACACTTTATTTGACCATCAATGGCCCTAAAAAAAAAAATCCCTTGTCAAGTGTACACTTTCATTAGTGTAGCCCTTCGGAAAGATCATTACAATAACTGCCAATCACAGTCGTCTAAGATCACAATCAACCGTACATGATATACTCATGCAAATGACACATGCACATCACCTATACATAGTTCATGTACAGACCTTTGTCAGTCCACTGCTGGATTGGGGTGGGGGGGGGGCCTCCCCCACACACCGTGCTGGTTATAGGGGATTGCTTGACCTTACTTCACCTTGCTGGTCAGTGTGGCTCCTTGAAGGAGCAGAGCCAGGACGTCGGGCCATATTACAGTAACAAGCATTGTTTTTTTTTAACTGCCCCTTCTGCAGCCTACAAGACCTGCTATGCATGTTGGTCACTGTGCAGGCTCGGCCCAGCTTGCCTTCCCAAGGTCTGACGAGATCGGGAGCATTTGAGGTCATTTTGTGTTCGGCGCTTACTTGTGCGTCGTGTGCATAATTTTGCAGCGGGAGTGGTGTCTCAGTGGTAGGTTCCCGCTGCGCTATGAACCAAGGCAGTCTTTTTGATCCCCAGGTGGTAAACGTGTGATTTGCAGTGATATTTATGACACGGTTACGTCCTTGTTTTTGCGCGCGCGTGCATATGTCAGGGTTCACGCATGTTTTGTTGTGTACATATTTTCGTCTCTTCTTGTGCCGTAAAGAATTTTCTATCGTTTATAGTGGCAGATTCTTGCCGGAACGGCGCAAGTTGCTTAACAGCAAAAATAACTTTTGCTTGACTATTACAGCTGGGCCAAGTATGATAAACTTCACGGTGTTGGGGGCAAGTAGTGCAGTGAGGTCGGCATGGGCCCTGATGCAAGGTATGAATTATCTAGATTATTTGGCTGCTATAAATTTTCACACGGTAAGCCACTCCCATTGAGCTATAATTTGTGGCCAGGTCGCTTCTGCAAAATAATCTTCTATCTCAGTGGGCTTTACCTGGTAGTAAAATAAATCTAGATATTAATATTTTTGTAATTTGCTTACCTTTTGACTTAAAGCTTTCATGACTACAGGAATTCATATTGGTTCTTTCGGTAAAGTCAGGTAAATAGAAAATAAAATCTATATACGTGACTTTACCAAAAGAACCAAGAATATTTGCTTACCTTTCTTACTTTCCACTCATTGTGTTTTTGTATTGTTATAACTTTCTGACCCTCGCCCACCCCTACGGGATATCTGTGAAAAAATATTTATAGCTCATACGATTCCTCCAGTATAAACAAATATTCTAATTCTGAAATGGGGGTGGGTGGAGGGCAGGGGTGGAGTAGCTCTTTACCATTTCCCTCTCTCTCTTGGTAGCGCGGTGTGCTTGGGGGGCCTCTCTGACCCGCTGGGGCCCTGTCCCTGGTGCAATTGCACCGCCTGTGCACTCCACAGCTACTCCACCGATTACGTGTGTGCGAAGGCTAAAGAGCGAGCGAGAGAGAAGGGTGGGGGGGGGGCTAGGGAAAATTTGTTCGGAGGAATCACCGAGACGGGGTGGGAGATGCAGTGCCGGAGGGCAAATTTCGTGTAGCCGGCGTCGGGAGATGAGATTTAATTTTACAAGCGAGTGATTTAATGATGCACTGCCTAATTAATTAGCTGATTAACTTAATGTTAAGTATGTCCAGCAGCAAATCATGATGACTGCCCCCCACTACCCACAGAACAGCCCCTACCCCCCCACACCCTTCATCAACCGTGCCAGTGCTTGCCCATCCGCCATTCCATTACTTTACTCACTTTCCCATATCCTCCCAAAGCTCCCATGGCACTGAATTAGACCACACAGACACACATAAAAAAGACCAAATGCTTTGGCTGCCGCTTTGTGTGTGTGTGTGCTAATGGCAGTGACATTTCTAAACGCTTTGCACTCTGCAGTGAGGTCGAGGGTCCGTGGTAAACATGCGCTCAGTAGCACGACGCTAAACCTAGAACACGCTCTGTGCCGAATGACTCTTTTGAGTAAAAGAGGGTTTTTTATTGCATTAAGCACAGGACCGACTTTGTTATAAACTCATCTCTTTAGAACTGCTTTTTGTGTTTAAAAAAATGTTTCGTCCTTCTCCCGGTACCTCTGATTAGTGCGGTTTGCTACGTACGCTGCAAAAGAAGTTTAACATGCATATATTAACACTGCAAAAAAATAAAAGTGTTAATAATTGTTTGATGAACATTGGTGTGCTGCTTATCACCTGTTTACAGCCCTGAGCCGATAGTGGGAATTCGACATTCGTAAGGCGGAGGGGGGAGTCTATCCACAGGACAGCCACTGGTCACTTCCCCACCAAGTGGTGTTACTTAAGTTTATTCACCCCGGAAGGGCGATGGCCTCAATCAACCCCTTTAAACGCCGCAGCTCAAAGCAACTCTCTGTGGACCCTTAAGTGCTGTGTTGGTCGCTCCCCGTCATGTGATAAACACTCTGTAATTGAATATAAACGTGTCAATGTTATGAGTATATAAAGGACTGCAGAGCTTGGGCAGTTGTTAGCGTCGTCTCGCTGCCTTGGCTGCTGCCTTCTCGCTTGTCCGTGATTCCTCAGTGATTGTGCAATGCAATTTGCACGAATGACGCCGTATTAGAGTCAGCGAGACTTTTTTTTTAACAGTCTCAAAAAGTGCCGGAGAATCTCGTAGTCGTAGATGAACAATGTATCACGATCTTCGTCAGAGCCCCTTGACCCAATCATCTGTAACCCCTCCGCTACTGCCTCTTGTTTTGCCAGCCTTAATTTTGACTCTTGTCTCAGACGTTAAAAAAAAAAGGTTTGGACAATGCAAAGTTGATGTCAACAGGAAAGGGACGCAAAGCAAACTTTCATTATTGAGATTGTCCAAACATCCCAAGCTAGGTAAAAAAAGGTGTCAGTAAAAGTGCAGCCCTGAAATCGCTTGCTCCCACCTCTGCTGGCAGAAGGGGGCCTCCGCTATTGCGAGCCTTGGGGGAGTGTTTGGTTTCATCCACGTTGGGCAGACGTGTTGGACGAGGTGGTCATACCCACACTTTTTAGCCGAGCGCACGCTATGTGCCGATCGACTGACTGTGGTGCTGGGTGGACTAAGGTGGGCAGGGGGATTTTTAGAATTTTGCAACGTTGCTTCAGCTGCCACGCCGGGAGATCGAGAGTCGAACCGACCCTCCGGGAATAAAAACCGAGCCATGTAACTGGGTGACACTTACCCCGGAGCATGTGATCGCCATCGCAGTATTATTGTAATTGGCGTCGTTAATCGCAATTAATTACCCAGCATGGTTCTGTCGCGCAGGAACGTGTATGCGGTTAGTACGACCGTGCGGGGTTTAACTTGAAGCTGCTGAACGTTAGTTTTGACTTTAATCGGTGCGAAACAGTTGTCGGAAGATGAGCATTTACCTGCGTTTCGGTTGGGCCTTGCATTTAATTGGGGTGCTAAAGGGAGGAGAGGCAAATGAAGTGGGGGTTTTTTTTTCTCCTCGGGTTAAAAGCAACCATTCGTCGTTTCTTCCTGCGTAATTGTGATTTCGATCAATTGTGTCACTTTAGCAACGCTTATTAGGCAGAGAAATTACAATCGCAATTAAGAGCCACTTCTGCCTTTTTCACCCATTGTCTCTCGTTCTGGAATGGCGTGGTGCGATGGTTTGCGGAAACGTTATCACGGGAGCCAGGAAGACGGCTTTTTAGTGCTTTAAGCAATATTAATCGCATTTATACGTCAAGGCTGAAAACATCATAAGAGCAAATGAAAAATATAAAAATACAGTTTCACGAGGCAGCGCCAAGTAAGCCGCTCTTTGACATTCAATGTCTGTAAATACCTGGCCCTTGCCATAGGAATGTGGAGTTTATACTCTCGGTTCCGCATCATCAACAAGAGATGAGCAAGCACTGCCCAACACTTCTTTTGAGCGTCAATGCCCCTAACGCGTTTCACCTCTCGCCGTTTTCACAGAAATGTGGAGATCTTGCGGTCGTCCACGATTAGAAAATTACGGGGTAACGAAAAGTAGAATTTTCTTACGATTATGCATTCACGTTGTCTTACGAAAAACAAAATAACGTTCTAGAAAATACTTCAGAACAGTACACGGGTCTCTTGCGTTTTTAACTACGATTGCACAATATTGTTCAGAACAGCGTTTCACGTTTTTAGGACTGAAGGGAATTCGGAGTTTAAATACTCCGCATGAGCGGTGGTTAGACTGCAGTCTTTCTGTTGGCGGAGTGATACATGTCCTTAGTATTATATTAACCAGACGTGGTGGCACAGTGGTGAGCAGCACACCACACCAAAAACCTCGCGAGAGACGTACAAAACTCGACAAAGCAAACTTGCTTGTTCAATTGAGTCACAATTCCAAATGGTGACGATGCATCCAATTGTTCGCGAATAAACAAGCCACATGCCAATAAAAAATAAATCTCTGCTCCTGCTTTGTCAATCTATAGCGTTAATACCTGGAGGTGGTGCGCTAGCGCAGTGGTGAATGGTACCGCACTGTGAATCTGGAGGCGAGAGTTCGATTCCCAGCCACAGCTAACATCAGTGGCGAGTGACATCCGAACCGGGTTTGGCTGGCCCTTCACCACCATCCCACACTTGCGAACTTGGTGAAGTATGGTCAAACAACCCTAATGGACTAAAATAACAGGGTGAAGCCTTAATCCAGCACTGGCTGATTATTTTTTTTTAATAAGACATTTGATAAGGATTGTTTTTTAACAGGATGTGGTGGGGCAAATCTGCAATGCTTTGCTCCTTGAGGCGAGGATTTAGTGAATCACTTCGAGATTTGTAAAACTCTCAACTCTGCTGGGCTTGGAAGGTGGCTAGGTGGTTGATACAACAGGTAGGTTCATTAGCCTGTGTGTATTAACCCCTTGCAAGTGTTGGGGGGTGGGTCTTCTCCTGGGTACTCCGGTTTGCTCCCACATGAAACCAAATGTTTATTGTATGTATGTTGAACTTCTTTCGTACCGTACGTAGCCAACCGTGCTAATCGTCGGTGCAGTGCTGAGTCTATGGGTAGTGTTAATTATGGCCAGTATGTATGCTGAACTTCTTTTGTACCGTACTTATCCAACCGTGCTAATCAAATGTGTGGAATTGGCTTAAATACACACCTTAATTGCATTCTTGTAATTTTGCCATTTTTTCCTCAAGCCATGTAATTATTCCAGGATATTTTATTTCCAATGAATGCAATTAATTACATCGAATTTGCATACTCGTCAACACATACGGTTTACCTGTATTCTTTTACAGGGAAATTCAGTTTTCAGGTCCAATGGGCAACAACAAAAAATGTCTGTTTCTCCCTTGTGATGGGACATTTTAGGATGAACGTTGAGATGTATAAGGGCACGGGGTGACCAATAAGGTCTGAATTGGTCTTTAATAAGGTAGGACACTGATACGGGGTTGACATTGATGAATTTGTACAACTCATAAAATCTGCTCTTAATTGATTTTGTTTCCAATATACTGTACACGGTGATACATCCCTGTACCCCTCAGTTTTATGTTTTATCCCGATTGTAATCCAATTTTGCTATCGGTGTCATTTCGTCAAATGAATAAATATCTATTTGGAACTCTTACCGCTAGCGTTGCATAACCCCGCCTCAGAGAATGTCCCCTGAAGATGACGTCACAGAACTACATTTGAAGTTACCTCAGGGGAGACCCACACCTCTGATATCCAGAGGGTGTTTGTCGCGTGTCAATAAAACCATTTTGTTTTCATACTCAACTGGGGAATACGCTCAATTAACCCTTTCCCGTTCCGAGACGTCTGCAAGTTGCAGGGTGGCGGCGGGGGGGGGGGGGGGGGGTCCCGTTCACCGCTCAATCTCGGAACAACGCAAGCGGTTCAGCATTGGATTTTATTTAGAGAGGCATCACGCTGTTGTATTTCAAGACACTGTACTCACCGCAGAGAACTGTAGAGACACCACCCCAACTCGACGATAGCTGGCGCCAAACTGTGTCACACGCTCTCTCCCGCATGGCCTTGTGATGAAAGCCTCGGTACTTATTTTATTTACACGTACGTCATCGGAATGGAATGGAAAGATAAACTAACGACGTACACTTGCATCCTCGGAATGGGGAAAGGGTTAATATGATGCATTTAATTGTGCAGTTGGTGGTGACCTTGGCTGAGACCACTAACTCGCTACACTTGAGAACAAGATTTAAACCTGAATTTGATACCCAGGTTATCAGAATTTCCAGTTCTGTGCTCTGACCCCGGAGCTATCTGGCCACCTCCCTTGATCTGTATGTCAGGATTGTATATATGTATTGACTACGAGTCCATGTTTAGGAGTTACATCTTACTTTGCAGAGCGTCTTATAATAGGGAGAATACGATAGCTAATCTACGTTTCATCGGGCACCATAAAATGCCGATTTAAAATGAGTGGACGATTTTTGTGTACGGACGTGAACGCTTTAAGAGGCCCCCGATGATGTTACGAGCGTGGCGTTAATTTGGCATGAATTATTGTTGTCCGTGAAGGACAGCATGCAGTGTTTTTCCCAGGACTTCGTGAAATTAGCAGCTAATCAGCGACAGGATCGCACCTATTATTTTCTACCCCGGGCTAATTTAATTAATCATGGCAGCCCCATCCTCACTTAGCGAGGCACTCATGGGTCATTTGTTTAGTCCGGGGCTGTTATTATTCAACCATCCATAAGGGTTAGATTGCGTAAATATATAATGTCGTTAAAGCTTTGCTTTGCTCTCCAACACACAACCGGTGTTGCTGTGCTAGTGACGAATTGGCCACGTTCTGTTTACGTGACAACCCTTGCTAGTTGGCTGTGTCGGGTTGGTTGGCGGGTTTAACGACACATTTATATATTTACGCGATCTAACCCTTAAAAAAAAAGCTGTATTATAGATGATATTGGTCGCGAAAGCCTCCTACGTGTTAAACTGATTATTCAAGCATTTCACAAATGTAAAACATTTGAGCGTACACGCACTTAAATCCTATGCACGCTTACACACACACACAGCCAAAGAAACGCACACTGATGCACGTGTCCAAAACAAAGCCACAGCACTTAAGGCATTTGTGAATGTACAATACGATGCAGCATAATTTGTTCGCCTACGAACATTTAGCAATGAGTTGTGGCTGATCCTGTAACGTCTCGGAAGGCTCAGCGGATTTTGAGCCTGGTTATTTGTTTTGGTTGGAGACCCACCTTTCGACTAACCAGGTATTGTCGGCTTGAGCTGTGTGGTGGCCAGGAGATGGCAGCACAGCAATGGATTCTTAATTTCACCTGTGTGCAGTACAGTTATTGTTAGTTTGTTGTACTTCCACCACACCTCGTATTAGCACGGTGTGACTACGTACGTTGCGAAAGAAGTTCACACGCACATATTAGCCACTTACGTGCGTGGGTTTTTGTTCACGTATTACAGCTTCCTCTCACAAGCAAGTTGGCCACATCGGTTGGGTACTAGAGGGGAATATTTTTTACCTGGCAAAAAACACTGTTTTACTAATGTGGTTCTATCACTCACTTCTGTCACTGCAAAGGCTGTTTTCCAGTAACAGAAGTGACTGGGTGTGAGTGTTAATGCGCAGTTTTCCTGCCAAGAATATTGGAGAGTCCTGTTAGTTCCTCAGTGTAATGAAAAGGTTCCTGGATAGTTGGTTTATCCAATAATCTAGGGAATCATTTACTCCACCGAAATAACCGGTATGATCGCCCAACTAAACAGGTAACACGAACGTAGTTAATAAAAAAAAAAGTGTCTAGTCTCTGTCCCCACGCGTGTCGCTGGACGGGAGGTGATGGACGTGCCCTGGCATCATCGTCACCATCGGCTGCGTCACACCGAGCGTGGCTGCGTAACACAGAGCGTGGCTGGTAGGGGGTTCCCGCTTTCGATGTGTGAATGTAGGGGCGGCCACTGGTTTTAAAATTGCTCGAGTAATCGACCGCCGAAATAGATTGACTTTCAGTTGCTCAGTTGTGAACACAATCGCCGGTCGTTACGACTCCACCTTTCCCCTCTCCCCGCCGTAAGTGAATGCAATGCTTCCATCACCAATCATTCTCCCCTTCCTCCTCTTCTTCCTCCTCCTCCTCTCCCCACTGCCAGCGAGGAGAAGGAGCAGTGGATCCGCGCAAAGTACGAACACCGCTTGTTCGTGGCGCCGGCCCCCGGTAGCGGCGGTCGTGGCGTTGGCGCGGGAGGAGAGGGCGGCGCATCGCTGGGCCAGCAGCTGCTGCAGGCCTGCGCCGAGGACGACCTCGCGGCGCTCGTGCTGATGCTGGCGCACGCCGCGCAGGCCGACGTCAACGAGACGTACGGGGACGGCGACGGTCGATGCGCCCTGCACCTCGCCTGTGCCATGGCCAACCCCGTGCTCACTCAGCTGCTTCTCTGGGTACGTCACTTCTTTATAGGCGCGGGATGCGCCGCGGTGGCGAGATGTTAACTACCTCGCCCGGTGTGCAGGAAGTCGCGGATGTGATCCCGACCCTTGACGCCTGTTGTATATTTTGAGTTTGCGTGTCTCTCCTCCCCGTGGTCACGTGGATTTTTCTCCGGGTCCTCCGTTTTTTTTCCCTCCATTTTTAATCAATGTCCGTTTAGAGTATTTGGTTACGATACATTTCCACGTGATAAGCCACTTTGTTGAGATTATCATTTGTGGCCAGGTCACTTTTGAAAAAGAGCTATATAGCTCATTGGGCCTCTGCCTGGTAAAATAAATACACATTTTGTTTAGAATGTCTAAATGTAGTCATTGTTTTTTTTAAATAAAAAATAACATTTATTTAAGGATAACGACAATGTTCCCTCCATTGCTCTTCCTGTCTTTCATATAATGAATCGTTGTGGGAAATGGAGTTTTTGCACATCCAATGTCGAGCAGTGCGTGTGCCGATACTGCATGGATTGTTGCATCATGGGATTGTAGTTTTGGAGGAGGCTTTCATCCAGCAGTGGATTAATAATGCCTGAAGGTTTCGACTATGTAACACAGACAGGCAATGGAGGATTGGTCTTCAAAAGTCCGGCGACCATGGGGTAGAAATTTAATTATACCAGACGGTCGGATACTGTCGGGGCAGATCTTGTAGGTCTCATGTCCACTGTGCAGCACCTGCTGGGCTTAGCAGATGATAGGACACAGGCTGAAAAGGCTCTGTGTGTGCGGTGTGCGATTTAACAGTGGCCGCGCAGCAGGTTGGCACGCCGCAGTGATTTAACGCGCTGCTTGATTCCCGCTCACGGCCAACACCAGTGAAAATGATGTGAACCGGTCCAGGGCCTTCCCTCGGTCGGTTCATCCTTAAATGAGTACCTGGTGCGGTGTGTAAAACATCGCCACTCGGGAGACAAAGGCGGGCTGGGCATGGTGTTGGCCATCCACCCCTTCGTCTGCTGTGCCAGCCTTCGTAAGCGCTGCTCGCTCACAGCGCTTGCCCCAATAGTCTATTAAGGCTATACAGGGGATATTTGGTTTAACACGTAGGCTTTCGCGACCAATATTATTCATAATAAAGGTTTTTGGGTTAGATCGCGTTATTTATAAATGTGTCGTAACCCTCCACCACCCGACACGGCCAATCAGCAAAAAAGCTTCACGTTGACAGACAAATAGTTCACTACTTTAGCCCACCGGTGTGTTGAAGAGTGGATCCACAACATTTATAGTTGGAGTACGACGTTTCGCTGGTAATTACATCCAGCATCATCGGGCAATTCGCCAGAATGGTAAAGCCCTCACTTGCTCCCGGTCTTAAATAGAGCAGCAGGGTGACGTCATCATTTAACTCATTTCAGGTGCAGTGATTTGAGGCGGAGGGGTGGTATTGTAATTCTATAATCGATTGGTAATCAGTCAATGGTTATGATTAGTAATGAGTTGTAGATTGGTAATTAGTTGTAATGTGTTTTATTGTGTTTATATGCTACGTTAATAATCCATTAATTATTATGTGTTTCCCCTATAAGGAATTGTAATATGTATTATTTAATAATACGCTTCCAAGCCGCACTAAGCCTGTAGCTGTCAGAGCGATTAAAGTTATTTCTATTCCTCTCAATTTCAATAGATTCTCTGATTAGTCTTTGCCAGTAATAATTCGTTTTACACAACACTTCAACGTTATCAAAATCAATTGAGTGTCCTTGTTGACAAGCATGTTCTGCCACTGCCGACAGTTGTGTTTGAGATAATTTCATATTTCTTTGATGTTCTTTTAGTCTTATGCTGATGTTACATCCCGTCTGTCCAATATAGCATCTGCCACATAAACAATTAATCCGATATACACCTTCTGTTGATAATTTAGGTAGTGCGTCTTTAGTGCAAGATACTAGTTTTTGAATTTTGTGTACTCTACCAAATCTTACTGTAATGTTTTGCTTTTGCAAAACACGGCTAATTTGTCAGTTACTCCTGAGATATATGGAATTTTAATTGTTTTAACAATCTGATCGCTTTCAGCAGTATTGCTTTGCGATCGTGATTTGGCATTCAGTGCTCTGTTAACTTGAGCATTATTGCAGCCATTCTGTCGTAGTGCTTCGTTAACATGTTTAATCTCTCTCACTAGACTTTCACCATCTGACACTGTTTTAGCCCGATGTATGAGTGTCTTGATAAGAGAGGATTTCTGAGCTGGATGATGATGCGAATCTGCATTCAGATAGGCATCAGTGTGCGTTTGCTTTCTGTAAATGCTGTGTGTTATTTTACTGTTTAGGCCATGTCCAAGCAAAATATCTAGGAACGGGAGTGTGTTATTCACCTCCATTTCCATGGTGAACTGGATGGCCGGGTTTTTGTGCATTGAGATGATTTAGAAAATCATTAAGTGTATCTTTACCATGTGGCCAGACAACCAAAGTGTCATCCACATATCTAAACCAAAAAGATGCTTTTAATGTGCTCGAGGCAAGTGCTCTTATTTCAAAGTTTTCCATGTACAGATTTGCTATAGCAGGGGATAAAGGAGAGCCCATTGCTGCTCCTTCCTTTTGTTTAAAGAAATCCGCTCTCCATAAGAAGTAAGTGTTATTTAAACAATGGTCGCTTGAATTACTTGATACACTAGTAAAGAATACAGGTTTACCAAAAGATATTCCGAAACTTGCTGACCATTGTTTAAATAACACACACTGATGCCTATCTGAATGCAGATTCGCATCATCATCCAGCTCAGAAATCCTCTCTTATCAAGACGCTCATACATCGGGCTAAAACAGTGTCAGATGGTGAAAGTCTAGTGAGAGAAAGCAAACACGTTAAAGACGCACTACGACAGAATGGCTACAATAATGCTCAAGTTAACAGAGCACTGAATGCCAAATCACGATCACAAAGCAATACTGCTGAAAGCGATCAGATTGTTAAAACAATTAAAATTCCATAATCTCAGGAGTAACTGACAAATTAGCCCGTGTTTTGCAAAAGCAAAACATTACAGTAAGATTTGGTACAGTACACGAAATTCAAAAACTAGTATCTTGCACTAAAGACGCACTACCTAAATTATCAACAGAAGGTGTATATCGGATTAATTGTTTATGTGGCAGATGCTATATTGGACAGACGAGACGTAACATCAGCATAAGACTAAAAGAACATCAAAGAAATATTAAATTATCTCAAACACAACTGTCGGCAGTGGCAGAACATGCTTGTCAACAAGGACACTCAATTTATTTAGATAACGTTGAAGTGTTGTGTAAAACTAATTATTACTGGCAAAGACTAATCAGAGAGAATCCATTGAAATTGAGAGGAATAGAAATAACTTTAATCTCTCTGACAGCTACAGGCTTAGTGCGGCTTGGAAGCGTATTATTAAATAATACATATTACAATTCCTTATAGGGGAAACACATACTAATTAACGGATTACTAACGTAGCATATAAACACAAAACACATTACAACTAATTACCAATCTACAACTCATTACTAATCATAACCATTGACTGATTACCAATCGATTATATAATTACAATACCCCCCTCCGCCTCAAATCACTGCACCTGAAATGAGTTAAATGATGACGTCACCCTGCTGCTCTATTTAAGACCGGGAGCAAGCGAGGGCTTTACCATTCTGGCGAATTGCCCGATGATGCTGGATGTAATTACCAGCGAAACGTCGTACTCAAACTATAAATGTTGTGGATTCACTCTTCAACACACCGGTGGGCTAAAGTAGTGAACTATTTGTCTTTGTCAACGTGACACTTTTTTGCTGATTGGCCGATGTCGGGTGGTGGAGGGTTACGACACATTTATAAATAACGCGATCTAACCCAAAAACCTTTATTATGAACAGGGGACATTTGTCTGTGTACGTGTGTGTGTGCGTGTGTTTTCAGTATGTTACCCCGGAGATATGAAGGGGAGGGATACTTCAGGGGTAGCCTCACCTACTAACAAATTACCAAGAAATTGCCCGATCTCATTAGATGTCGGAGGCTAACGGTTGAGCGTGGATTGCGTGCGAACAGGGGCGGGGACCATGCATGCCAGGTTGTCATAGGCATCTGTGGGGCTGTGTGGTGGGCAGCAATTCGACAGTCTTTAATGGTGGAGACCACGTGATGTTGACTTGTCTCAATGTGGTATTGAAAATTCTGTACGTAGATTATACCATGAATTAGAACAGTCTGAGAATAGGTGTTCCCCTTTTTTTCTGGCACAAAACAGGTGTTAAGATGTTAAAACACCAAACTGAAACCTTTTACAAGGAATCATGTCTGCATTAACCACAATACTTGTGGTCAGAATGCAAACAAAAACCACTGATAATATATGCATTGTGTTTGAAACTGATTGGTCCACACCAGAGACAGCTTTCTTTTGAGCCTCGTCTCAAAACGGTGTTAGACCAGAGGACGCCAAAAGGCATACAGCTCAAAGACAGCGCACTATCAGAGTAATGAGAGCTCGGGGTGAGCAGCTACACCATGATTTAGAACAGTCTGTTAAGGCTGTAATGCGGTGGTGATGTCTGTCTTTGATTTAACAGTACGGAGCGGACGTGCACGCCCGCGACGCCCACGGTCACTCCGTGCTCGCGTATGCGCGCCGGGGCGGCAGCCAGGAGTGCCTGGACATTCTCACGCAGCACGGCTGCGTCGACGAGCCGCACGTCTCCCCTCCGAGCCGCGAGGGCTCCCTCAACCCCACCCCCAACTTGGCTCGCCGCAACAACGCCGCCACCGGCGGTGGCGGTGGTGGCGGCTCGACAGCACAAAACGCCGAGTCGGTCGTGGGCGTTGCGCAGCAGCAGAGGTTCGAGGCTCCGGGATCGAGCTGGAGTTCCTCTGAGCAGTGTGCAGGAGCCGGCTATGCACCGCACGCCGCGGTGATGCACTCTTCCCAAGCGCACGGCAAGGGAGGAAGGGCCTTTGACTTTGTGGCTCTGAGCGGACATGCGAGCAGCAACAGCAGCAATGGGCGAGGCTTTGACCCGGGAAGTAATGGCAGTGGACGAACAAAACTGTGATACTCGGTGTGATGTTTTTTTTTTACACTATGTATATTGTAATTGTATAATTTTTTTTTGACCGTGCTTTATTTGCTATTACAAATGTAATTGGAGGGGGGGAGGTTTCTGTCTGTGTAAATCAAACTGCTGTGCAAGGTTTGATTGTGGTCTGTTACACAAACAATGCGGGGCCTGAATGACATATAAAACAAACGTGTGTTGCTGCGTAGGTTGTTTCCACGGTTCACAGTCACAGCTCTCTGCGACTCATTTTCCCTGCATGTACCGCGCGAGTTGTTCTGCACGGCGTCCGAACGTTTCGCTGCACGTGGAGGGAAACTTTACCAGGTGTGAAGTCCCACTGAGCTCCACAGATCTCTTTCAGAAGCGACCTGGCCACAAATGATAGCTCAATGAAGCGGCTTACCATCACGTGGAAATGTTTTGCAGCCAAATACTCGAAACGCACGTTGATTCTAAATGTGGAGGGGAAAAACTGGAGGACCCAGAGAAGAGGCCACATGACCACGGGTAGAACACGCAAACTGGATCTAACCCACGACCTCCTGTAAACTTGGCGAAGCATTTAACATCTCGCCACCGTGCTGTGGGAGACCACCTTCAGTTCCTGGTGTTGTCCGACGTGTATGGCAGCATGTGTGCTAGCAGCGTCCTTCAGGACTTGTTCCTTAAACGTTTCTGCCTGAAGAGGCCTCCAGCACGTGGAGTGAAACGTCGGACGTCATGCCAACCAAAACGGCGGTACAATCCCAAAACCACTTTGGAGCACTAAACCACCGTGTAGTTTGGAAATTATAAAACAAACGACTTGCGGGGGTGGGGGAAAACGCTAATGTTTTGTGAGGTTGGAAGGGAAGATTGTGCATTTAGAGTAATCTCGAGTGACATGCTTTCTCACACCTGGAAGCCAAATGGCAGTCAAAAATGTTACGTTGGAATATTATTAAACTGTTTTTAAAAATATTTTCCCCCCCAACCTCATCGTGTGAAACGACTTCTAAGTGGTGGGGACTTAGATTTAACAAAATATGACTTTGAGCAAGCCTTTAAATATTGTCAGTATTTTACCATAATTTTAAATTGCACTGTTTAAAAAAAAAGTTTTTTTAATTATACTTTTTTTGAGTATTTCCTACGAGCCCGTTGTTATCATTATCACTGTTTTGTTTGTTTGTATTATATTGCGCATGGTTGTTGAGTGACGTTATTACCAGGCTCGTCGTTTTTTTTTACATTCGGACCCAAAACTACGCTTGTGTACCATTTGTTACTGCCAGAGCTCAATAATGAATTGTATCTTGCCATGTGTAAAAAGAATGATGCACTCTCCTCTTACTGTAGCTTACTTGGTCTTTAAAATAATCGCACGAAGCAAGTTACTTGCATTCAATCCAGGACGGCATAGATGGAACACACAACACCTGAGGATGTTGTTGTTCTTGGCTGGGCAGCCAAAGCACATTCGGGACCAGTGAAACCCCAACATTGTTTGGTGTGCGAATTACCTTTGCTTTTCACAGCTATCAAATACTACGTAGAACTAATCCACAGTGCTTTGTCAATTCACTGCTGGATGAACGCCTCTTCACCGTGCCGTGTCGGTCGTTGCAGTTTGACCGTACTTCACGCTGGTCAATGGGGTCGGTGAAGACAGAGGCCAAACGACCAGTTCAGATATCGCTTGCCAATGATGTTGGCTGCGGCTGAGAATGCAAATAAGGTCGGCAGGCTCGTAGCGCAAATAGGCCAACCACTGTATCACTGCTTGACCAAAAAATAATACATGCTGCGGTGTAAAAGCAAACGTCGGTGGGAGAAATATCCCCAATAGTCCACTGCTGGTTTGTGTTTGTGATGGAATGGAATGGCAGCCATAGGAGGGAATAGCAGGCAAAGGAGGGATCGTATCTGAGAGGCTGACCGTCGCAAAGCGATTATCCCCCTGTTAAACTCCACCAAGTCGCCATCGGTCGCCTGTACCAAGTGCTTTGTTGGTTTTACGCAAGCATGGTGGAACTGGTATCTACGTTGTATATCAGCCATAGTCTATCCACTGCTGGATGAGAGCCTGCCTGTGCCGTTGCCATCAATCGCTCTCTTGCGTTGCCTTGATCCATCTTGTGACCTCCCTGCACACGAGCTGATCTCAACAATCCGTAGCTGCTGCTGTCGTCACCTCGGATGCATTCTTGATGAAGTTCTGTCAAACTCTGAAGTTAATTTCCATTGGTTGCTATGTTGTAAAAAAAAAAAATCGGAGATGGTTATGTTCTCCATTGGATGTTCACGCCTTAATCTATCCAATCCAAATATTGGACCGGGTAGAGCATTTCACAGTCGGGTCGGCAGGTCGTGCGTAGTGGCGTAAAAGGGTGCGTACCATTTCAGCTTGCCAGTGTGTGGAGCAGTAGGCCGAATACTCTCGTTAATGAGTGGCTAGTGATGGCGTGAGAAAGATATTATAGTGCTCAACCTTTCCCTTATATGGAGCATTCGCCATTTGTACATAAACTTACTGCGACAGGTAGAATGTCAGGTCAAATAAGACAAACAAATGATTTTGGTTTTCCACTTCATAATCGTCCGGCTCAATTTGCTATTCACGTTTCTTTTATGTGGAGGCGGCCGGGCGGATCGGGAGGTCAACGCTGAACTGGCATCACTTAGATCCTGGGTCTGGATTCCTGCAGCCCACCTGTGATTAACACAGGGTTTTCAAATCTAGTGAGTTCATGGCCTTTGCCGGGCAACAAAGGCTACACACACACACACAAAACACCCAGTCGTTCCATGGAACATTATACATTTGCCAGTAATTTATTGTAAGAATTAATTCTCACCCACTTGTCGCTGCAGAAATTGAGTTTCAAACATTTCTCTAACGTCACGACGAATAGAATATTGGAGCTTGTGTGGTAACAGGCATATGCGGTATATGTAAACAGGTTTTTGGTTTTTGTTTAAAGCGAATATGGTTTGTGTGTGTTGGATTCCTTGGTGGGCCAATACTAAATGACATTGCTGTTCCCGGTTTTTGCGGTGGGATTAGGTTTTCTCACAGCGCTTAGAATTTTGACGACCTGAGTCCTATTTCTGGCCAAAGCTAGCTGACGGTGGTGGTGGCGGCGGCGTGATATCTGAACCATGCTGGGTGTACTGCGCCATGACTAGCATGGTGAAGTATGGTTAAGCAAATCTCATTAATGTAGGGAGGCCTTCATCCAGCTGTGTTGTAGACAAAGGGCTGTGTGTGATTAATTATTGGTGCTAGACAAACATGTTGACCGTGATACACATCCACAATTCCAGACTGATGCTGTGTTATTTTTCCTGCAAATGTATACTCAAGGGCGGAAATGTTGACTTCGTTATTTTTTATTCCCTCGATAGAGGTTCTGGTAGTTGCTTAGGCGTTTCGTAACCAAAATACAAGACTTAAAATCTTAAATGATATGCAATGTGTAACGTGTAATGTAGTGTCTAAATGTGACTATCTGAAGGCTCCATATCATGTCAAGAACGATGTCTTATAAAACCGTGATAACAATTGTATGTTATAGGAGCGCATTACAAACCTACCATTATAACATTGCAACTCTTACAGATGCAAAGAATCTCACCACTGTCCGATGTAACCCTACCCAATGTGCCCCCCACCTTGTAACACAACGCTGGGCGAGTGGTAGCGCAGTGGTTTGCACAGAATCCGAATCTTTATTTATACTGGAGGAATCCGATGAGCTATACAGCTCTTTTTCACAGCTGTCCAGTAGGGGCACGGGGTCAGAACGTTACAACATTGCACTCTGAACCTGAATTCCATTCCCGGCCATGGTTCATATCGGTGATGAATTGATTTTGATTTCTCAAGTCAGTCTCGGACCCCCCCCCATCCACACCGCCCCCTTTGCCCAAGCCGCACGGACCATCGTGGTGAAGTATGGTCAAACTACGCCCATGAGTGACACGACGTGTGGAGGCCTTCATCTAGCAGTGGGGTTAACAAATGCCGATAAATTATCGCAAATTATTATAACACTACGTCATACCTGTCGACCCCTCATCAGTGCCTACCCTAATTCAGACCGTATTGGTCACCCCCGTGCCCCTTATAAATCTCAACGTTCATCCTACAAAGTCCCATCACAAGGGAGAAACACAGACACAGAATGTTGCCCGTATTGAAACGGCTGTACGCCGTATGGACCTGAAAACTCAATTTCCCTGTACAGGAATACGGGCTAAGCCGTACGGGTTGACGCTGTATGCAACATCGTCATATGCGGGTCGATATCCCTTCATATTGTCCAGGCTGATCCATTTATAGGTACCCCACTAAAATAGACAATTAATAGTAAAAAAAAAACCCCTACGTTTTAATTCAAAGTCTCTACACATCTCCCACCTCACTCTACATGCTCGTTAAATATTTTAACACCCCCCCCCGCCCCATGCCGTAAAATCCTATATAGCCCGTGTGATTTGTTTACATTACAATCATGCGTAAGCTGCAGGCATGGGGGGAGATTGATTAATGTAGATATCAACTGGGTATCTATAAATGGATCACCATTTACTGAACGCTGGTTTATTTAAATGGCCTGTCCGTTATAGAGATTCGGAAACGTAAATACATTACCAAATAAAAAAAAAACCTCTTCATCTCCCGCTTTAACGAATGAAATGACGACGTCGTCCGATTGAGACAGTTTTATTTGGAGACATTGTAAAAATTACACATTGTAAAAAATGAGACATTGTAAAATGAAGACTGTGTCACAAGGGTGGGTGGCTGGTGGGGGGGGAGGGGCGGTGTTATTCCGTGTTCAGTTAACACCAACTCAACGTCTTAAGCCGCTTGTTTCAATAAAAGTGCTTAATGCAATTCATCGGTCAAGTACTTCACAAGCAACGATTCGTGACGCCTCGCCGTGTCCCGGAGGCGCTGTCGTGGTGAGCACGCATGGACTTGCCGCCTCGAAGGGGGGGGGGTCCGTTCGATTCGATCTCCTCGGCGTCCAGCGACCATCCTCGCTTCTGTCCGCCCAGCAAGTTTTAAATTGGGTAACACGACAGCCGCTCGATCGGCAAATCGCGTTTGTGCGGTGGGGTCAAGTGTGGGTATGGAGAGCGGTGTCGCGCACTGCGCTACGAACCCGACGGCGCGAGTTCTAGTCCATGCGCGCGACCACGCTCAGCCAGCGACGATTAATATGAACCGGTTCTGGGCATCCCCTAGGTCGACTCGGCCTCAAATGAGTACCTGGTGCGGTGTGGAAACATCGCCACTCGGGCGTGGTGCTGGCCGCCCACCCCGTCGTGTGCCGTGCCGGTCTTCATAGGTGCTGCTCGCTAACAGCACTCGCCCCCAAAAGTCCGGTAAGCCTTAGCCAGAGTGGAAGAGTAGGCCAAATTACCCTCTTTAAAAAAAAGGCGCTCTCGAGTTGTCGATTGAGAGGTCCCTCCGCAAGCAAAGTGGCACCAGCAGAAAGCACTTTCAGAGCTCTGGCACTTTCAGGGCTCTGGCACTGCGCCTTTAACCTCTCTGCCGCGAGGTCAAAAAATGTTTCGCTCCGAGAAGTTGTCAGGAGATCCTCACCATGTCGGAGGAAACTTGCCGTGTGAAATACTCAACACGGATTCACGTGATGTAAGTACAGATATCAAATGCAGTGTACAGTACAAGTTATATGTTTTATATATACATTTCAGAAACAAGTCGTCGGTTTGCTGATGAATCGTGAGCATCACTTTTAAACCCTACCGAACTACATACATACCGCGCCGTATATTTACAATCAACATGTACGTTTGATTATTTAAATATTAAACATTATTTAAATACACTGCTGCGGACTCTTGGTTTGGCTGCTGCTTGTGACGAAATCACGTCTCTGCATTCGCTGCAGTATCGGCAAGTTGCTGGGAGCCCTGAATGTGCTGCTCAAGTTGCTCATGATCGGAATGTCCTTGTGTTTGGTACTGCGTTATCTGATGATGATGCTGCTGCTGTTCCTCTTGTTCCGTGTGCAGATCCAATTGCTGATGATGCTGCTGATGTTTTCCACGCTCATTTTGATGCTGCTGCTGATGATGATGTTGACGCTGCCGATAATCATGCTGCTGATGTTCTTCTTGCTCCGTTTGCTGATTCGGCTGCTGCTGTTGTTGTCGATGAAGCTGCTGCTGCTGCTGATGCTTCTGTTGGCCGCTCTCAGCCTGCAGCTGCTGGTGCTTGTTCTGCTGATGCTGCCCTCGGAGGGCGAAGCGGTGCACGTGCACAGGAATGGGCACCACAATGCGCGGGTTTCTCGACGGCTCGCCGCTCCTCGCGGCGCCGTTGCCGGCCTTCACGCGCTTCCACTTGGCCCTCCTGTTCTGAAACCAGATCTTCACCTGCACCTCGCTCAGACGCAGCGCGTGCGCGATCTGCGAGCGCTCCGTGAGAGAGAGGTACTTCTTCGAGTGAAATTCCTTCTCGAGCTCCAGCAGCTGCTCGCTGGTGAAGGCCGTGCGGCGCCGTCGACTCTTGGTGGTGCTGTTGGTGGTGCTGGTGGTTGTGCTGGTGGTGGTGCTTGTGGTGGTCACGGATAGCCCATCAGCTACCGCCGCCGCTGCTGCTGCTTCCTGCGCGGCCACCAAACTTTGGCCCGTGTCGTGTGGTCCTGCGAGGGCTCCACCCTCCAAAGTCGTCGTCGTCTTCCGCTGCTGATGCTCTTTCTCGCTCTTTGCAAACGGCGACTGGCAGGACGCAGAGACGAGTCCACCGCAGATGGACGTTGGCACGCAGCCGTGAGTCAAGGAGACGTTTCGGCTCAATAGTCGAGTTGTGAATGATGATGATGGTGGTGGTGGTGGTGGCGGCGGCGACGGTGATTTTAGAACGCACGGTGGAATTGTAGCAGAAGTGTCCGCCCACGAGTCGCCATCGGCATCACGGTCGTCGAAGACGCCCTTCTCGCGTTCGCCATCCAGACGCGTGCCAGACAGCACTGCGCGGCAAGATCCGACGACAGCACCGCGGTTACAAGGAGACAAACACAGGCACGTGCGTGCAGGGAGCGTGACTGTGCGTGCGGCACCACGGGAAGTGCGACGAGGTGGATGAGAGGAGAGGGTGGCGGTCCCCCCCCTCCCCCCCGTGAGGTCGACGGGGTGGATGTCGAAGCCACGCACTCATCATTGTTGCGATTGTGCCGAGTAGATAGCCAACCGGTGTTTTTTTTTTTGGGGGGGGGAGGGGGGTGCCGTGTCACATTGTGTTCGGTTGTGCGATGTACGACTTTTCGCTGCACCCGTTCTGGGAGCTTCTCATCGACTGAAACCAGATGTTCAGCCACCGGAAGATGCTCTCCCCCCCCCGCCAGCAACGTGGGGGGGGGACGAAACGTCGGGACATCAAGCCGAACGACACGCCCAAAATCACATCGGAGAACCATACACGTGTTTAATGCACACTCGGAATCTTTATTTCGAGTGGAGGAATCCGATGAGCTCACATCGGAGAACCATACACGTGTTTAATGCACACTCGGAATCTTTATTTCGAGTGGAGGAATCCGATGAGCTATGAAGCTCTTTTCCACACATGTCCAGTATGCGGCGCGACGCGGGCTGAGTTTCCTCACAAAATGTTTTCTGCGTAGGCTGAAGTAGGTGATAACGTGACCGGTTACCACAGCCACAGCGACAAGGGTTAGTATACTGGATGTAGTGTTCCGGATTCGTAATTCGTTTTTCAGTCACGGATCCGGAGAGACCCGGCTGGAATTTAAGACTCGAAATGCCACAAGGCTGGAGTTGCCCATAAACATTTTGTTTTCATTCTTGTGCAGCGAATCCGCATTTAAAAAACAACAAAATGCATTTGTGGATGTGAACACTCATTTCAAAAGTTCGTGGAAAGCATACTCGTTGGTTCTTTCGGTAAAGTCACGTAGGTGGAAAAAAATTATAGATCACTGCGTTTCGATCGCAACAACAAGCGACCGTCTTCACGTTTGACTTTACCGAAATAACCAATGAGTATGGGATTCCTGCAGTCACGAAAGCTTCAAATAAACACGTATAGCATGGTGTATAGTTACATCCTGTCGTCTAGCGATTCCGTTTGCCCGAAGTCTGATTAGACATTGTATTCTGAATTCAAGATAAAATTATCGTGCCCTCGGGATAACTTCCGCACGGCACGTTGTCACGCTGTGACCAAGCGTGGAATGTGCCCGATCTCGCTAGAACATCGGGAGCGAGCTCAGCTGAGCCTGGACAATGGCTTGGGTGGGTGGCCACCGTGCGCAAAGCAGGTTGCCAAGAGAGGCATGCGTGGTGAGCAGTAGGGAGCAGTCCAGCAACGTCAATTGTTGTACAGTACTTCTGCGTGTTCCGGGTCTACGCTTCCCGCTTTCACCAACCCGCACTGACCAGCGTGGTGAAGTATTGTCCAATAACCCCTCTCCCCCCAATATGAACCGCACAGCGTGGGGGAGGCCTTCATCCAGCTGTTGATTGATTCAAAGGGCTGCACGTTCAGACTTGGCTGGCTTCATATCCTTTCGAGCCCAGTACAAAAAGTGCCGTCCCTTTCCTGTGCCGTACACCGATGTCACTTGAAGGGCTCTCCGAACTGGCTCCGCGACATCCGCTTCCGCGGGCCACTCTCTGTGACACGCGAGGGTTGCACTTCCCCTTTGAGAGTTACAAATTTAATTCGTTCGTTCTTCGCCTCTGAAACGATGCCAATAGCTCAATCGGGGGAATTTTTTTGTGCGGAAAAAACGATTAAAGAAAGGGATATTAACACAACTGTCTACCCCCCCCCCCCCCCCGTACAATATTTACGCACCTGCGCGTCGCGACGTGTGCCGTGGTTGTTGTTGAAGAGGTGGCGAGCTCTCTTGCCACTCTCTCATCTTGGTCGCCCTCTCCTCTCGCCCTTCCCTCCTCTCGCTCGCCGCGTCTTCCTCGCCCGCCCCGCCGCCTCCTCCTCCTCCCTCCTCCCTGCCGCGAGACGCCGCGGGCCTCGCGCTCAAGTCCCGCGCCTCCTGCACGTGGGCGCACCTCGGCGAGCCGACCCCGAAGGGCAGGGCCAGACTCTGGTACGACCTGGTCACGCAGGTCACGGACAGGCAGCAGTGCGGTGCGGGCTGACCCAGGGGCAGCTTCAGGGGCATGGTGGGCAGCGGGAAGGGCAGCGGGGAGAGGGCTGGATGCAGCGCGCTGCCCGGGTACGGTTCGGGGACTCCCGAGATAGGAGGGCACGGAGCCAGGGCGGAGGTTCGGCCAAAAGGTGACGGCGATGATGATGAGGACGGTGACGGCGATGATGACGACGACGGCATTCGTGCGCACGTGGACGCCGACGTGCCGTGCAACAGAGACTCGATGCTGAACCTAGCAGTTGCAGTTGCGCGGCCTTGAGCCATCACGTCTTATCCCCCCCCCCCCACACACACAGCAGGCGTATTTCTCGAAGTCTTGGTCGGCTGCCACACCACCACCTCGTGGAGCAAAGAACTCGCCGCGTGGACCGTCTCCAGTCCGTACGGCTGCGCGCCCCCCCCCCCCTCCCCCCCCCCCCGATTTTAATGAACACGCGGCAAGCGAGAGAATTGAAATGCAGCGACGTGGTCCGAGGACTACGCCGAAGTGGCGTGAGATTGCAAGACGCGCACCGTTTGTGCTTCGCTGCCTCAGACTCCTCCTTCTCCCCCCCCCCTCCTCCTCCCACAACCCCCCCCCCCCGTGCAACCCCCCAGTCCCATCAGCACCCCCACCACCACCACCACCCCCCCCCCCCCCAAGGTTTGCTCATCGAAATGATTATCATCATCATGCAGGCGATTTTTTGCCGTTTTATTTTTGAATCCACAACCGGCACACCACGTCCACCTCGCCTCGTATTCTTTGGCCTTTCGGTAAAGTCACGTAGCAAATAACAAAAATATCTTCTACGTGCCTTTACCGAAAGACCCAAAGAATACGAATTCCTGCAGTCACGAAAGCTTCCAAGTCAAGATTTACACCTCGCCTCCATCGCCGTTGACCGACTACCCGAGACGAAATATCCCAGCGACGGCTTTTAAGCCCTTGCTCACCCGCGCACATCTTCTACGTTACAACATCGTGACATGTTGTCGTAGCGTACACGATTACAGGTGGAGGTGACCAGCAGCCAGCACCACGGAAAGCACGACCGTAGTCCTGCACTGCGGTAGCTTTGTGGCAGCAGTCGGCACTCTGACATCCGTGGCACAACAACGGGAAGGGAAGGGGGGGGGGAAGGGGGTAGTCAGCGGCGTCAACAAAGGGGGAGGCAAGACGGGGCGAGGTGAGCGGCGCAGGGAGAAGAGGAATGCCAAGACGGAAGGCTCCCAAGGATGCCAGACGACGAAGGGGGCACACGGCTCTTGATGAGCAGCAGCAGGGAGGACTGACGGAGCGACGGGGCAGGAGGGGAGGGAGGGGAGGGGAGAGGTGGGAGGGAAAAGACCGGGCCGAGATGGTGAGAAAGGGAGGGGAGAGAGAGAAAGAGAAAAGGAGCAATCGGAAGTGATGTGCACGGAGTGTGTTTTCACAGGGGGCGGGGTTCAGACAACAAAGACAAAGATATAGCCTGAATAGACTGTTGGGGCAAGTGCTGTAAGTGAGCACCTGTGAAGGCCGGAACGGCACACGAAGGGGTAGGTGGCCAACACCACGCCCGACCGCCTTTGTCTCCCCAGTGGCTATGTTTACACACCGCACCAGGTACTCGTTTGAGACCGAGTCGATCTAGGGGAGGCCCAAGACCGGTTCAGATAATCGTCACCGTTGTTGGCCGTGCAGCGGGAATCCAACTCGGGTCTCCGGGTTCGTAGCGCAGCGCTAACCACTGCGCCACCGCTCAGAGTGGGGGGGTGGCCACACGCACCAGGAGGCCTGGAGCTGATTCAGGGGGATGGAAACGCGTCCACAGGAGTTTGAGGAAGTCGCGAGTTAGAGGAGTACTTTTTGAAATACAGGGTGCTTCAAAAAAATGTTAACACGTAAATGGAAGGAAAAAAAACCCCGGATAATCCACTGTAACGTAACATTACATTCGTTTGCATTAGCCTGCCAAATCCTCCTTTGACGCAGCTGCTGTGCGTGCGTACGGCGACGGGACTCCTGTCCATCTCTGACCCCGCCTACTTGCACTTGGGTGACGCCCACCTCAAACCTCTACAATTGAATCATTTGGCGGGACCCCGGGTCAACAATGATTATTATTTTTCAGTCCCCCCCCCCACTCGTGATCCCGACAGCAACGCGCCGCCCGTCCGCCCAGACTCGCCGTGCCAACAAGCGCCACCACCAGCAGGCGGCGGTCGACACGATGGGCGCCACCCCACCGGCCAAACGCGAGCCCCGGGGGGCGACGACGCCCTCCGGTCAGCCGTCGACCCTCAGCTTCTTTGCCAAGGCGAGCCCCACCGCCCCCCCCAGGCGGTGAATTTTACGTGTTTATGTAATTTTTAAACTTTTTACGAAACTTAGTGCCCCGAGTAGCTCTCGACGAGGTCAATCGATTGACCACTAGTTTTGTTGTCGGTACGGCAAACAAGACTCGTGTCGCTGGGGGACCCCGGGGCAGTGATGGGACCCCGGGGTCCAGCCAATTGCTTCATATAACCTCGTGTTGCAACAGCCCTTTCTTGGTTCAGCAGTTCTACTGCTGCGTCTTTCTACCCGATGACGATCGCTTGTGTTGCGATCGAAACATCGTGCTTTATTATTTGTGTTTTTTTTCCCACCTACGTGACTTTACCAAAATAACCAGAGTACAAATGTAAATGTTGATAGCTTCAAAAAGTCAAAGAGTCTCCCCCACGTGTTCGCAATCAGTCAACACGTGGCCTGGAATCTTCTCCAGGTGGTCTAGGGCCCCGCAAGGCAGCACGTTTATTGTGGTTGTTGCAAATTCTCAGCAGCGTTAACATTCTTTTGAAGCACCCTGCACTAACGCGCGTCACCATGAGAGACGTCTGTGGACCACGAGCTTTCTCCGGTTGCACTCGAGAGGGAAACGCAACACGACGCAGGCTACACGAACAGGAGCCTTGGGCGAATCCACTGCTGGATGAGGGCCTGCCCACGCCATTTACGGGGGGCATTTGAACCACAGGCTGGGCCAGTTAAAGGGGAAGGCAGGGAGCATAGACGTAGAGCAACAACAGATGAGTTGGCCGTGCTGATCTCTATTGTTCACCACGTAGCAGCAGGCTGTGTGACTCCCCGTTTGTGTCTGGCGGTCACCCATTCACGCATTATCCTGACTCGACCCTGCTCAGCTGCCGAGGTTTCATGAGATTGGGTGCAGTTTTACCAATTTCACCAGCTGGCCCAAACAAAATGCGAGTTCATGTGTCGATGATTATAGCTTACCGTTCAAATGAGTAGTTGTACAAGTGCCGTAATGTATAATTGCCAATGTGATATTTTGGTAAAGCCCCAATGATGACACTGTACCACAACGTGGCAACGTCGTTCCTCCCGCACTCAATACCGCACCTCCGATTCGCACGGTTGGCTACGTACGGTGCGCACGAAGTTCAACATTCATACAATCACCCACTCACTCACTGTTGGCTGCGAACGAAGTTCAACATTCATACACTCACCCACTCACTCACCCACTCACGGTTGGCTGCGAACGAAGTTCAACATTCATACACTCACCCACTCATCCACTCACGGTTAGCTACGTACGGTGCCCACGAAGTTCAACATTCATACTCACCCACCCACTCACGGTTGACTACGTACGGTGCGCACGAAGTTCAACATTCATACTCACCCACCCACTCACGGTTAGCTACGTACGGTGCACACAAAGTTCAACATTCATACTCACCCACCCACTCACGGTTAACTACGTACGGTGCGCACGAAGGTCAACATTCATACTCACCCACCCACTCACGGTTAGCTACGTACGGTGCGCACGAAGTTCAACATTCATACTCACCCACTCACTCACGGTTGGCTACGTACGGTGCGCACGAAGTTCAACATACAAACAATGGACGAGTGGAATACCTGGTCTCTGGGCCCACGGATCATAAGGGACACCGTTCAGCGGCATGAAACAATTCCCCCCGTAGTTGCGTCTGTAAATCCAGGTAAAACGGGCACCGATTTTTCAACCCGAAGATGTTTTCTCGTTTCGCAACGGGCCATCGCGTACGTAAAAAAAAGACTGCTTTGCTGCATTATTCTTAGCGCGGCAGCGCCGCCCAGTGGAATGTCAAGGGAATGACCATGCTCGTGAATAATAACACCGTGCCTCATCGACGGTCCATTGCCCAAAAAACGTCGCCTTGTGGGTTCGTTTTAGGGCAGTGTTATATTAACGAATGTTTTACTTGATTTATATTAACGAATGTTTTACTTGATTTTGTGCCTGTGCACTCACTGCCAAACGCGGTCTCACCGAATAATGAGCTTAATCATTTAAACACCTTGCATCAACCCTACCGCTGAATGAATGCCTCCCCCCCCCATGCCGCGTTTGGCCATCGAGATAGTTTGACCATACTTCACCACGCTCGTCAGTGCGGGATGGCAGGACCCCCCCCCCCCCCGAAATAAAGTTATGAGACTCGGCGAAGCTTTCCTGGGTAAGGCAATCGTAATTATCAACAAACTAAATTCTGCCATGTATTAGGGTTCATCCTTGGCATGTAAAAGTTTTACTGCAAGAGTAGGAATTGTATGTACTATATGTTGAACTTCTTTCACACTATACGTAGCCAACCCTGCTAATCGGAGGTGCAGTGTTGAGTCTATGGGTAGTTGTTAGTCTATGGGCAGTGTTAGTCTATGGGTAGTATGTATGTTGAACTTATTTCGCACCGTACGTAGCCAACCCTGCTAATCGGAGGTGCAGTGTTGAGTCTATGGGGTAGTTGTTAGTCTATGGGCACTGTGTATGTTGAATTTCTTTCGCACCACCGTACTTAGCCAACAAAAAGCAGTTCTAAATAAATGAGTTTTCAATCTGGATGATTTAAAAGTGCATAGTTCCATTGGCTTTCTAATATCGGAAGGAAGAGCGTTCCAGATGGCCACAGAAGCGCATCCTTGCTCGATGGCTATCCAAAAGCCGCTGCTGCGAGGATGCCCGGAGTCCGCGTTATGCTTCTTGACGAGATCAGCATGGCCAGTGGTTCATTTGTGCCAAGCTCTTGGTGGCGTGTGGCGAGTGCGACCCATGAGCCCTGTAAACTGATAATAACATATGGGTTAAAACATTCAAGTAGTCTAAGAATTAACAATTTAAACAAAATTGGAACTTCCACGTTCTTCCACACCCATCTATGTACAAGGACAGCAATTAAAGACCTCAAAACAGAGCTGAGTGCACGGCAATTTTCTCTTAAATAATGTATTTTAAATATTTTTATTCAAGTTTTCATGAGCGTTAGAATGCAACTCCCGACGCCCAGGTAGGGAGGAATGGCTGAAGATAGAGAGGCATTATTGCTGCGGCATTACATAAACCCGCTAAACCCAAATAATAACAGCTACTTGCGATTGGCCAGCGCGCGCACACACACACAGGTGCACATTTGCATGCAAGCAAATCGGGCCCCAGAAATGTGTTGTTCCTGCGCGTGCCCGCGCGTACGTGCGTGTTTAAGCCTCTAAATCTGAACTGGGGGAAACCTAATGATCTTCATCTCACGAGATCCACTACACTTCCGAAACTGCCTGCAAATGACATTCACCTGTCACCGCGGGCGTTATTAGCCGCACTAATCGGGTCCTGGAGGGGCCAGGGTAGGATACTTTCGAGAAGGCAATGCAGTTCATAATTTTAGCGCGCTCGGTCCAATTCTCCCACCGCAAAGGGCTTCTCTTTATCTTTGGTCGACACGTTTTTTTTATTTTTTTGCCCAATCACATTGCTTCTATTGGTTGGTTGTGTCAACGTATCAGACCACCAAAGGTAATTTGAAAGTCCTATCCAGGCCCTCGGTAAGGGAATAACCTTCCCCACCCCCCGCTTTAAATAAAAAAAAACAACAACAAAGGAACTAAACGCACGTTACAGCAGTTAGATTTTTGGCATTTTGGCAACTTTTGGCAAATGTCACTTTCAATGCAGTGGGCGGTGGTGGTGGGTGGTGGGTGGGGGGATTTGTGAGGGGGCAAAGACATCCCTGGGTGATGCACAGAGGTTTTATTCAAGGCACGACTTCTATTGCACGGAATGTCTCGGTGCGGACGCCGCGTCGTCTCCAGCCGAACCACCCTTCTCGTTCCGCTCGACCAACTCTTCCACCTCGGCACCGCCTGGCCGCGCGTCGCGTAGCAGAACTCGCTCGCTCGATCCCGAGCCCGCGGCGTCGTCGTCGTCAGCCCTGGAAGGGCCGTCGGGCGAGAGGCCCCCGGCTCGGACGTTGAGAGGCGGCTTCAATTGCGGGACAGCTTCCGACGACGGCAGGATCCTCTTGGAGGGCTCGACTTCCGGTTTCGCGAGAGGACCGCGGCCGTTGCTCTCTTGCGTGGCGCACCAAGTCAACTTTCTTTTCGGTGCCTTCTTTTTGTTGGCAGATGACGCGGTGCCAACTTGAGCTGGGTGGACTTGTGATGCCATGCCTGGCCTCGCCGAAGGCGTGGAGGTAGATATCTGCGCGAGCGAGTGGTGCTGCTGAGGAGCATTGTAAGGTCCGCCACCGGCCGCCGCTTGAACCCCACGGATGTTTTGGGTCTTTGTGAACTGCGTCTTTGGGTCTCGGTGAAGACGATAATGCGGTGGGCACTGTTGATGCATCTGGTCACTTGCCACGTATGGTGCGGGCAGCATCTGTAGGCAGCTAAAGGAAGCCTGGCTATTGTTTGGCGCTTCCGTGGCCCAACTAATGACTTCGTTTTCACCATCACCACCACCATCGCCGGCGCCACTCCTGGCGAGGTGACGGCGTTGCATTTCAACGCCTCTCTCCGATCGCGTCTCGTCTCGAACTTCCCTCACTTCTCCGTTTCTTCTGCTCTTGCCCGAGCGCGTCGCGACGTCCGCCGCGTCGGCCACGCCGCTCTGCGCTCCGCGGCCGCCCCGCCGTTCGTCGCGAACCATTGGAGGCGCCGTGCGGTGGCTGGGAGCCGTCGTGTCGCTCGTCGCGTTTGGCAGCGAGCACGCCTCCGCTCTCGACTGATCACGGGACGGCCCGCACCGCGTCGCGTTGTGCATCATCGACTGGACCGTGTGATACGGTTTGAGGGTTCCGAAGGAACACGGACGCAAGTCGGGGGCCGGCAGAGAGGACGCGTCGGCAAAATCGCGGGTGCCCCTCGCGGCGAGAAACAAAGGACCCGCGCCGGGATCAGCCGTGTATTGAGTTGACACGGGTCCGCCGAGGTCGCACGCCGCCACAATGCTGGTGTGATGGGCATAGTTGGGGTTAGCGTCTTGCGTATGCACCGAGGTGGAGACGAAGGAAGGCGCAAGCGCGCCGGGGTGAAGATTGACGTCGGGGTTCGGCACGTTGCGAACAAAGGCCCGATTCGGCTCGGGGTGGGATCCGCGGAACGAAACCGGATAATTGTCGGTGGGGGGGTTCGGAGTGGGCGGGTCAAGGACGAGGGTGCAGCTCGAGGGCAACGGTTGCTGACCGAGGGTCACGTTCGGCGCGACGCCCAGCCGCGGCGCCACGTAACGGGCGAGCGCGAACGCCGGCGGCACCCCGGACTCGCTCACACCAACGAGATTTACGAGGCCCCCGCCGCTCGTGAAAAAGCTCGCACCGCCCTGGCCGCCGGCCGTCGGGAAGTAAGACGCCGGTTGCGTCGACAGCGGCGTCGCACGGGAAGCGGCGGCGGCGGCGGCGGCGTCGTCGATGACGAAGACGTCGCGGGTCTTCGAGTCCTGGCCCCCGTGGACGCAAAGCAGCGCCCGCTGGGTCTGATGGCAGCCTTCGGCGGTCGTACCGATCGCCGAAGAGGCCGCGGTGCCGGCGCCGCAGGGCTGCTGCTTCGAGCACGAAGCGGCCGGGTGGTTGTCGCAGCCCGAGGGAGATTTGCTCGGCGTGTCGCCGCACTTCTTGACTTGATTCTGGGGGATCTGCGAGAAGGTCGTCGGCCCAGCGTGAGTAACGCGACGTTGTTTGGGGAGATAGCGAAGCTTAATCGTAGCCATCAAATTCCTTGCTGTTGCTTACATTTACGAGTGCGCAGTGGTTGGCGCGCTGCGCTACGAACCCGGCGACCCGCGTTCGATTCCCGTTCACATTTCATAACACCACCAGTGACTGGGTCCTGGGTCTCCCCTTTCGTCGACTCAAATAAAAACTGTGCGTGGTACTGGCCACCCACCCCCACGTGCACTGTACCGGCCTTCCTCGGTGATCTTTCACAGCACTATACGGTGGATGTTTAGTCTTTGTTTGCATTGTATGTATATTTAGCCAGTGGTCAAAAGGTAAATGTAGCGTTACCGGCAATAAAACCCTGCAATAGCCTATGCTTATGGACGTTTCCCCTCCATGGAATGTCGCGGAATAAAAATTGGAATCATCGTGGAATGTGCCGGACAAGACGAGTTTGGTGTTATGAGAATAATTTTTACCGGCACATACCAGCACATGCATGTATGTATGTAGAACTTCTTGTGCACTGTACGTAGGCAACCGTGCTAATCGGCGATGCGGGGGGGAAGGACAACAAACTAAACACAAAAAGCAGTTCTGAAGAATGGAGTTTTCAATATGGACTTAAAATTGCATAGCTCTATTGGCTTTGTTAAGATCGGAAGGAAGAGCGTTCTAGATGGTGCGAGGCAAGCGATGAAAGGAATGAAAAGGGGCTTACCTTCCAGTTGCGAATACGCTTCATCCTGTTTGGCGATTTCTCCATGATGTCTAGGAATTGTTGAGTAAGCTCTGTAGGCGGGAGACACAACTCTACTTGTGACATCGAATTGTTCCTTGACTAAAAAAGTCTAAAAGATTGTTTTTGGCTTAAATCTAGAAGTTCTAAGCATCTAATAATGGTAATAATGTACCGTGGGGAGTCTGTCATTCGGCAGTGAATTGATAAGCGTTGCAAACAACTATTATTCATACTTTTCTGCTGTGCGTACAGTGGTGGTGTGGTGGGTTGATGCCACCGTGCTATGAAACTAGCCACCTGAGTTCGAATCCCAGCCACGGCCAACACCAGCGGGGGGAGAATGGGGGGGGGGGGGGGCATCCCAAATGAACCGACCGTCTAGATTTTCTTGAGCAAAAATAACCCGCAAGCGATATCCACATGCAGGTCCCAGTGCTACGCAGACCTTGCCCCACCACGTAAGGGGGGGGGGGGGGGGGGGCAGCTGCCAGTTGGCTAGACCGCAGGCAGGGAGACGAGACGCCGGCTCGAAACGCGATTTGGATAGGCATTCAAATTATTAAAACCCCTTCGCGGGTTTTACCAACGTTTGATCGGCGCTCACCGTCCAGCAGCTGCAGCGTGACGGAGGTGTCCACGTAGGCCCACCAGGGCTGCCCGTCGCTCGACATGGGGATCTCCCAGCTGGACCACTTGCAGGCCAGGTGGATGCAGACGCACGCCACCACTGACGGGGGGTACCGCAGGCACAGCGTCGTCAGGTGCAGGCTTCGTTTCCCGCCGCCCCAGTTTGCGCGCGGATTCACAGCGGCGGGAAGAGAACGGAGGAAAAGTGGAAACGTTATGAGATTTCAAAATGTAACCCCACCGCCACCGCCCTCACCCCCCCCCCCGCAACTCCTCTCCCCCCCTTCTTCACTTTTATTGTCCCCTACCCTGCAAATATGCTGCCCCTGACCATTACCCCTACGGTGGTAGGACAGTGAACCCAAGTGCTTCAAGTCGGTCCGCTATTCGAGGTCGCGTCCTGCTCCAGACTGCGACATGACCGTGACCCCTGTTTCCCTCTCGGATGTCTGCGTTGTGTTGTTTGTGCGTACGTGTCAATCGACCAATCCCTGGACACCCTTGAGTCTCAAAGAACTTTTCATGTGAACTAAAGATACATGTTTATATTTTAACAAAACAAACCAGAAGCATTAAAAAAAATATTTCCACGTGCATATATACATGGGCACAGAGGTGCACCCTGGGGGGAAAGAGGGGGAAGGAGGGGGACGGGTAAAATGGAGCACTCCTTCCCCGCCTCTCACGAAAAAAGATTTCATTGTAATATTTCACATACCGTTTTTGAGATTTTGTTTTCTCCTCATCAACACGAAATAGGTTCCGTCCTTCGTCTAAGCCACAAGTCGAATTGTTGCGTTGTGTCAGCCGCTTAAAACAACTTACCCCTCCTCCAAAATGTCACGTTGCAAAATGAACAACGCAGAGTTTTTACGTCGCGACGCGGCGCCTGCCACCACCACCACCACCACCACCGGCGCACAGCAGTCGCTCCTCACTCTCGAGGGAGGGGAAGACGACTCAAGGGGCGTGGGGAGGAACCACAGATGGGCGGGAGAGGCAGCAGCCACCACGGTGAACCAGCACCAACAATTGCCCGAGTTCTGCAGTCCTCTATACGTGGACATCTGCGAAAAAGAGCTCTGAAGCTTATGCGATTCCTCCGGTATAAATAAATATTCGCATTCCGATATGGCGGTAATATCGGTTAATTCGTGAGCATTTACACGTGGGAGGAAACCGGGGCACCCGGAGAAAAACCCATGCGTGCGAGGGGGCAACGCTCTATCCTGCACAAAATGGAACCAACGGGAGTCCACATTTGCCGTTTCCTCGTCTCCTCGTGAGCCAGAGTACGGCACCTCGCCGCCCACGCTAAGGGGGTTTTTCAGAGGATCTTTGTGCGATCCACTAACCCTCGTCTCCACAGAGCTGAATCACAGGCCGTGCATAGTCACCACCGTCTGGTGATCATTTAACGGGAGGAAACATTTTTTCGCTGCCTCCACATTTTTTAATTGCATGCACACAGCCCTTTTATTCAAGGCCTCATCTCCAATTCTCATAATCGGACCCCCCCTCCCCCCCCCCCCCCCAATCAATTTGTGGAAAATCATATTATCCGCAGGTCACCCTTGCAATTAAAGGACCATGTATGTGCGTTTATCGAAACGAGTTGTTTCCATCTCCTTGGATTGGATTCTAACTTGCATCTCTATTTTTCCACGGATAAGTAATCCCAGATGTGGGGGCAAATTCAACCAACTGCTCATACAGATGTGTGGATAAGAGTCGCCCAAAAGTCACCATTCATTGGCAATGGCCAATCCAATGCTAGATGAAGGCCTTTCCATAGCCGCCACCATTTCCTGCAACCCTGCGATGTAGTATTCCACCACCTGGCAACCGGCACGCGAGTCGATTTCATCGTTCCGTCTCCTCGCTGGGCATCTTCTCGGATGCTGCGTTCCACTCCTAGGTTGCCACTGCTTTCATTATTATTTTGTTTCTCCAGGAGGAATGCATGCACTCCTAATATTATCTGATCCCCCTGCTAATCGAAGAGGAATTACCCAGAAGTGTCAGGAAATGCATACCTATTATACGTCAATAAATGCGTCGACATTGATATTGTGGATATACAGCGCACCGTGGATGAGAGCAGGTTCACACACCGTTACATTGACCACAATGAGCCCCACAAATAATTCGTGCATGTGCCTTCCCCGCACAACTCCCCGGGGTGTTCATTACAACCTCATGTGGAGCAAAAGTGTGCATTTGTACCACGACAAAATGTTTAATCGTTTACACCTTTTCCACCGGCACATCCCAGCTGTTTAACAAACCGTTGAGACGCCGTGACCTCGCGCAAAATGTTAATCTGGCTCGGGGGGTGGCCAAGCAGGTGCCAGGGGCGGGGATAATGAAGCTTTTACTACGTGCGACGTCAAGTCGGTGCGCTGTGAGGACGCTGCGAGGGCACTGCGAATACGCTGCGTCGCAGCGGCGTCACATCGACGTCACAGCGACGTCACAGTGACATCGCAGTGACGTCACAGCGACGTCGCAGTGACGTCGCAGTGACGTCGCAGCAGCGTCACAGCGACGTCACCGTCTACACACGATTTGTTCGTTGTGCGCGATGTCGGCGGAACGGCTCAGCTTCTGCAGTGGAAAAGAGGCATCGGACACAAAGAGCCCAAGCCCGTAGTGGAGCAATGTGCAGAGTAAATTTATTTATTTACTAGGTAAGGCCCACTGAGATATATAGCACTTTTTACAGAAGCGACCTGCCCACAAATGATAGCTCAACGAAGTGGCCAATCGTGTGGAAATGTATAGCAGCCAAATACTCTCATCACGTGATTTTGATGATAAATGCGGAGGGAACAACCGGAGGACCCGGAGAAAAATCCACGCGACCAACGGAGAGAACATGCAAACTTTAAATGTACAGGCGGGTAGGCTCAGGATCGAATCCACGACCTCCCGTATATCAGGGGAGGTAGTTAACATCTCGCCACCATGGCACCCGTTGAGAAGCGCCTCCAAGGGGGACGAAAAAATGTATTTAAACACTTTCTTTACGTTGATCTGAATGAATTAGATTGCAACACTGTTTCTACTGCAGACGCTTTGCACAGATTGCTGAACAAAAATCTCGTGAGCTCAGAGGCAAGCAGCAGTGATGTCAGCGAAGGTTCACAGATTTCAGATGGAACCCGGCCAGCCAGAGGTAGAGCCGAAACTCAGCGTGCCAACACGGTAGGTTTGCCGCGATGTTTGCCGACACTCCCGATGTATTGTACGATGTGCGAGACCCACCCCGCAATCCGTATAATCAATTTAGTCAAATGTTACGTGATTACTGTTGGTCATTTAAGTTTCCAAATTTTTTTTTATTTCCTGACAAAATATATATTCTGGGGTCTTTCGGTATGTTGATGGGATAACGCAACAATTAACGTGGGGTTTAAATAAATACTGCAGCTATTACCAATTAAATGCTTTGCAATTGTTTTGTTTTAGTAACTGACGGCGTCGTGGTTATACGACAACGTAAGTCTTGTAGTCGGTGGAGCGGACAGCATGCGTTCGCAGCATTACAGTTTATAAAAGTTGGAATGATTGGAAGGTTTACGATGGATTTATGCTGCGTGAACTGCAGTTAAAGAGGTTTTTAATCACCTTGACTTGTACCGGGAAGTACAGAAAAAGAACAAAAACCCCATTCGGGTAAAACTGCGAAACGCAATTTTACAAAGCGATGAGAAAGTGCCGTCACGACCGTCGTCACACATCGCGAAGAATTAAAAATTGGGTCGTTTCGTGCACGGTTACATCGCGGGAACCCTGCGACCCGGAGAGACTCTCGCTGCTTTTTTAACCACCTGTTGGTAGCCATGAAATAGGAAGTGTGCGCCAAATCCTTGCTCGCTGCAAGGCAAGAAAGTCAAACAAAACAGGAATGAAGTATTCGCGAGCTCGAAACAGTGGGACGCACGTGAGGAAACACAAGTATGGGGACTTGTGCCCTCGCCAAAGGAACCAAAAGATTTCTGCGCTCTGTCGGCCAAAAACGCAGCAGCAGCAGCCTTCATCTGTAAACCATACAGCTACGTTTCTTCTTCTTCTTGCCAACAGGCTTTCTGCTCGGCATGTAATGGATTCACCATCTCACCCCTTTCCCCCAGAGATTCGATGAACCGTCACAGTTCTGCAACGCGATTTGATGCAAAATAAATGGAGTTTCTTTGCCTCGTATTGTTTGCATTGTTTGGTGCACAATGGCATCAACCGCTCCCTCACGGTCCTGAGATGCATCTCACTCCTGCGCCATGTGCCGAATCAATCCCTCCATCCTCTCCGGTGGGTTGCCCGTCTCGGCTGCGATGCCATCGGCGGTCTGCCGCACATCGGCCATCTAGCGATGTTGCCCTGCCGAAAGCCTGCCGCTTCTTTCCATCCGGCAACGCCAAACCACTGCTTGATAAAGGCCTCCGTGCCCCACGTTGCTCACGGCGGGCTCCTCGGACCATACTTGACCACGCTGGGTAGTGCAATTTGGCGATGAAGACTGGTTTAGGGGTCCGGTTTGGACGTCGCTAGCCACTGATGTGAGCCGTGCCTGGGAATTAAGATTCGCTTCGCCGGTTTGATAGCGCGTTGAGCTAACCACGGCACGCCACCCACTCCACCCAAACGGAAAGTATTTGATATGTTTTTTTATTGGGTAATTGTTATGACGTGCGCGACCCCTGCAAAGCAATACAACACTAGGCTCGTTACACATTTGAGTGTGTCACTTGCCTTGCGCAGCCACTTCATTGGGATTGTTTACAAATGACACGGTGGCAAATTACAGGCTCAGCCTTCAGTCCCATAATCACTCGCGGAAACCTATCATTAACTGGGACACCGCCCCCACCCCCAGTTGATGTGGGGGACACACTTTTCCCACCGCTGTCACACGCCTCCTGTCATCTCAAGCAAGGCACCTGCCGTGGCCGGCATTATTCTATGGAAGATCTGATTTTTATAGCTTTAAAAAAACGCTGGGATAACTAGCGGCGCAATTTTTTTTTTTACAAATTAAAACAGGATAACACGCCATTGAATAGTGTGTGTGTGTGTTAGTAAGATTCAATGACGGTATTTATGGTTTTTGAAAACTGTCTACACAATACAGGGGCTGGAGGGCCAGCTGTGCGGCTTATATCAGAAGTTCTGTGCTTGTATCAGGAGTTGGGCTTTACCTTCTTCTCCCCACTAGGGTTGCTTATATTAGAAACGTGCTTTAATATTCGGTGTGCTTATATACAGGTTCCGCTGTATAAGCAAACGCTACCTGAAGGAAGTCGGAACGAATGAGATGGCACGGATTGAACGATACAAAACGAACGAGACAGAAACAATTGCATCGAACTGTGACGATGAATTGTGACGGATTCATCGATTCGTGGGGGTCACGGGAGGGAGGTGACTAATTCCGTGCCTAAAAATATTTACTAGACTATTTTTTATTTTACAAGGCAAGGCCCACTGAGCGATATAGCTTTTTTTTCTGAAGCGACCTGGCCACAAATGATAGCTCAAAAAGTGGCTTATCACGTGGAAATTTATCGCAGCCAAATACTCTAAACGCATGTTGATTCTCATTGTGGAGGGAAATGGCGGAGAAAAATGTACGCGACCACGGGGAGAGACACATGCAAACACCAAATATACAGCAGGCGTCAGAGTCCGGATCGAACCCACAACTTCCTGCATACCAGGCGAGGGAGTTAACATCTCACCACCAATGCGCCCCTTATTATTTCCGTGCCTACAAAAATAACAAGGATCGTAGTTATGTTGGTTCTGGAGTACGTCCCTGAATCTTCACTGTGCAATGTGCGCTACTCATTATCTGGTGATGCTGCTGCGATGGCAGTGGTGCAGAATCACAGTTAACAAAAAAAATAAAACTCAACACACTCGTCAATAACACTGTTACGTGCTCTTAAAAGTACAAGTATATATCACGGCCAACGTTTCAGGCGACGGCCCCTTCTTCATGGCACAATAATTATCTGGCACGAGGATGGAATGCTCACCTCGAACCAGCTGGCTGCACTTCACAACGTGAGTGTGTGGGTGAACCACGGTTACATCGAATCCTAGAAGGGGGGAGAGAGTGGGGGGGGGGGGAATAATAAAATGAAAATATAATAAAAGATCAGAAATGAATTTTAAACACCCAGTAATAGTTTTAAAGAAATATCAGGTGGATGTGTAAAATTAAGTTTAAAAAACCACATCTTAAATCGTTTTCGATAATCAACTTGTACAGTGAGGGAAAAAATTATTTGATCCCTTGCTGAATTTGTACGTTTGCCCACTGACAAAGAAATGATCAATCTATAATTTTAATAGTAGGTTTATTTGAACAGTGAGAGACAGAATAACAACAACAAAATCCAGAAAAACGCATATCAAAATTTTTATAAATTGATTTGCATTTTAATGAGGGAAATAAGTATTTCACCCCCTCTCAATCAGAAAGATTTCTGGCTCCCAGGTGTCTTTTATACAGGTAATGAGCTGAGATTAGGAGCACACTCTTAAAGGGAGTGCTCCTAATTTCAGCTTGTTACCTGTATAAAAGTCACCTGTCCACAGAAGCAATCAATCAATCAGATTCCAAACTCTCCACCATGGCCAAGACCAAAGAGCTCTCCAAGGATGTCAGGGACAAGATAGTAGACCTACACAAGGCTGGAATGGGCTACAAGGCTGGAATGGGCTACAAGACCATTGCCATGCAGCTTGGTGAGAAGGTGACAACAGTTGGTGCGATTATTTGCAAATGGAAGAAACACAAAAGAACTGTCAATTTCCCTCGGCCTGGGGCTCCATGCAAGATCTCACCTCGTGGAGTTGCAATGATCATGAGAACGGTGAGGAATCAGCCCAGAACTACACGGGAGGATCTTGTCAATGATCTTAAGGCAGCTGGGACCATAGTCACCAAGAAAACAATTGGTAACACACTATGCCGTGAAGGACTGAAATCCTGCAGCGCCCGCAAGGTCCCCCTGCTCAAGAAAGCACATATACATGCCCGTCTGAAGTTTGCCAATGAACATCTGAATGATTCAGAGGACAACTGGGTGAAAGTGTTGTGGTCAGATGAGACCAAAATGGAGCTCTTTGGCATCAACGCAACTCGCCGTGTTTGGAGGAGGAATGCTGCCTATGACCCCAACAACACCATCCCCACCGTCAAATATGGAGGTGGAAACATTATGCTTTGGGGGTGTTTTTCTGCAAAGGGGACAGGACAACTTCACTGCATCAAAGGGACGATGGACGGGGCCATGTACCGTCAAATCTTGGGTGAGAACCTCCTTTCCTCAGCCAGGGCATTGAAAATGGGTCGTGGATGGGTATTCCAGCATGACAATGACCCAAAACACACGGCCAAGGCAACAAAGGAGTGGCTCAAGAAGAAGCATATTAAGGTCCTGGAGTGGCCTAGCCAGTCTCCAGACCTTAATCCTATGGAAAATCTGTGGAGGGAGCTGAAGGTTCGAGTTGCCAAACGTCAGCCTCGAAACCTTAATGACTTGGAGAAGATCTGCAAAGAGGAGTGGGACAAAATCCCTCCTGAGATGTGTGCAAACCTGGTGGCAAACTACAAGAAACGTCTGACCTCTGTGATTGCCAACAAGGGTTTTGCCACCAAGTACTAAGTCATGTTTTGCAGAGGGGTCAAATACTTATTTCCCTCAATAAAATGCAAATCAATTTATAACATTTTTGACATGCGTTTTTCTGGATTTTTTGTTGTTATTCTGTCTCTCACTGTTCAAATAAACCTATCATTAAAATTATCGACTGATCACTTCTTTCTCAGTGGGCAAACGTACAAAATCAGCAGGGGATCAAATACTTTTTTCCCCTCACTGTAAGCTCATGCGTGGGGTTTTCGCTGCCTGTGCTGCTGTGGTGGGGCCCTGTGATGAGTTTTCTATTTGCACCGCTGTCCAAAGAAGCTCCCAGCACACGGAGTGAAACAGACGTCATGCCAAACACATCAGAGACCTAAACGGTAAGTTACCAAAATCATGTTGAAAAATATTATTTATTTTACAATAATTTTGTTTTAGTTTTCTCCTCCCGACTGATCGTGAATTGTGCCGTCGGCATTGCGTCACGAGACAAAAAGCATCTCTCACGGAGAAGTGCAACCGTCTTGTTGGGAACGGCCCACGGAAGCGGATACCACAGAGCTACCTCTGAGTTCCCTTCAAGTGACCTCTGTGCAGCACAAGAGGGAGAGGGAAGGGGGGGGGGAGTAGCATTTTCTCACACGCCATGCCACTGAGAATAGTGTTCAATACATGAGTGAAAGTAATATTTTGTTTTATTCTCAGAGCTAGAATTTATCCAAATTAAGTGCAGAACCAAATGTGCTGTGCTTGGGTTTTTTTGTTCATGCAGTCATTGGTGACCATCGACTCACTACACCAGAGAACCCGGTTCAATCACCTGGACTTGTATACTTTAAAATATCGTCCGATAAAATGTATTACATTTGTTGCCTGTTCACGTAGGCTACGTACCTGATGACGCATACATACCCAGTGTTTGCAGAAGCATTGTCTCTAACATTATGAGGTCCTGCGCTTTCTGCAAGTATACCTGCCGAAAAACACCAACGCCAAAATATATAAACCACGCCCGACAACACAACTGCTGAGATCACTTGTTTGCAAGGGGCAAACTATTAAGGATTATTTTAACATGTGATTTTTATCTGGCGTATCATTCACTCAACTTGCATAAAAAAAACATCGCTCCAGGAAGAATTTGTAAACTCGCACACTTTTCACACGAAGGCGCGGGTAGTCACAGAGAAGCGGGAAGGAAGAAGGCAGCCAGAAGCGGCTACAACATTTTTGCAAGCTCTGCGGTCCTACACCGATATCTTCGGCCAACTCCATTAACCCTTCCCCATTTCCGTTCCGTCATCGGAACGAAACCGGAAGAAAAAAATTAAGTAACTTTATTGGTGCCGAGGCTCCCACAAGGCAGTGCAGAGTTTGGCTGTGGTTGTGTCGCTACGGTTCTCCGCGGCGAGTGCAATGCTTTTAAAAAGAGCGGCGCTACGCCTCTCTAAATAAAAAATAAACGCTGAACCAATAGTGCATTCCGAGATTCAGCGATGAACCGGGGACCCCCACCCTGAAACTTGCGGACGTCCCGGTTATGGGAAAGGGTTAACTAGTGTTTATTCGTACGGCCAACATTGAAAGAGCAAGAACGGATACGTGCAAAGCATCGGTGAGATGTCTGATGAGGGAACTAAGAGGGTCAATGGAAGAGGCTACGAGGGAAGAGGAAGCACACGGATCCGTTGGTGGGACAACGCGAGCGGTTGGAAGTGACTCTCCCGTGACAGACGCCGAAGATCGGGAACGACGTAACGCGTCCGTCAGCAGAGGACATCAACCCTCAGCTACAACGATGACGGGTTGGATAACGATCGGCATTTATATGGCGCTTAGATGACTTGGAAACGCACAGCGCCTGAAGTCCCATCTCATCTGGGGCATTCTAGCCAGGGGGACCCCCCACTGGCAGCTGCCCCCTTGTGGCACAAGGCGTAGGCAGCACCAGCAATTCGTCTACATTAAATGGCTATTATTTCCCAATTAAGTTATTTTTTAGTAAATGTATCGTACATGACAAACTCTTGGAAGTGACGCTGGGGCACGCGTGACCTACTCTCTTCCCTAAGAATGCCACACGGAATCTGCATCGTGCACACCGAGGCAGTTACGGTTAGAGCGCGCGTAGAATTCAACAGAGCCGCTGCTGGGCTTGAACCACCACGGACCCCCTGCAATGCGTGCCAAAAATCACGGCTACCACCGCGCCGTGTCACCGCCCCACGAATGCCTCCATTGGGACGGATTGCAAAAAATGGACGCGGTGACTCGGCCGACTGGTAGGGAATTTGGGGCTCTTTGCAGAGGTTCGCGGTTCATACCTCGGGCGCCTCAGTTAATACTGCGCGCGCATTAACCGTCAAAACACGTGTCGCCTGCATTTGACGTCACGGCGGTCGTTAAAGATCCCGTGAACTGATTTGAAAAAGAGTAGGCCCGTGTGTGTGCCAGCGTCACCGTTCCAAATTCGTAAAATTTTCAAGATTAATACCGTAAACTACGCAACGCCGCTCCCCCCCCCACCCCCCCTACTGGCAGAATAATTCTCACTCGCAGGCCAGTGCTGCGTCACCTCATGCCACGAAGGGGCGGGGCTGTCTTCGCGGGGGTCTCCTAGGCTGAAAAGTGACAAAAAAATTCTGCTGGCCAATTAAGATTCGACACTAAGGTGCTTTGAGATGTCGTGGCATTTACAAGCAGCGCCCGATAAGATGCAAATCCTCATTTCTAATTAAAACAAATCTCGGTGCCAGGCGGCTCCAGGCCAGTCTGCTGCAGCATGGCAGCACCTCCCCGGTGGGATGCTCGACGCTGCCACCCGTCGGCAGGCTTTTTTATTTTTTTACTAGGAGCCTGATTATGCACGCAGAACGTGCCCGTGGGAACACACGTGATCGCGTGTGCAAAAATACACCGCAACTGATATTTTATGCCAATGTTGCGCTCCAGCGAGGTCCGGAAAACAAAGGTATGTCAGTGAAATGGCAGCTGCATGCAATCTCCGCCAAAATATGTATCCCGATTTTGTTGACCATCTGGCAGAACGCATGTGATCAATGCTATGTTTATAAATAATGCAGTGACCAAATAAACCGGAATGCACCTGATCTCCATCAGGCCTCAGAAGCCAAGCAGGCTTGCTGGGGCCTGACTAGAACTTAGATGGGTGACCACCATGCATTGCCAGCTTGTTATATTGTGGCTGCTGTGGGCTGTGCTACATTGTGGGCAGCAGAGTGCAGTGCATTAGATGAGTCTGCTTTACAAAGCATGCCTTTTGATTTAAACAGGCCTTTGATGGTCAAAGTAGCAAATGAAATCACCCTCGGAAGTTGAGGGCTAGACAGTGCACGCATAGGGTGCAATGGGTATACAAGGAGGGCAACAGAGGGCAGTCGGGGAAAATCCGCCGTTGTACTGCACTTTCTATGCTCCCATGTCCATCTATACAACCCGTCTTCACCGACCAGCCCTGACCATGATGATGAAGGATTTCTTAATCATTGCAACGACCCAAGGGATAGAATGACACATCTGGGAGAGACATCTATGGAGGTGATGGAGCAATGAAATCAGCTCGTGTGCAGGAGCCGGGTGATACATCGTATTGAGCGTTGATAAAAGTGGGCTTGCCCAGGGCACGTCATTTAGAAGGTTTCGATGGCCGGCGGTCGACAACAATGATGGAGTGGCAGTCAAAGGCGAGAGCACGCCTGAGAGGACGTGGACCACGAAGATGGAGCCATGAAAATAGCTAGTGTGAGTACACTAGATTAATCGCCGCATTGAAAGACCCTGAGAGATGGAGGCGGTTTGGGGAGGTCTTCATCCAGCGGTGGATTGACCTATTTTTTATACCAGGTAAGGCCCCACTGAGCTGTATACAGTAGCTCTTTTTCAGAAGTGACTTGACCAAAAATGATAGCTCAACGAAATGGCTTATCACGTGGAAATTTACAGCAGCCAAATACTCTAAATGCACGTTGATTCTAAATGTGGAGGGAAAAACCAGGGGGGCCCAGAGAAAAAGCCACATCACCACGGGGAGAGAGAACACGCAAACTGCAAATACACAACAGGCGTCATGGTGGGGATTAAACCCACAACCTACTGTATACCCGGTGATGTAGTTAACATCTCGCCACCGTGGCACCCACAAATGCATGTTTCTAAATGTGGAAGGAAAAAACGGGAGGACCCGGATAAAAATCCACGTGGCCACGGGGAAAGAGAGGGAGAGACACGCAAACTCCAAATATACAACCTACAACCTCCTTCATTACGGGGCGAGGTAATTAACATCTCGCCATCGCTACTGTGTGGGGTGAAGGGCGTACCAAGTGTTTCGGGTTGAGCGGAGCCTCGCGGGGAGCCAGGCAGGCCTGCGCCACACGGATCACGTGCTCCAACTTTCGAGGCTGGTCCTCCACTTTGGCGGCGAGGAAGATCGCCGACTGCGCCAGCAGCTGAAATGGGAAGGCAGGGGGAACATTTCGTTGAGCTTTATAGATGGCGCCGCCGTTCGCACGAGCTGCCCGTCGCAAGCGGCGATCTGGAAGGCTGCGGCCGGGCAGTAAGCCGGTGCGCGCTACCAACAATTGCCCCCGCTCTGTAGTCCTCTTTATATTAAGGTGTTTTTTTTCCCCAGCCAATGAATGAGTGTTTATAGATGTCGGAGGAAAATCGCAGCACCCAGCGAATACCCATGCATACGAGGGGGCAAAACTCTACCACACACAGAGGAGATGATTATTATTGGTCTGCACTTTGCTGTACCGCATACTTTCCTGGCAAGCAAGGGTACGGCACCTTCATACCCATTGAAACAAAAAAAGCTACATGTATATATATTTTATAACTGATGTTAGCCGTGCCCAGGAATAGAATTCAGGTTCAGAATGCAATGTGCAAACCATTGCCCCACCAATCGGTGCTTCCACAGGCGTGGATGATGTAAGAGTCGTTATGTTAGTAGGGAATGTTCTCCTATGTTATGTAATTCTCGTATAATGTGTCTCTAAAAGACAGTCTCCTAAACCTTTGAGATGCAGTCATATTTAGACAGAATGCATAACGCCGTTTCTTTAATCATTTAGTATCCTGATACTAACAAAAGGGGTTCCATAGCCACATTTAGACACCTTGTGAACGTAAATAGCTTATCGAGCTTAGGTCGCCAGGTTCACAGTGCAGGAGAATGAACCACTGCATATCCGCTCTTCTCCATATTTTTTTTCCACGGTTATAGCATACTGCTATAAAAAAAATTATGCATGCCTCGAGTTTCCTGGTTGGCTGCTGGCTGGGCTACTCTCCACCACCCCCCACTGTAACTCTGCTGCTAGTGGCTGCTGCGGGGCTGTTGCCACCGAAGCTAGCCGGGTAACTGGCTAAACGAGATTATCCGCCTAACAAATAACCATTCAACCGAGTTGAAAGTAGTAGTTCAAAAGACGTAAACTAATTATAGTAATAATAAAGACACCGAAGAGGTGGGAGTAACGAATACCGGAGACTGAGCACGGTTCATTTAAAACGTTGCAATACATGCTCCTAATAATGTAATTCTTTCACCGGATTTGTGTGTGGAAAATGCTCCATGAACATAAACGTTTTACTTACGTGTTTGTGAACGTCTTTGAACGAATGAAACATGAAAAATCTGTGCATGTACACAATGGCCGTGTTGATCACCAGCTGTGGCCTGTTCAGTTCGTCAAGGGTGGAACAACAACACCACGACCACCAAGAGTGCTGGGCACAATACCGAGTGTGCGATGTACACGAAAACACAATCATAAATGGCATTGACACAAACATACCAAAAAAAATTGTCAATACAAAAAATGTGGTCTTAAAATATTTTTTATATATATAATTGGTAACGTTTCTGCTAATGAGAGCTATTGTTTACAAGGGGCTGGAGAGTCTGCACTTAACACCAATAACGTCACCAATTATATACGTAGCATTATTATTTTATTGGCACAGTGTTATAGGGGGCACAACTGCCAACATAGCACAAGCAGTAGCAGCATCGCCGGATAATTTGATTTAAAACATTAAATTGGTCAAACGCCTTAATGCAGGACCCGCCTAAAAAGTGTTGAGACTCAGTGAGGCTTTCCTGAATATGTGCAGTTATTATAAAGTACGATAACACTACATTATTATTGCAACTGGACAAACATCCCAATGCAGAAAATCTCATGAAAAAGGTTTGAGGCTCACCAACGCGTTCCTGAAATTAATAAACGCGCGGTATAAACGATGCCATGGGGAATCGAGGGCAATGCCATTAAATCCGTTGTACTGTACTTCTATACCCCATCCCCACCACCACCATTCACTTAAGGTGCACCGACCAGTGAAGTAAGGCTAAACAACCCCCAAGGATAAGGCTGCGTGGTGCGGGCTCCCCCCGTCCAACAAGGGCTGCTGCACACTTGCCCCCTCTAAAACGAGGACTCAAATTGGCCCAACATGATGTCGCTGCAGGGGATGCTCTCCTGACATCGGGGCGTGAGACCGAGGGGGTTTATTTTGTTGTCCACCTCTCCTCCCATTGCATTAAAGCCCATTATTGTAAACTATTAAAAACATTTCTCAATCTCTTATTAAAATACACACTCAACATTACACAATCGGACGCGCATTCCCAAACGGAACAACCCTCCCGAAAACAATTTTCAAGAGCCATGCCGAGCCATTTCCCAGACAGGGCCTTTGATATTCCACCCACAGACTGGATGATGCCCCCAATGTAAAGATCATAACGCACTGGATGATGCCCCCAATGTAAAGATCATAACGCACTGGATGATGCCCCCAATGTAAAGATCATAACGCACTCGATGATGCCTCCAATGTAAAGATCATAACGCACTGGATGATGACTCCAATGTAAAGATCATAACGCACTGGATGATGCCCCCAATGTAAAGATCATAACGCACTGGATGATGCCCCCAATGTAAAGATCATAACGCACTGGATGATGACTCCAATGTAAAGATCATAACGCACTGGATGATGCCCCCAATGTAAAGATCATAACGCACTGGATGATACCCCCGATGTAAAGATCATAACGCACTGGATGATGCCCCCAATGTAAAGATCATAACGCACTGGATGATGCCCCCAATGTAAAGATCATAACGCACTGGATGATGCCCCCAATGTAAAGATCATAACGCACTGGATGATGCCCCCAATGTAAAGATCATAACGCACTGGATGATGCCCCCAATGTAAAGATCATAACGCACTGGATGATGCCCCCAATGTAAAGATCATAACGCACTGGATGATGCCCCCAATGTAAAGATCATAACGCACTGGATGATGCCCCCAATGTAAAGATCATAACGCACTGGATGATGCCCCCAATGTAAAGATCATAACGCACTGGATGATGCCCCCAATGTGAAGATCATAACGCACTCGATGATGCCTCCAATGTAAAGATCATAACGCACTGGATGATGACTCCAATGTAAAGATCATAACACACTGGATGATGCCCCCAATGTAAAGATCATAACGCACTGGATGATGCCCCCAATGTAAAGATCATAACGCACTGGATGATGACTCCAATGTAAAGATCATAACGCACTGGATGATGCCCCCAATGTAAAGATCATAACGCACTGGATGATGCCCCCAATGTAAAGATCATAACGCACTGGATGATGCCCCCAATGTAAAGATCATAACGCACTGGATGATGCCCCCAATGTAAAGATCATAACGCACTGGATGATGCCCCCAATGTAAAGATCATAACGCACTGGATGATGCCTTCAATGTAAAGATCATAACGCACTGGATGATGCCTCCAATGTAAAGATCATAACGCACTGGATGATGCCCCCAATGTAAAGATCATAACGCACTGGATGATGCCCCCAATGTAAAGATCATAACGCACTGGATGATGCCCCCAATGTAAAGATCATAACGCACTGGATGATGCCCCCAATGTAAAGATCATAACGCACTGGATGATGCCCCCAATGTAAAGATCATAACGCACTGGATGATGCCCCCAATGTAAAGATCATAACGCACTGGATGATGCCCCCAATGTAAAGATCATAACGCACTGGATGATGCCCCCAATATAAAGATCATAACGCACTGGATGATGCCCCCAATATAAAGATCATAACGCACTGGATGATGCCCCCAATGTAAAGATCATAACGCACTGGATGATGCCCCCAATGTAAAGATCATAACGCATTGGATGATGCCCCAATGTAAAGATCATAACGCACTGGATGATGCCCCCAATGTAAAGATCATAACGCACTGGATGATGACTCCAATGTAAAGATCATAACGCACTGGATGATGACTCCAATGTAAAGATCACAACGCCCCCCCCCCCACCACTTTCATTAACGCAGTATTTCTCCCTTACACCCCCACAAAAATAACAAAAACACACGGGTCGATATATATTCTGCTTTGTCATGCAGGTGGGGTGGGGGCCGATCCATTTACAGATACACAGCGCCCAGGGACAGCAAACGGCGCCCCCTCCCCCCCGCCCGACCGCCTTTGTAACTTTCTTCTCTAAGTCGCCGAGAATCCCAGCCCGAGTCCCGGGGTGGGGGGCTCACGGGGACGACTGCCCCCCACCCTCTCCATCTGCGAGGAGGAGGCAGCAGCAGATGTGCGAGCCGGGCCTTTGAGAGGGAAATTTGATTTTTTTTAAATCCACCGCACTTTACGTTGACGCTGTGTGCGTGATAGCAGGGTGGTGGTGGGGGGAGTGGTGAGGGGTACCTTTAAATGGATCGGGCTCCGATTTAAATACAGCGGACTGACCCCCCCCCCCCCACTCTCTCTCAATGTATACAGTGCCACGTACTGTATCGGCGATCCCTTGCCACGTGAGAGTTGCCAACCGGTAAGGATAGCCCCGAGCACGAGAAGACGACGACAAAACCGAGTCTGGAGCGGATGCGTTATCTTGGGAGTGCCCCGTGTGGAAATCGCACGACAACGAGCCCAACAGTAATAATGTCCTCGGGGAGGCTTACATAATTTCCCCCCACGATAGCCTTGACTGTTACACGAACCTGTATCAAAAACCGATGATCCTCGTGGGAGGAACGGGAGCGATGCGAGCGAGTGAGCACGTGGGATGATCACAGCACGCAACCCGTGACGATGTAGAAGAAGGAGATGATAACGCGATTAAAAATCGGATACACGTTGAGGCGCTGCCCCATGTCTTGTACGAGCGTGGCGGCTTGCTGTCGGTACAGGAGCTCGCGGTCTGCGTCAATGCCGGCGAGGCGAGACGGGGTCGAGTCCATTTGCTCGCGCGTGAAGATCCATGGCCTCGCCATAGACTCCCCGCGAGGGATCTCGCGCGGGATGACTCCGAGCGCGGCTGTTCGCGCCGTGATTGGCTGCGGGGCACCACCCCCACCACCACCAGCACCACCCCCACCACCACCAGCACCACCCCCACCACCACCAGCACCACCCCCACCAGCACCACCCCCACCACCAGCACCACCCCCACCCCAGCCACCAGCACCACCCCCGCCACCAGCACCCCCACCAGCACCACCCCCACCAGCACCACCCCCACCAGCACCACCCCCGCCACCAGCACCACCCCCACCACCCCCGCCACCAGCACCACCCCCACCACCAGCACCACCACCCTCACCAGCACCACCCCCACCAGCACCACCCCGGCCACCAGCACCACCCCCACCACCCCCGCCACCAGCACCACCCCCAGCACCACCCCCAGCACCACCCCCAGCACCACCACCAGCACCACCCCCAGCACCACCACCACCCCCAGCACCACCACCAGCACCACCCCCAGCACCACCAGCACCACCCCCACCAGCACCACCCCCACCAGCACCACCCCCACCAGCACCAGCACCACCACCACCCTCACTACCAGCACCACCACCACACCGTCAGCGGCGCTGTGACGCTGCCGGCGCACGCCGCCGCCTTGGGTTGAGACCGGGGGGGTGGGGTGGGGGGGGAGTCAATCAGTGCGTGAGCGAGTGGTGGAATTTCCCCTGGATCAGATCACAGTGAGTGTGTACTTCCTAGATATAATCATAGTGAGTGGTGGAATTTCCCCTGGATCAGATCACAGTGTGTACTTCCTAGATATAATCATAGTGAGTGGTGGAATTTCCCCTGGATCAGATCACAGTGTGTACTTCCTAGATATAATCATAGTGAGTGGTGGAATTTCCCCTGGATCAGATCACAGTGTGTACTTCCTAGATATAATCATAGTGAGTGGTGGAATTTCCCCTGGATCAGATCACAGTGTGTACTTCCTAGATATAATCATAGTGAGTGGTGGATTTTCCCCTGGATCAGATCACAGTGTGTACTTCCTAGATATAATCATAGTGAGTGGTGGAATTTCCCCTGGATCAGATCACAGTGTGTACTTCCTAGATATATCATAGTGAGTGGTGGATTTTCCCCTGGATCAGATCACAGTGTGTACTTCCTAGATATAATCATAGTGACGTGGTGGAAATTTCCCCTGGATCAAGATCACAGTGTGTACTTCCTAGATATATCATAGTGAGTGGTGGATTTTCCCCTGGATCAGATCACAGTGTGTACTTCCTAGATAGTAATCATAGTGAGTGGTGGAATTTCCCCTGAATCAGATCACAGTGTGTACTTCCTAGATATAATCATAGTGAGTGGTGGAATTTCCCCTGGATCAGATCACAGTGTGTACTTCCTAGATATAATCATAGTGAGTGGTGGATTTTCCCCTGGATCAGATCACAGTGTGTACTTCCTAGATATATCATAGTGAGTGGTGGAATTTTCCCCTGCATCAGATCACAGTGTGTACTTCCTAGATATAATCATAGTGAGTGGTGGATTTTCCCCTGGATCAGATCACAGTGTGTACTTCCTAGATATAATCATAGTGAGTGGTGGAATTTCCCCTGGATCAGATCACAGTGTGTACTTCCTAGATATAATCATAGTGAGTGGTGGATTTTCCCCTGGATCAGATCACAGTGTGTACTTCCTAGATATAATCATAGTGAGTGGTGGAATTTCCCCTGGATCAGATCACAGTGTGTACTTCCTAGATATAATCATAGTGAGTGGTGGATTTTCCCCTGGATCAGATCACAGTGTGTACTTCCTAGATATAATCATAGTGAGTGGTGGATTTTCCCCTGGATCAGATCACAGTGTGTACTTCCTAGATATAATCATAGTGAGTGGTGGATTTTCCCCTGGATCAGATCACAGTGTGTACTTCCTAGATATAATCATAGTGAGTGGTGGAATTTCCCCTGGATCAGATCACAGTGTGTACTTCCTAGATATAGTCATAGTGAGTGGTGGATTTTCCCCTGGATCAGATCACAGTGTGTACTTCCTAGATATAATCATAGTGAGTGGTGGAATTTCCCCTGGATCAGATCACAGTGTGTACTTCCTAGATATAATCATAGTGAGTGGTGGATTTTCCCCTGGATCAGATCACAGTGTATACTTCCTAGATATAATCATAGTGAGTGGTGGAATTTCCCCTGGATCATATCACAGTGTGTACTTCCTAGATATAATCATAGTGAGTGGTGGATTTTCCCCTGGATCAGATCACAGTGTGTACTTCCTAGATATAATCATAGTGAGTGGTGGAATTTCCCCTGGATCAGATCACAGTGTGTACTTCCTAGATATAATCATAGTGAGTGGTGGATTTTCCTCTGGATCAGATCACAGTGTGTACTTCCTAGATATAATCATAGTGAGTGGTGGAATTTCCCCTGGATCAGATCACAGTGTGTACTTCCTAGATATAATCATAGTGAGTGGTGGAATTTTCCCCTGGATCAGATCACAGTGTGTACTTCCTAGATATAATCATAGTGAGTGGTGGAATTTCCCCTGGATCAGATCACAGTGTGTACTTCCTAGATATAATCATAGTGAGTGGTGGATTTTCCCCTGGATCAGATCACAGTGTGTACTTCCTAGATATAATCATAGTGAGTGGTGGATTTTCCCCTGGATCAGATCACAGTGTGTACTTCCTAGATATAATCATAGTGAGTGGTGGATTTTCCCCTGGATCAGGATCACAGTGAGTGTACTTCCTAGATATAATCACTAGTGAGTGGTGGAATTTCCCCTGGATCAGATCACAGTGTGTACTTCCTAGATATAATCATAGTGAGTGGTGGATTTTCCCCTGGATCAGATCACAGTGTGTACTTCCTAGATATAATCATAGTGAGTGGTTGGAATTTCCCCCTGGATCAGATCACAGTGTGTACTTCCTAGATATAATCATAGTGAGTGGTGGATTTTCCCCTGGATCAGATCACAGTGTGTACTTCCTAGATATAATCATAGTGAGTGGTGGATTTCCCCTGGATCAGATCACAGTGTGTACTTCCTAGATATAATCATAGTGAGTGGTGGATTTTCCCCTGGATCAGATCACAGTGTGTACTTCCTAGATATAATCATAGTGAGTGGTGGAATTTCCCCTGCATCAGATCACAGTGTGTACTTCCTAGATATAATCATAGTGAGTGGTGGATTTTCCCCTGGATCAGATCACAGTGTGTACTTCCTAGATATAATCATAGTGAGTGGTGGAATTTCCCCTGGATCAGATCACAGTGTGTACTTCCTAGATATAATCATAGTGAGTGGTGGATTTTCCCCTGGATCAGATCACAGTGTGTACTTCCTAGATATAATCATAGTGAGTGGTGGAATTTCCCCTGGATCAGATCACAGTGTGTACTTCCTAGATATAATCATAGTGAGTGGTGGATTTCCCCTGGATCAGATCACAGTGTGTACTTCCTAGATATAATCATAGTGAGTGGTGGATTTTCCCCTGGATCAGATCACAGTGTGTACTTCCTAGATATAATCATAGTGAGTGGTGGATTTTCCCCTGGATCAGATCACAGTGTGTACTTCCTAGATATAATCATAGTGAGTGGTGGAATTTCCCCTGGATCAGATCACAGTGTGTACTTCCTAGATATAGTCATAGTGAGTGGTGGATTTTCCCCTGGATCAGATCACAGTGTGTACTTCCTAGATATAATCATAGTGAGTGGTGGAATTTCCCCTGGATCAGATCACAGTGTGTACTTCCTAGATATAATCATAGTGAGTGGTGGATTTTCCCCTGGATCAGATCACAGTGTATACTTCCTAGATATAATCATAGTGAGTGGTGGAATTTCCCCTGGATCATATCACAGTGTGTACTTCCTAGATATAATCATAGTGAGTGGTGGATTTTCCCCTGGATCAGATCACAGTGTGTACTTCCTAGATATAATCATAGTGAGTGGTGGAATTTCCCCTGGATCAGATCACAGTGTGTACTTCCTAGATATAATCATAGTGAGTGGTGGATTTTCCCTGGATCAGATCACAGTGTGTACTTCCTAGATATAATCATAGTGAGTGGTGGATTTCCCCTGGATCAGATCACAGTGTGTACTTCCTAGATATAATCATAGTGAGTGGTGGATTTTCCCCTGGATCAGATCACAGTGTGTACTTCCTAGATATAATCATAGTGAGTGGTGGAATTTCCCCTGGATCAGATCACAGTGTGTACTTCCTAGATATAATCATAGTGAGTGGTGGATTTCCCCCTGGATCAGATCACAGTGTGTACTTCCTAGATATAATCATAGTGAGTGGTGGATTTTCCCCTGGATCAGATCACAGTGTGTACTTCCTAGATATAATCATAGTGAGTGGTGGATTTTCCCCTGGATCAGATCACAGTGTGTACTTCCTAGATATAATCATAGTGAGTGGTGGAATTTCCCCTGGATCAGATCACAGTGGTGTACTTCCTAGATATAATCATAGTGAGTGGTGGATTTTCCCCTGGATCAGATCACAGTGTGTACTTCCTAGATATAATCATAGTGAGTGGTGGAATTTCCCCTGGATCAGATCACAGTGTGTACTTCCTAGATATAATCATAGTGAGTGGTGGATTTTCCCCTGGATCAGATCACAGTGTGTACTTCCTAGATATAATCATAGTGAGTGGTGGATTTTCCCCTGGATCAGATCACAGTGTGTACTTCCTAGATATAATAATAGTGAGTGGTGGAATTTCCCCTGGATCAGATCACAGTGTGTACTTCCTAGATATAATCATAGTGAGTGGTGGATTTCCCCCTGGATCAGATCACAGTGTGTACTTCCTAGATATAATCATAGTGAGTGGTGGAATTTTCCCCTGGATCAGATCACAGTGTGTACTTCCTAGATATAATCATAGTGAGTGGTGGATTTTCCCCTGGATCAGATCACAGTGTGTACTTCCTAGATATAATCATAGTGAGTGGTGGAATTTCCCCTGGATCAGATCACAGTGTGTACTTCCTAGATATAATCATAGTGAGTGGTGGATTTTCCCCT